TAATAATATGAGAGATGATTTCTATCGAATGACAATATTATTTCGATGGAGATAAAAACATACATAACAATTCAACTATCTAAAAGATAAAGATAAGATATCGGCAACTTTGTATTTAGATAAAAAAAATTGTTTTCACTTGGTACCTTTTATTAAACTTTAAAAAAAAACGCTAAATCTATTTGCGTACAGATAAAAAAAGATAAAACTTGATTAAATTAGTCTAAAAAAGATTTATCGAGGCGGTTCGGTTATTTATCTCAAAAACAATTAAAACGCAACATAGCTACATATTCGTATTTTCTTTTTTTAGAAAAATAACTGCTACGAAATTACCGTGTTATATATATCCAGTAGTGCGATTTCTACAATATCGCATTAGTATAAAGTTTATATAATATTATGTAACGCCGTAGAATATTATTAGAACGATCGCACAATATTATACTATACGTAAGACAACGACCGAGACATTTCAATTAAATTCAAATTGAAAAAAATAAAACGTCTTTCATAACGTCCCCGGAGGATCCCGTGTGTGTATGCTCGCGAGTTCATTCGTGATACATCGCAATATATCATAAACCGAATTAGCCGAAATGCACTAATACAGGTACGACTGTACATCAGTGATTAATGACAAATCCAATGGTTTACTTGCTGTGTAATCGACATGCACGACGCATATGCGTGTACGGTTAGGGGTCTTGATCGTTGTTTTTCACAAATTGTTAACAATTGCTAACATCGCATTGTTTACATTCACAGTTAAAAGGTCTTGACAATTCTTAACAAGAAAAAAATGCAATCATTCATATTTTGCAAATATTTGAATTTAAACATCGGCCCGCGCTGAATATATTACAATTATATAGTAATTAGTGCCACGTGAAAAAGGTTACAAAAGATTTCGTCTCATGGTTCGACAATTTAAATAGATCGTTGGCACGTCAGATAAAACGCAAAATGGATTTTTTCACTCGTTTACAGAAATTCGTATTGTATAAAAGGTAATAATGATAACTGTTATTAATTACATTTTATATGCAAAGTCGTCTAAAATATCAAAAAAAAGCCGCACAAACTCGTACTAAGGATAGTCATTATTGTAGGTGCAAAATTTGGAAGTCATAAGATATATTATAGGGCAATATTTATAGTTGATAATATATCGAAAGCAACGAATCATAGCCAATAAAATACGATTAAATATTCGTTGTATTTCCCCCCATCATCTGTAACCGTAGAAATTAATTATAGGGAAAATGAGAAAGGTTGTAAGGTATTTTTTTTTTTTTTTTTTTTTTGGAAAAACTGTTGGGAATCTAGAAAAATTGTTCAAACTTAGTACCACCGGACGGAAATTTCACGTATTTTTTTTTTTTTATTAAGGTATGTCATAAAAAAATCTTGTCATTTTCACAAAACGAAAAAGTGTTTTCCGGGGAAAAAACCACGTCTTAATAAAACTATGACGTATAGCTTCTTCGCAACACTCATAAATCAAAATTAGAACTTGAAATATTTTATCCGTTTCCAACGCATTTACTGAAAATATGTATATGTACCTAAAATATGAATATATTACATATGCATATATACTTTGTTTGCTTTGTTCAGCTATAAATTACACTTTTTAATTGTCATTATTATTAAAAAAGTATTACATTAGCAAAATTTTAGTTATTTTTATTTTTTATTATTGTTTTTAAATATTTTTCGTACGTCATCGTTATTATTAGGTAGGTTTAATATTATATTTTCAAAGAAACGCGATGCCGAGCTACGAGAAAACTACAAAAACTTTCGTAATTATTATTATTCAAAAGGCGGACTAATTACACGAAAATTAAACTAATTAAAAAAACAACAAGAACTAGATAATTGAAAAAAAATATTTATTATAAATTAATAATGAATGACAAAAAAAAAAAAATAAAATAACATTACGGTTTAAAAAAAAAATAAATGTTGAGGATTAAATATATATTTTTTTCAAATATATGATTTACATACAAGTGGTAGGGAAAATCCAATTTTTCCGAAGTCCGATAGTTGAAATTAATCGATTTTTAAGATTCGATGTTAAAAATATAAAAAGGTAATTATTATTAATATATATCTTTATTTTGTTTAAATAAATAATAACATATTCTAAATTTTTCAAAACTAATATCTATAAAAAAGACTAAATACTACCAAAATAATGAGAAGGAATTTCATCGAATCCAACTGTAAGAATATAGCGTACAGCAATATACAGAGTGAATGAGCCAACTTTACAGGAAGTATTATTTAGGTGTTGATCAAAATAATTATTTTCCGCAAAGAAGGCTGTCCTCATTGTAATTTAATGCTGTATTTATTTGTATTTAAATTATTTATTGAAAATCTTACATTTAAATTACATCATAACATATTACCCATAAACTCATTGTTGTAAATTTCATTTAGAGCCTCCCCCTCGAAATATAAGGATTTTTTTTAAAAAAACCTATAAATTTCAACGTTTTTAAAATAATGGTGCTGACATTTTGTTTTCGAAAATCATTACTTTTGAAGTTAACCACTACTCATTATACCTTATGTACGTCCTGTCAGTTTTCATATAGGGTGCCCTCTTCTACCTTTAAACACGATCCTGCGTTAAAAAGAGTTTATAAAATCCATGCACAGACTCTATAAATATTCTCTGTGCTATTGAGAATATTTTTTTAAACGTATTATTCTCACGCATATCACTGTTTATCGGATTAATAGAACAATAGAAAAAACGTGTATTGAAACGCATTGTTACATCGCAAAAAAAAAACAATCTACCGAAAATAAAACAAACCGATACAATAAAAGTACTATAATATGTCGCAAAGCGGATTTTTAGATACACCTGTCGGTGTACTTAAGAATGCGTCTTATAATCTGCCATTCAAATATAAAACTATTCTTTTGCGCGACAATTTTAATGGTGTCATATTTATAATGTACAGAGTAATCACCATATTTTAATAAATTTACATAAATGATCGTTCAAAATGGTAAAAAAAAGCCGGACACCTTGGGTAGGTCACTGTTTTAGGCGCAAAGTTGGGAAGGTATATGGGATTTAATAATATATAGAGTATTGTTTATAGTTTTTATTAGACCAAGTTAAAAGCAGCGATAAATTATTGCGATGAAAAACGATGTCTGAGGAGAGCTCGGGTAAACGACAAAGTATACGATTAATCATACAGTCAAAGATAACCCGGAAATCAACAATAATAAAACCGACGATTATTGTCAGTTCTTTAAATTTTTTAGATAAAACTCGGTAATCATCTTAACAAATTTGTAATAAAGGGTGATGAAATTTGCATGGCGCATTACTAAGAACTTTATCTGCGCTATAGCGATCTTATTATTTTGACGATATAATATTCGTGATTATACAGTAAATTCGACAATTTTTAAATCGTTTATTTTTTTTTATTTTTTTTTCAAATAGTTCATGAAAATGAAGCATTGTGATCATGAAGCGAAATCCTAAGCAAACCTTCTTAAATCGCTGTACGACGCCCACGTAAAAAACACGAAATATTACACGATTCTCCTGGATCGATACATTTTGAATTCGTTCTATTACTTAAATGTTCCGGGTTTTTTTTTATTATATTATATTTAGGGTAGCTATTACCTACCTACGTTTTATATCGCCAGATCGATTTTGGCATTTTACAGTGCATTTTTCATACTCGTTGTGTATGTCGTTAAAATAATACCTATAGGGTAACATTAAAAAAAAATTTATGTGTATTCGAGTATATAAAATATTATTACATATTTCGTTTTAATTAAAAATATAATTTAACGAGTTTCGTGTTTTCGACCCTTAACAATTCAAAGGTACCTAAATAATTAATATATTTTATTTCTGTTCTCGGTGGTAATATATTACACTGTAGAAAAAAAAAACCCCGTGAGCAGCAATGCTCCATCACTAGTGACGAAATTTCTTAAGCATATTCCGAAATTGTATCTTTAAAAAAGGGTTGTAGAAGAGTTTGAGAGTTAGAAATCTCCGAAAGGCATGTTCTTTTGGTACTTATAGAGTCCGTGACGGTGGCACTGGCCATGGCTAGATATATACGCATATCAGGTAGAATTTAATATTCCCTATCATTAAGAATATGTGCCAGAAATGGAAAAAACACCAACAACGCCTTTGAACGTTGCATCTTGGCGAATAGAAGTGTTTTAAAAATGTATGGATTTAAGCAAAAAGAAAGAAAGTCTGGAAAAAATTTAATATGCAATTTTATCTAGCTGACATGCCTATGTATTTATTTCTAACGTGTATTATGGCGAAAATGTATTCACAATAAATAAATTGATTTAATTGAATTAAAATTTAAAAAAAAAAACGTAGATTAAAATTTTGTTTAAATTCATTAGTTTTATAGTTATAGTTTTGAGGAATATTTATACTAATAAGGATCTAATTTTTATTTTGTTTTTAATGCATTGAAAGTGGATCCAAGGAAAAAATTCATTATTGCAGGATTGGATAACAGAAGCACATTAAATTACACGACGAATAATCGGAACAAGTTGTCTGTTTCGGTAATATATTCATGATGCATTATATCGGTATGCTATAAAAGCCGATTTTGATAAAAAAAAATCCAAAATCAAAAAATGCACCCGAAATCATCTCTTTTAAAAACCGAGTTTCAAACAAATGAAAGCTGTAAAATAAAATACTTGTTTACAAAAATTTCATTTTACCTCGCGAAAAATAAATGCTAACTTTTTTTTTAACGTATTTGTTTATCATTTCGAAATCGTAATATTTTGTCGATGAACGTTTCACGCATTTCCCTGGATTGTTGCGTCGAGACCAACGCGCTATACTGTTGTTGATATTATTATTTTGTTTTTTTCCTATTCTAACGGCGTCTAGTGCCATCTAGCGGCGGCGACGGCGCGCCAATGAATCGATGGTGTTCCCCTCGTCAGTGTACCGTCGGCCAACAAAACTACACGGGTGTGTATTGCTGCGGCCCGTCCTGAAATTGTCGATGTTTGGGCGAACTTTTGAAAAACGAGTATAATATTGTCATTATAACAAAACAAATCGAAAAATGGTAAGTTTATTATTTTTGCAAACGCGAAATAATTACTGCAAGATATTATTCCGTAATGGTTTTAGTATTAATACATTTTTAGATTTTATTTTTTCTTCTTTATCGGTATCAGTCGATCAGTATTTGTATTATTTTATCAAAGTACTGTAATTAATTTTTTTTTTTTGCCCCCAATTCAAAGTAATGGCAATTTTTTATTTTATTTTTTATTTCATGTTAAGCGAAAAGACTAAAAAGTTATTATTGTTATTGTTTTTTTTTTCCAGTACGGATTCGTGAACTATGCTCTAGAGCTTCTAGTGCTGAAAACGTTCGGCGAAGAGACATGGGAAAGAATCAAGTCAGCGAAAAATTTATTACAAAACTAAATACTAGCAAAAAATCTAGATTATAAATTAAACAATTTTTTTTCTTTTTTATAGAAAAGACGCGGAAGTCACAATGGACGGTCAATTTTTGGTCAGGCAAATTTACGACGACGAGATTACATACAATTTAGTATCGTCGGCCGCGCAAATTCTCGGTATGTACTCGATGTATTTTAATATTATGAAAAATAATTTAATTTGATCGTTCGATTTCGTTTTAATACAATATCTGCGCGACATTTTTTTTATATATAGACATATATTAAAAAACCATACAAATATACGGAAATAAGTACCTAAACGATTTTTTTTTTTTGTGTTAAATACTTAAATATTGACACTATTTTTTCCTGTTTTCTTATTTCAACCAATAAGTAGTAGTATTTTTTTTCATTTTTTTTTTTTTTTTTTTTTTTTTTTTTTTTATCTAATATTTATATAGTATTATAAATTATTATATTTAGTTTTCGAATAGATAAGTACATTTATAAATGAATTGTTTTTTTTTTTTTTTCATAAATTTAAATTCGCTTAACATCGAATTAAATATTACAGTATAATATCAAATTTATATTTTTAGTTAACAATTTCACTAGTTATTATTTATTATTATTATTTTTTTTTTTTTTTTTTTTTTTTTTTGTATCCACCTTCGATTTATTTCGGCTTTATTATTATTTGGAAATTGTTTTAAAATTTGAAAAAAAAATATGTCATTTCAATGCGACAGCCACAGATATCTTTGTATCGATAATACAAATAATCTTTAAAGTTTATGGGTTTAGGTTCAGAAGTACGGAAATAAATGTATTTAAACTAATTACTGTATATAGTGTATTTAATGTAATCCAAATTTTAATATATAATACAACCCCGACGCGTAGCGAGGATTCCTCCGTTTCCTCCCCTTTCCCCCACCCATTACTCGAGAGTTCTCACTTAATTTCGTTAGTAAACTTGCTTGTATTTATACATAACCTTGTGAAAAAAGTTTCGTTAACAACTAAAACAAACATTGTTATCGGGTTTCAATCTTAAAAGACATATAATAATATTATGTATTTTACCACATAAAGAGTGCTCAAAACGAATGGGGCGAGAGGGTATATAAAGACACCACCCTTCCCCCCCTTTCCCAGTAGGAAAATATTAAGTACAAGACGCAGTATTTGTTCTAACCCCTAAAACATCATTAGATTCATTTAAATTTCACGGAAAACAAAAAAATAAATAAATAAATGATTGTTGTTAACAGAACTACCGGCCAGCAGTATATTGGAACTGTTCGGCAAGATGTTTTTCGAGTTTTGTCAGGATTCTGGGTACGATAAAATCCTACAGGTGCTTGGAGCCACACCCCGGGACTTTCTTCAAGTACGCATCGTCATCATTGTTACATCTGATATTATTACATATTATTACTATTATTATGTTTTGCATTACATTTCGACCATTGTTGTTTTCGTGTAGAATTTGGACGCTCTGCACGATCACTTGGGTACATTATACCCGGGGATGCGAGCACCGTCCTTCCGGTGCACCGAGAGAACCGAAGACGGAGCGCTAGTTTTACACTACTATTCTGACAGGCCTGGACTCGAATACATAGTCATCGGAATCGTTAAGGTCGTAAAAACAATAATGTCATATTATTGTTTTTCTTTTTTTTTAGTCGAATTTCCCCCTAAAAAGGAGCCTGTTGTACTGTATTATATATAGAACAAACAATAAATATCTTTTTGTCACTACTTTTCGATACTTTTAGCGGCACAAAACCCTGAAATTCGAGGTTTTTTTATAGACAGATTGAAGTGACTTAGTTATGGTTGAATTTCACGATGTCTATGCAGGAATATGGTCTTTCTTTAGCTTTATACACCCATGAAACCAGGGAGACGAAATGTAATACGTGTGCATAGTGTAAGTAATATTGAATTCAAGCACACTCCTGTGGGACGAATGCCCTCCTGGAATTTCATTCGTACCCTCACCCAAAGAATACAACCGTCAGCAAAATGTATATTTATTAAATAGACATTATTAACTCGTTACTTGTTACATTTTACATCGAAGTGACCAATGAAAAAAGAGAGCCCCTACATAAAAATATGTCCTGGATCCAACACTGGGGGTAAGTATGAAGGATGTGCTTTTGGGGTTTTAACTTTTAACCCTCTCCCCGACAATTTGTATGCTGAAATGTCATGTTTTCACTACAAGAAATGCCCCTACTCATCAAAGTAAATAACAGGGTTATAACTATTGAAGATCAATTATAAATGAAACAAAAAAAATTAATAATTGTCACGACAACAAGACGGCTAGGGGATAATTCGACTCTAGTGACTTAGCTTACTAGTGTTTTTTTTTTTTATTATTATTATTATTATTATAAACAAATCAATTGTAATAGCAAACAATTTTTGAAGGTTTATAGTTTATATTTGTGTTTTACGCATATCACAGACGGTCGCCAGAAAGCTTCACAATACCGAAGTGGAGGTGGAGATTTTACAAACCAAAGAGGAATGCGATCACGTACAGTTTCTAATAACCGAGAAAAACACCACGGGTCAACGTCAAAACGATCAGACCGCAGAAGTCGAGACTTTATCGCAAGGTCGTCGTTGTTATAATAATCAAATTATAATTATAATAATAATAGGGGTTTCACACGTCTCTGCAAGTACAGAAAACAAATATCTAGATAATTTAAAGTAAGATTAGAAAAAAAATTTGTTTACAGATGTATCCGTAACCTAGTCAAATTAGTTGACCGTCGCGGAATTTAGAAACCGTGCGGATAATTATTATCTTTTATACATGGCAAAAAAAAAAAATATTCTAAAGCGGTATAAATAAAACAAAACAAACGGATATACTTCGCACGATGGGTGGGCCGCTGTTGTAGGTGAAAAGTTGGGAAAGTAGAGGAAAAATTTAATGTATATATAATATATATCGATACTCAATAATTAACCATTGCTAGCGAAAAACGATTCTGAGCGAAGTTCGGTTATACATGTTTTGAAAGACCATAATATTTTCGATTTTAAAATAATACATTTTATAAATTTTCCCGTTTTCTTACTTTTTTTACCGGTTTTTTTCCATTTATTATGAAAACCTCTGATAAATCAAAAAACTACCCCTTTAAAGTACCACCCAATGGAAATTTCCTTAGCGTTGTTCACAGATATAAAAAAAATAAATTTAATAATAATAAACATTAAACCAATACATGTCTCACTCCACTCAGAATCTAAAAAAATGCTATTAATGCTGTGGAAGTCTTACGTTTACGAATATTATTTTAATTAAAAATACAAAATAAATCAGATTTAAATCGTTGACAAACGCTTGTTTTTTTTTTTTATAAGTTAATTTATGTAAATTAAATAATAAACATTTTTCATTTAAAAACTGCTAAATATTAGCTTTTTATTATAATATAACAATAATATTGCATTAGACGCCTGTTATTAATATGAACCCGAACAAAAAAAGAATGTATTTACATAAATTTCACGTAATATAATCCAATAATCAATTTCGTTTAAATAACAATTTTGAACGGAGCTCGAAACACGAAATCCTTAAACTGTACGATTTTAGTAAAATGGAAAATTAGAAATAATGTTAAGGGTTTAAACTTTAAACTTAAAACCTACATAATAGTTAAAATGTTTTGAACGTTTTGCTTTCACGTTTCACGTCGAACAATTTTTAAAAATTCTGATATACTCGCGATTCGCTCCACGTGTGGTTATAGTTTAATATAGTTAATAAGATAAACAAAAAAAAAAAACCTATTATTAGTAGAATTCGGTTAATTGAGTCCCATAAGAGCGGTGTAATTCTGTAGTGATATACTATAAGAGGGCAAGTCGTATTAAATGTACCTATGAAATATTTGTTTGAGCCATTAATTATCTATGCGATAATATACATAAAAACCAACTGTGGTTAGGTAATTAAACATAGTTTTTCGTAATCCCGAGTGTATTTATCGTAGAATCCGTGACATAAACAAATATAGCATGGATTATTCGATAACATATATGCCGGCCTTCTTAATTATATAACAACTAAACTTGAGATATTTGTGGAATTGAGGGCGACTATTACAGTTGTTTTTCTTATCATACGTACCCAAGGAAACCAATAGAAATGAAAAATAATGCCGGAAAAATCTCAGAACTCAAGTGATAAACGAATTGATTTAAGAGACGTCAAGATGTTACACCAGGCCCCAATCTACCCGCCTATTTTTTTTTTAAAATTTCGAATCGCTTCTTATTATAGTCGTTTTTTACCCAAAAATATTGAAAATCTATACAAATTAAATACCACTGCGTGGAAAATCCACTTTCTTTACAAGAGCTGTACGGCATGAAAGTTTTGAAGCGGTTTTTACTAATCGATTAAAATTAACTCCGAGAAAATAAAAACCCGTCTTAGTAAAAAAAAATAACTAAACATTTTAATATAAATTAAATTGAAACCAATATGACTCGCAACATTTATTATTATTAGTTTCGATCGATTGAGAAAAGTATACACGACTAGCGCAAGAGACGGTGAAAAAATTAACGTTAATGAAATAATAGTGATAACTGATAATATACCGAGTGGTGGTAGTAGGTACTTGCAGTGTTTAAAGGAACGGGTGGGGAAAAATAAATAAACATAATATAATGGATAATAACAATATCGCGGATCCGTTGCGAAACGATAACACAAGCGATCGTAATAATAATAACAACTCGGGCGATAATAATAATAATAATATAGGGTAACGTTGTGTTGTTATTATTTTTTTTTTTTTATATATATATATAGAACCGAAAATTAGTCCGGCCACGTTTTGCCATGTGTTCCCATTCCATCTGATGTTCGACAGAGACCTGAACGTCCTTCAAACCGGTTGCACTATCACCAGAGTGTTGCCCATGGTACGGGGGCCAGAACCGTGCAAATTAACGCAAATCGTATACCCCGTAGGTGTTATCGGCGCGGCAGCCCGAGTCTAATAAATAATTATTATTATAATATTATTATCGTTATTAACGTTGACCGACTCGGTTGGACAGGTAAGACCTCATTTGGAATTGACATTCGACAACATTCTAGCGCACATAAACACCGTGTACGTTTTGAACACGAACCCGGGGCTCATGAACGGCGACTACAACGACGGTGGCGGCCCGATATCTCTACGTCTAAAAGTACCTACCCACCTATAAAACACATACGTATATATTATGAATGGCCGAGACAAACTCGATTATTCAAAAACATAATATTATATTATTGCCTGTATTATAGCACTGTAATAGTTATATACACACGGTATTATTTTGGTTCACATGCGTTTAAAAAAAAAAAACAAATTATGTACAGGGTGATTTGATTGTGTCTTTTATCACGAATCGACGATAATCTGTTATGGTACATAATATTTGATGTTAATTTATTATTTTATTTTTTTTAGACATTTTTTTATTCGATCGTTATAACCAGGATTCGGGACTTACTAAAGCAATCAATTTTTTTTGGCTCGGGTGTTATTGAGTTTAGCAGAGGGCTACGGAAATGTATATAATTTTACGAGTAAATATGAAGTTTCAAAGTTTAATTTGTTTTGCTTATTCAATAGTTTAAAAAAAAAAAAAATGATTTCTCTAGTTCTTCCAGCTTATTACTTCGTATTTTCTACTTTAGGATAACAAAAACCACTGTCAAAATCCAGATTTCTTCAACCCCCTTCCCTCCCCCCGCTCTATGATTTTAAAATATTCTCGTTATTTTATCTACTTTTTGTTTCGGTTTTATGTTCATATAAAAAAATACGCACATTAATAGGTTTTTTTTTGCTTAACATATTTTTAAATTGCTTATTTCAAAGCTAAAATGAATTTGTTCGTGTTTCTATTGATTTTAAGTACTATACGTCTCGAACCCAGATTATAACAGTTTAAGGAAGTGCACACCGTATTGTATCCGTGGCGTTTATTAATATAATATATTCATTTTATTTTCGAATCCGGGTTTAAAAATGTCTATCGGCGTATTTATCTGAATCAAAAATTGACAATTACGTATAGGTACGTGTTTATAATTGATAATTATGGCGAGACAAGAAAAAAGTTTTGAAAATATTGTAAATACGATAACACAATAAAACGATTAAATTATTATACTGAATAATAATTTAAAAAAAACCTAAAGTCAATAATTTTCGAAGACAAACGCGGCCGGTTCGTAATAAAATCATCACCCTGTATATAAAACCAGTCAGTCCGTCGATACGAAATTTTAACATCGCTACGTCGTCCGTTTGTTAACAGGGCCAAATGCTGTACGTGCCGGAAACGGATCTAATGTTGTTTTTGTGTTATCCGAGCGTCGTGAATCTGGACGATTTGACCAAGTTAATATTATGGAAATTAATTTGTTTAACACATATTTATTCAATACATTTGTATTTTGTTTTTTCCCCTTCTCGTTCCAGACGGGGACTTTACATCAGCGACATACCGTTACACGACGCCACCAGGGATTTGGTATTGATGTCGGAGCAATTCGAAGCGGATTACAAACTAACCAGGGATTTGGAATTTCTGACCGACAAACTCCAACAGACTTATAGGGAACTGGAAAGCGAAAAACAAAAAACCGACAGGTAATCACGTGAGACTAATCCCCAAAATTGAAATTGATAAAAAAAATAACAATAACCAGATTATGTGTACTTTTTACAAACTATAAGTATTAGCTTAATTAATCGCCCATTGTAAATATTAAACATAAACACACAGAAATATAATAAAGTCCAATATGATTTTTTTTTTTATCCAACGTGTATCGTAACAATATTGTTTTAGAAACTTATCCGACGCTCGATAATGTTTATATTCGAAATCAATACCTAGCGGTAAATATAATCGTACGAGTGTACGCTTTTTATAATTAAAAGCTTCGAATTTAATGCACTAAAAATCATTAAAAAAAAAAATCGGCTTACAAAACACTCCGAAAATCTCAACCAAAATAATTCGATATCCAAATAAGTACAGCGATTCGGTAAAACGGAATATTTTAAAAATATCACATTAAACAATGATGTACTATTGAACAGAAAAAACCGAAAAGATATTTTTAATCAAGTACATTTATGAAAATAAAACATATTTAACTATATATATATACATATATAGTACATTATATTTAAGAAAAAAAAAACACTTATATTGTGTACGAACAAAATTACTTCACTTTAGATCGATGTAAATAAAAACTTAAACCGATTAAAAGTGTAAAAACTTATTTCAGATTGAATATTAACCTATTGAAAATTGGTAAAAATTAAAAACGCACACACAAACTATTGAAAAACGCCCCTCCCTCTTGGTCTGTGTATATATTGTACATAATAATATTCGTATTATATCCGCGCCAATTCTTTAAATATTTACTAACAGAATTTTTTTTTTAAAAAAAAAAAAACCTAATACAAACCAAAATCAATTAAAGAAATTAAATTCGAAGTGCACGCCCGTTTCCGCACCCACTTCTATCACAGATAACCGTTCTACTTTCTTGCCCGCGGAAACTGAATTAACTTTTTATGCGTGTGATAGATTCTGTCGTATAATATCGCGCACAGATACTTCCTATTATTGATATTAAAGATAATATTATACGCAAATTCGACGTTTTATCTATTGGGCTCAGGCGCGATCAAATGGGGAAGGGTATGAGGGGATATCTCCCATATCCTCATTTCATTAAAATATTTATAATAATATAATATAGTATATTATAGCTTTATAATTACAAATAAAAAATCATGTAAACAATAGTTCTTGAAAATCATCCGTGTTCCCCCTTCCCGTGACCAAATCATTTTACCGTGGCTATAAGGTGAACCCTAGGGAGATTTCTTGCTAAACTACTGCTGTAATATCGGTATAGATACTCGAATCGATATAGGCGCTTACCTATAATTCGTATTTGAGAATAATTAACGGACCTCCAAAAATATCATCATAATACCGGCCTGATCATCCGTTTTCAGACTACTGTATTCCGTGTTGCCGATCAGCGTTGCGACGGAGCTGCGGCACAAACGGCCGGTTCCGCCGAAAAGATTCGAGTGTGTCACGTTGCTGTTTTCCGGTATAGTCGGCTTCAGTGACTATTGCGCTGGTCATGCAGACTCACAAGGCGCGATGAAAATCGTCCGGATGCTGAACCAGCTTTACACAGCTTTCGACGTGCTCACGGACCCGAAGAAAAACCCGAACGTCTACAAGGTGGGTAAAAGGCGCCGAAAAACCGCTTAGAAAAAAAAAAAAAAAAATGTTGCTTATCTTTACACACACAGATGCCTCTGCTCAGTGACACGAGGCGAGTAACACGCTGCCTCGTCTAGAATTATTTTCGTATTACGATGAAATTCGTTCAAAATATAACATTATAGTATTATAATATCGATAGGTTAGGTAACCTCTCACTGGATATTTTTGAATTTTAAAAATAATCATTGTTAACGGAATTTCAATCAGCAATATTAATAATTGATGATTAAAATACTTTGTTTTCTATTTCTAATCTCGTCGTTAACCACCTTCTCCGTTTGTGATTTTCAAAATAATCGTCTCACCTACACTTACACCGGTACGTGAGCGGATGTTGGATTTTGGAGGTTCAAACTTCGCTCCTTTCGATAATCATAGGATCAGTTATTTAGAACGTAGAATAATTGAAAATATAACAAATTACAAATAACGGTATTAGTTCTGATTTTTTTCAAAAACCTTCTGCGGACTCTGTAATTTTTCAATACGTTTGTTCTCGTTGTAAACCTTTATATACAAACATATATTTATCTTTTTCATTTTTAATATACATCAGAGAATAAGGCATGATACAAAATCAAACAAAACAATAAGCACTGAAAAAATTTGTCCGATCTAACCGATCAACCAGACAAAACGAACGGATTTAAAAATACCCTTTTAAAACGTATATATTAGTTTTCGAGTAATTTTTAATAATCTTTTTTTTCAATTAAAAATTACTCGAATAATATTGACGTTTGCGATCAGTTGTATTTCATTAAATTATTTTTGATACATTTTCACGCGATTAATATCCGAGTCTGCTCCAGCATCCATGTCACGATTGAATTTCAATCCTATTCCATTTCAGATCTTCTTTTTCTTCCGTCACCATCGTTGCTTCGTCTACTGTACTCCACACGAGCACGAATCCTCTAAAGACATTTTTAGTCTCATCTATTTACCTGTACACCAGTTATTTTTCTCTCGGTGCGCGTCCACATAAACCATCTAGGTGTACTTATTCTCCATTAATTCCCATTGCTTGTCTCGCTAATGTTTTTCTATAAAAATTTCCTTTTTTCCGCCCCAGAACACTCGCGTGTCGCTAATCTTTCCACTTCGTCCATATAATATAGTCACGCGTAATTCGATACCCAACTATAAGTGATCCACGTAATTCTTTCGATCTATTGCATAACACTGAACCTTTACGTAAATATTACAGTGCAATAAATCCTACCCATATACGAGTAAATGCAAAAAGTGCATACAACGTTATTATACCGTTGTAAAGAACGTCATAGATTACGGGAAAATTCGACGTTTTCGCGTTACCTACATCAACTATAATGCAACGCATGCCCGTTAATATCACATGCACATTCCGCCGATTCGATTCGTATAATAATATACAATAATATTTTATTCCGTATCACGCGCGGTAAAATGTCGAACAACACATAATAATAATACACGAACATAAACGGCGAATAAAATACTGATATACGTACACGTGTTGGATTTGCACGTGTTTGCATATAGATTTATTGCGAAAAAAAAATTGACTAAAAGCGCAATAAATTCGTACATTATTATAGGGTATACGGTCATACAAGGCGATCCATTTACCGTAAATCGGCGATTTATATGTGAATTTGAGTAAATTGATTTCTGTTTTCTTTTTTTAATCCTGATAATATCTTTATTTTAACACTATATTTCGTAATCAATTTGTCATCTACAAATGAATATAAAATTTATTATTTTCTCTGTGGTGGAAACGCCATGGTGTTATTACGTTCACATATACGGTAAATTCAATGATTATAAACACTTTAGGAAAAATTCTCTCTGTTTGAATCTGCGTTTAAAACGGCAGGGTGGGATTCTGTTTAAAAATCAAGAGCATACACCCGTTCAGAGAAGCCCAAACTAATCCATAATAATTGAACAAAAAAAACAAACAACGGAAAATTCGAAAAAATCGTCGGATCGTGATAAATGAATCACCCTGTATGCCCTATTTATCTACATCCACACGGAAATGCGTATAATAATCGATTGGTTAGAGACGTATAAATAATTTATAATACTAAAATATATATAACAGCTGAAAATAATAATATTATTATGACGTTTGTGCGTGTGGTCATAAAGATACGGTCGGTTTGCGAATATATACGATATTTTATCTGAGTAAAGAACTCTCCGCGAGGAAAGAATAATGGCGCGAGTGCGATAATAAATTACAATATCCTATAATCTGAAAACGACGTAATCGCTTCTTAAAGAATATAATCTCGTCGGAGAAAAACTTTATCTCTGTGCTTTTACAAAAGAACGCGAAAATATATACGCGACTCGAAAAATCCGACGCCACGTTCAGGATAAGTTTCAGTAGGACGAATCATCGGTATATTTTCGTCTTCATTGGGTTCATTTATTTAGCGGTATATTTACAAAATATTATTATTATGTTGCACTTTACTGATAATAAACACGCCTCTTATCCAATTAAAAAAAAAAAAACGTCTGTTCGTAAAATGATTATTTGATAAAATTACAAATAGGAAAAAAACAAACTGTACGTTATTGATACTCCGATAAGATAAAATAAACTCCGTAAAACACATACCTACTAAATTCGTATGTAATTGAGAATCCGTAACAGTGGCTATATACAGGGCTGGCGTTAGGTTTTGCGAGGCACTAGGCAAAATATTACAGAAGGCCCTAAAAACAGCTTTTACAAATCAATAGTGAAAACCAATAGATTTTATTCTCCCCCATAATCAAACATCGGTGGCTTAAGAGGCTTATACCCTTAGAAATTTTAACACAGCTTCCAAAATTAAAATTATTTTTATCGTTGACGTTGACCTTTTGTTTATTTTTTTGTATCATCACTGTAATATATTCCTGCACCCTATAAACCGATCCAATGCTCACCTATGTTCATCCCTTCTCTTTGAAAAGTTTTGAATTCAATTTTTTTAAATATATTTTTGAATGAAGAAATACATAAAATAACACCAATTTATTACTCGCTACTTTTTACATGAGTTTAGTAAAAACTACTTTAAAAGGTATCAAAAAAACGCTGAAAAAATAAATTATATACATATATAATAATATTATTATGACGTTTGTACGTGTGGTAATTTAATAATACTCGAGATGAAATTACTTTATTAAAGAACTTTCGATATGCCTCCGAGCACATTGATTTTCTGATCATCTTTTTTTAATTTACTTATAAAACAAATTTTTATAAATTTTTGTTTTGTAATTCTGATATCTTTCTAAATATTGTCAGGTAGCTCATCGACTTTAACAATCAAAAGATTTCGAATTATATATCGTCTTTTAGTGTTTGCAAATGATTTTAAATGTTGTACTGTTATCGTTTATAAATTTCGTAATAATACAGTTTAATCTCTAGAACCTATATTTAAATCTAGTCAGAAACACATAGATGGTCTCTCGTAACATTCAGTAAATCAAATATTATTATTGTGATTAAATTATAAAGTTTTTTAGATTCGCGTTTAATTGTCTTCGGATACCGATAAGCATACATACAACATAACCATACATATTCGTTTTCGAAATACATTTCAAAAAGTTAAAATGTAATAATATATAATGTAATATTTTTGTTATCCAATATAATTATACGAATTGGATCGGCCCTTTTTACATTTAAAACAAACTTTCGTTTGGAGTGGCCGCAGATTTTGTGTACATCGATATGTAAATCGTAATATCAAGTATTTCCATTAAATAAAAATCGTCGACTTTTAAAACGAGAAAATATGATACTTTTTTTTATCGTTTTAAAATATCGTTCTCTTTATTTCGAAAAATACAAGTTTAAAATTAGTTTGTATGAAAAGAAAAAGAATTACAAAAGTTAGTTCTCAGTAATAATATCACTGATTTCTATATACCTACTCAAATGATATACCATAGAGAAAAAAACTTTTACACCTTTTAGTTTTTTTTTAAAAGCTTTCAAAATCATTACGTTTGTCGAATTTCATATAGGGATTTTTTTATAGTAGACGCCTTGAAAAACACAAACTCGTCGAATATTATTATGAACTATATAGAGTTTTGTACGTAACATTTAAAGGGAAAACAGTCAAAAAAAAAAAATCCAATATATTTTTTTTCACTTCGCGTTTTTCGATAACTAATTATATTGTTGTAAGTACGTATTCAGGGTCAATTTTCGAGGGAAAGAGGGCACAGTGGTCGGAAATGCAATATTAGATGAACAAAATGAAAGAAAGATAAAATATATGATACACCGTTTTATCTACACAATATTATACATCAATACTTAATAACCTCGTGATATTTAATTCAGCGATGACCACGTCAAAACCATATAACTATAGAGCTTTAATAAATAAAATGTTTAGAACTTCTATTAATGAATGAAACTTGTCATTTCCTTGTCGCTCGTATTCGAGTTACTTTTATAAAATTGACCACACAATATTGTATTTCATTGTGAAATTAGACTAGGGAGGTGTAAGTGCTAGTCCATATATTATATAATATATAAATAGAAATTAAATTTCAATTGAATATGTAATGTGTTCTTTTTTCCCTGCTTGTTGTATTTTTTAAAAAGATCGTAGGTGGTGGACTCATAGTGACTAAAAATGATCGATAACGAATAACTTGTCAGCTTTTCAAGTATATAACTTTTGTTTGCATCTAGTTTCAACCTTCATCTTAACTATCAATTAACATGTAAGAAACAAAAATCCGTGTAGTAAAAATAACGCCATTATTTGGGTAAAATTCTGCAATCAGTTGTGCACGATCATGTGGTTAACCGTAATCAGATACGCGGGACCGCGGGAATCGTAAGCGAAAAAGCTCAAAGGCGCATGCACGTGGCAATGGCAATTGAAGACTGATTGCACAATTATTGCGCAAATAATTGCACTACATGGATTTTTGTTTATTAGATGTTAATTGACGGTTAATACGAAGGTCGTGACTAGATGCAAACAAAAGTTATTTATTTGAAAAGCTGACAAGTTGTACAATAACATGCACCTATCTATTCGTTATTGATAATTTTCAATCGCTTTGGATAAAATTAATTATATTAAAATTGTATTCTATATTTTATCTAAATTTAAATAAATTAAAGGTACCTATCTTATCCAATTTTAATACTAGATAAGTACTAATTTATTATTTTTTATATTTATTTTTTGATTCAATTAAGTATACATTTGTCTGTATTGCAAGAACAATAAATGTATGTTTTAAAATTATCCATTTATTTAATCTGCAATACCCGATTCAAACTTCTACTGTGTGGATGTTTGTACAAAAACTATTTTATAATATAACAATAAAATATGATGCATCACACCCAATGATTACCCAGAGAATACAGAAATTAAACAAATTGCATTCTGTCTATTGGAAATTATATGAAATGATTCGCAAGATGACTCCAGAACCCCCCCCCCCCGCAAATGATTCAGGTGATGGTACCCGAAAACTCCCCAAAAAGAGCGCATTGAAAAATATTAAGCCCCTGCGGTCCACCTGCACAGATCGACCCGCTACTTATAGTAGACTGAGATACATAGTGGGATCTCGGCAATCGCTCGAAAAACCTGCACAGATCTTGCCCCCCCACCTCGGTCACGAAAAGAGGAAATTACAAACGTACTTGTCACTCGCAGTAACCGTTAACACAGACATCCGACAAAATGCACAGCGTGGTTGGTAGATTTTTAATCTTAGGGAACAAGTCCTTGCACAGCAAGCCCAGCCAACCGACAAGTCATAACACCAACACATGACTTCTGTCGTCCTAGAAGCAGCGCAGCTCCCACAAAAGAATGACGTCTATTCATCATACCACCTCATTCATCGACTGCACGGTTTTTAGTTGACGGTGGAGCTCGACAAGAAAGCTTTCTTTTGTATGACAGTCTCAACGCGGAGTGAAAACTCTCGCTGTCCAGTCGCACCCCCCAAATTCCCGCACAGTAGACACGCACGTGCAGGCATCAAAGTGCTGATGCCCGTTGTCGTACGACAACGCACACACGCCATAAAAAAAAAAAAATTGTATGTAAGTGTAAAAGTTGATAACTAAATGTAAACCCGAAACTTAGATTATAGTCGATGAAAAATCATGATGGGTCGCAATAGGCACAACAAAGGGGATGCCAGGGGGTCTTTAATATACCCGAGTTGAAAATTAGTACTCTCAAAAAAAATTCAATCAGCTTTTTAGGTACGACTAAATATTTTATCCATCTATTTCATAATTAACGAGAAGAACAAAATACCGGTTTTCTACAGACAATTAGATTAACAATTACACAATTTAAACAATTTCACAACAATTTAAACAATTGATGAATTATTAATTATTATTAATGAATTATTCATTATATATGAAAACTAATGTGAAAATATTTATGATAAATTTGTAAATTAAAAGTGCGATTGACTATTGTAAGAATTGTGTAAAGGACATTGTGGGGTCATTACCTCCATGGGTCTTTGACGTGTCCGTAATATTTTAGCAACCCCAAAATCGATGATCTAGTTGCACCTATGCAACCGAAATCGGTTGGTCCGAACTCGGGATAGGGTCTGTAAATACGCGTTCGGCGGTCGTTACGAAATACTACTATTGAAAAACGCGACGTCACCCGCATTGCGTTGCAGCAGGTGACGGGCGTATTATTGTTTTTGTATATCTTTATTCGGTAATATTATTATTTAACCCGTCGTTCGCCGTTTTCGTCGTCGACGTAAAATGTCACGAAAATTACGTAAACAATTTAAAAAGTGTAATTTTCCCACACGTTTCAGGTGGAGACGGTCGGCGACAAATACATGGCCGTCAGTGGACTTCCGGAACCGTGCGAAGATCACGTCCGGTGCATCGCCCGGCTAGCTTTGGACATGATGGACCTCAGCCACACGGTCGTGGTCGACGGCGTGCCAGTCGTGAGTATATAGTAACGACATTATGATATAACTACACAATTATTGTATTAAAACTCGAAACGTATGGAAATAATTGAAAATTTCACATTTTCGCGTGTCGCATACTGATTTTACGCAAAACCGTGTTCCGTGCCGGTCAGTTTTTCCCTATTAGCAACGTCGGTAGAGTCACTCAATATTTCTAATGTATTTTAAAGTTAAGTTTTTTATTATATAAAAAAAAAAACATAATTAAATTCGATTGCACTTTGGTTTTTTTTTACTAAAAACCCATTTACAACTTACTCAATTTGTTCCGTAATAATAATAACTTGAAAAAAAGTTAGACGTGAAGTAAGAATTTTTTTTTTTTGGTTTTAATGTCTCTAACCTAAAAAAATCCTTTTTATTCAAAAATTAAACTGAATTATTAAATCAAATCGCAAGTACCATAGTAACGCGTGATTTCTTATAAAACTTACCTCTTTTTCAGCAATATTACTTCAAATACATAACAAAAATCAATCATCAATCAATTATAAAATTCTTTTTTAATACATCATCGCATTTAATATTGATTCAGGAAAAATATGTTTACCCGGTAACAAGTAAAATAACTGTTGTTACATTTCCTATTTAACGCATTGGCATTAGCATATTCCACATTTCCAGATATCCAAAACCAAAATTATTGACAAAAATAAAATTTAAACTTAGTTCCTACCTTCAAATAATTAATAGTACCAAGATTCCTGTTGTTATAAAAAAGTATTATTTTTCCCCTCTACCCATATATTATACCTGGATCAAAAATTTCGCCCTTAATTTTTTTCGTCGATTGGAGCAATACATCTTTTAAAAAACAACTAAGTAAAATAGAAATTAAATTTATAGACCTGAAAAAAATTCAAAATCAAAATTCCAGCTCTAATATACTATGTTCATTCTATTATCAATAACTAGACAGCGGCCGTGAGACTAATTTCTTTATAATCTTCTATATTCATATAAAAGTAAATGTATCTGAGTGTACTATCCACAGCAAAATCTATCGCAAACACGAAAATATTCACAGGAAAATACAGGAAAACGGGTGCTTGTGCACTGTGAAGCCGTATTTTAAACTTTAACCTATAAAGGGTATTTCGCACGTAGTTTTTCGTATTATAATACGGAAATTGAATTCATTTTTTTCTGGGTTAACTTGGTGAAACGGATGAAAAAAAAACAGTTTTTATTAGTTAATTTAGTTGTCACGGGCAAGGAAGTGTTCTTTTTAAAAAATAAATTATCAGGCAACAACGATTAAAACTGTTATTGGAAAGGTGGGTGAAACCGCGCAGGAAAACACGTTGAATTGAATTTCTTTTATTGACATCGGTTTTTCAAAGGATTTTATAAATAATCTGTTTTTAAATGGTAAAAAAAAATAATAATAATAACGGGAAATATAATTGATACGGTCAATACCGAATAGGGCAGCTATATAATATTTGAATGTAAAATGTTTATAATATTATTTTTATTCATAAAGTGCAAACAAATTCCCGATAAAAAAAAGGTAAAACAAAGAGCCGTTCGATTTGGTGCGAGTCCGTTTTATATTAAAAAAAATAAAAATAAAAAACCAAAAAATGTCTTGCCTGTCAACCATATGACTTCCGATTTATGGCGAACCATGCCTAACCTAACCTAACAATGTGAATTGCTATTCAAGACAGGAATCGTATAATGTTTTGTACGCGCTAAACGTGTCCGCTCTTTACATACAAAGCGAAAATACCAAAATGCATAATAATAATAATATGATATGCACTAGGAATGGCAAACTTCTATGGCCTAAATATAGTGTGCGTTATAAACAGGACATTTCGCAGATAAAAAAAAAACTACCTGACTTTCTAAAATCCATAAAACCGTATATATATTTTCATCAACATACGCGACTTTTAACGTTTAAAACGACAATAACAGCCGTGTAATTTTTCGTTCGTGTTTACATACTGAACAATACCTATCTGCGTATATCATACTTATATTACGTGCTAAATATTTCTTATACTTAAATTTATTTTTCGCATTTCCGTTTGTCAGATGAATAATATAATATTGTCGAACGGCCATTTTGTATGCTAGTATAGTTATAAATAATTCTGTCAGTCGCGGATGAGCTGCAGACACTATACAGAGCGGTTATTTTATCACGAACCGATTATGTACACGAATATTTTAAGTACATTTGATTTTGTTATTATTTCAGACATTATAATACGATTACATAATACATTATAACACAGAGTCGTTCGATATGATCTTATTTTACAATACAATATTTCGATATTTTGATACGTTTGATTGAAAGATATTCGAAGAGAAAATATGTTTCTAAAAATATCATTGATTCAGAAAACATTTATCTTTTTGAAAGTGTACATACATAGACTATATGTATAAGTCGAATACGCGTTTGGGGTGAAAATTTTGAAAATATTGTTAACAGCGTCGTTTTATAAACGGTTGAGTAATACCCGAACGAAATCGAAATATATAATTAGGTACTCAACGATAAATTTCGTGATCAAAAATAATCACCCACCATTGTTTACCATCGAGTCAGGTTAATTAACTATTATTTACCGTACATTAATATTACATAATAATATTATTATTCTGGACTTATGAAATTGAAATACAAGCCAACCCTACTAATTGTGTAATATTTTCGTTGATTTAATAATTTTCAATCGAAAATCGTATTTTTTTTTGTTTTTCCCTCAGCGCATAACGATCGGCATACATAGCGGCGAGGTGGTGACGGGAGTGATCGGTCACCGGATGCCCCGGTACTGTTTGTTCGGAAACACAGTGAATCTGACAAGCAGAACGGAAACCACAGGTATCCCGGGAAAAATCAACGTTTCGGAAAACGCATACAAGTATGTACACAAAGTTTCGTTTATTTGTTACCTACAAAATTCCAGTATAGCGTGTCAAGTATAAGGCGTAGGGAATAACTTGTTTCTAGAGACAGCCGGCAACCATCGGCCCCAACGGGCGGAACAAGTAACATGTCATCCCTTTGGAAAATATAAAAAAACACAAAATATGGATTCACTCTCTCGCGACATATAAAATCATCTATGCCATCACAAACCAATACAATTGTTCACGAGTCTTGTGTTCTAATATACTTGTATCCTCATACTTTACTCTGATCAAAATCGTTTTTTCATTTACAATGATTTATCGCTGCGTACGCTATCTAAACTGAATTTTCCTGTATATTATCATAGCTTCCAAACTACTCGCCTAAATAATATCAGTGCTCTACCCGTGAGCAGTTTTAACAATTGTTCGTAATTTTTATCATATACGTAGGTATATAATTTTCTTGCTTTCAAATTCCACTTGTAAAAAAACATTTGAAAATAAAATCCCAGAACAACATATCGATAGGTCACTTCCCCCTCCCTTTCAAAATACACGTGTTTGGGAGTTTACAGAATGAATAAAACCGTGTTAGTAAAATTACAATATGAAGATTCGCTAGTATGAGAATTTATTGATTTATGAATTCAAATTTTGTAAAACAGTTTAACATACATTACAAAAAATTTTAATAAAAAACTTGATCAAGGACCCGGGTAAATAAAACCTAGTTGGAACAATTATGTGATATTGTGAGAATAATAATATTGTGCACGGCTATCTCTAGGAGCTCGTTAGGTAACGGTGTAAAAGGTAATACCTACTTTTGAAATATATTTAAGTACAAATATTCTACAATTCTAGAGTAGTATTTCAAATTCTGTATTTATAATATGTACTCTGTAATTAACTCGTCGTCTGTAGTTAAAACCCTGTAGTATTTATGTTGAATAAATTTGTTTAGATTTAATTCTCGGTATTGGTTACAATTTCTACAGAATGGTTAACTAGAAAAAATAAATAAAATACTTGATCACAAAAGTAGATTGTTACACAAATATTTTAACAACCATCGCTGAGTATACTATTATGCATTATAGGTGTAGCGGTATCGATAAATTTATAGTAATGTGTAACGAGAGAAGAATATTATTATCATTCGTCTGTACCACTTCGAAATATAATACGTACGTTTTGAAAAACCGACGGTAAATTCGAGACGTTAAAAAATCGGTACAAAACGCACAACGATATTATTGTCCTTAAACGAGCGTACCTATACAAACGAAATAATTCCATAACAATATTAGGTGCTTACTCCTCTATACGAAATATACAGACAACTAACAAAGCGATAATATCGAGAGCGCACTACTGATTGAAACTGAAATTTTAATCATGCAACAATAATATTATACAGAGTGTTCCACCGTGATTTCCCGACAATATGTATTTAATATCTCCGTTAAAATTCAAATTCGAATTCCTTTTCTTTTTTTTTCTTTTCTTTTTTTTTTTGTACTTGTCAGTCGAACTTTTACAGTGTTATATCGTTCATGGCAATAACTTAACAGCAAATAATTACACTAATACTTCAAATATTAAAACCGAACAGAACGAATGGACAGTCAAGGAAAAACGGGAAAATGTACGAATGTATAGTAAAATATTACGGCCTTTTTTTTCTTATGAACAACTTTTCTACCAAAAATTTCGCTCTGATTTACAATTATAGCACTTTTTCTAAAAGTAAATCTGACTGGGAGGAATTTTGAAGAGGCCATTTTTCGATTTTCGATTAGCAATTTTCCCAAAAAATTAGAAAAACCGGGAAAAAACGGAAGAAAAACAGGAATATAGGTACAATAATTAAGATTTAATATTTAATAAAATATATATGTAGGTAATGCATATGTAATTATTTCACCATAATATGACAAATTATATTGTTGACAAATAGCAACACTATCAACCGAACTCCGCTCAGAATCATTTATTAGTTAGCAATGGTTTAGTATTGCTTATAGATATACATTAAATTTCCCATAACAGTGGCTGCACCCGTCCACGTTACCCTGGAAAAGCTTTTTTTAGAATACTAACATATTGTAAAGTGGATATTTCGAAAACGTTAAAAAATTAACAAATATAAAATTGTTTTTTTTCTAACGATTTCGGGATGACAAAAAACATCTAATTTCTCTCTGAACATATAATGGCATTCCCCACACAACAAACATAAGGAAAAATAAGAAAAATCGAATATCAACATACTATGTTTCTGGTCGACATTATCATCGGGATGTAACATGATGGATACTCTGTATATAAGGTGGCGGCGTCGATATATTTTTTTGTATTTGAAACGTGTCGTAACAAAACTATTTCGACAAAATGTGTTATTCGACAAAGCGTTCCGAATGTCTCGGCGTCTTTTCGAAATATTAATTCGTATATAATAATCGTTACATATTACGTTACACGCTATTATAAGACTCGCGATAACTACCTAAATATTATTACACTTTCATCCGCGCATCTCATAATATATTCGTGTATGTTTAGCAAAAATAAATTATTATCAGTTGACGTAATGCGCTCCGTGTGTTTATAATGTATATGTATAATAATAATAACAAGTAACGAAACAACAGTTTTTTTAATTTTTTATATATTTTTCTTTAATTAACGTCATTTCAAATGCGTAATTTAATAATTGCACGTGAACATAATGCTCTAATAATACATAATAGCAATTTAATTACTCATTAGCCCGTTTCCTATTTTACCTACATATTATTCAACTGCAACCAAATAATAGTAAAAGAATAATTATTTTTGAATAACTACTGTACAAAATAATTTACGATGATATAATCGCGTCACGGCGCGACAAATCAATACAAATACTCGTCATTATTGATTATTAGTTCAGTCAAATAATAAACATATGTTTCGACTAAAAAAAAGTCTAACGTATAATTAAGAAGTCTATAGTTAATGCGTTACGTGTATAACGTATATAGTATATAACTTAATAAAGGTCAAAATAAGACTGATGTATGGTCGGGTCGTGTCACGATGGCGTACACGGCCGAGATTAGTAAATACAATTGAGCAGGTGATTTAGCGAAACGGCCTGGAACAAGGTGAAGAGTCGAGGAAAATTGTGTTGAAAAGACGACGTCGGGAACCGGAAACTCAAAGCACTGCAGGAATCTGCAGATAACTACGGGAATATGTTTCGTGTTGGTTGTCTGAACGACCGAAGCCGAGCAAAGACAAAGAGTAATAGATTTTGGGTTCGCAACCGGGGTTTTTTTTTTTTCTGTTTTATTTTTCCGTACAGTTTGTTTTGCAGTCTTTTATCGACGTACGCTTACGGGATAAATAATTACACGTGAAACGTTAGGAAATCGATGACTATAATACCACTGCACTGGCAACGGAAAACGAAAAAACTAAGCAATTTAAAACGTGCGGGTACATACGATGTTACGGGTACCGTTAAACGAATTTCGTTAACGCGATCCGTTTTTACACGGCATTTTACTCAATATGTTGTTATCGGGGGAGAGAACAATGCACCGGCGGCGAGCGTTTCATTTTTGAATAGATTATTGAGCCAGTCAAGAGCATTTTTTTTTCCTACAAACACAACTATATATTTATTTTTTAAAAATCCCGATAAAAAACCGCTCGGTCTTTACGAAACGCGCAGGTTCGGAAACCAACTAATTATATTATATTATGTCAGCACCGTAGTATTTTTTATAGTTGGCGAGACTTAATTCCGTTGGGCGCTTTTTTTTTTTTTTTTTTTAATAATATTATATTGTGTACTTAACCCACCCGACACCCGACCCAACCGCTGTTCGATGACGTTATCGTGCCGCGCGTTTTTTAATTCGACAATTTTTCGTTCGCGACCGACTTCACGGTCGTTTAACGACGAGCACGACAGACAAAGCGACTCGTATTGTCACCCCGCGTGTCCGTATGCTATACCTATTATATTGTTTCGAAACCGAACGTAAAATAATGGCCAACGAAAGAAGAAACGGGGGAAAAAAAAACTACCTACTAAAAAACGGCTAAACAAACAAATCGCATAATAATTGGACACGCAGACATCAGCGTCGTTTAACTATACGTATAGATACGTAGGTACACGTTCCGCGCGATGTGTACCGCGCCCGGGATTAGGTAATAACGAGACGACGACGCGTTCCGTAACACGAAACGGGAAAATTTAAACAAAAAACAAAAAAAAAAAAACCGAAAACTCCCGAGAAGGAAATACACATGGCATTTTTTTATTCGACGGCGACGACGTAAAACAGGAAATATAAAAAAAAACCGAACTAATTATTCGTTGCTGATCACTGCAGAAATCTCCGAATACGAAAGACTATATTGCAGCGCAGAGTGTGACAGAGCTGAAATTCGGTAGGCGAGTCTGGATCGTCGAATTGGATATATAGTATTCAAAATTCTCATCTGTGAAATTTGAGGATCGCGCTCAAATTTCAGCACTTAATTACGAAAATCACAAAATTATGTTTGTCTGATTGTTGATTACTTGTTGATTACTCGCATTGATAAAATGTTTTTAAAAAAAAAACCCCGTTTATATCTATAAATATTTGTATAGCGGATGTTGCGGCCGCCATATTATAATAAGAAGTTTAGGGAGGGTACTATACCCTCCCGCCATCTATGAAAAACCGAAGAGTGTACCTTTCTAGCTATTTATTTAATCTAACTGATTTGCACTGCTGTTATAATAATATTAATTCTGACTACGAAACAAATTAAAATTTTCTCTGGTTTTTAGTCTTAAATTTTTAAACGTTTTCATACAAAGCCATAAGAGTTTCATTTACATAAATCAAAAAACAATGCCTACGCAAAGTGCCGTGATTTTTACAATTTTCATCAAAATTCAAACTTTACACTCATAAAAAAAATAATAATAATAATAATTCAAAAAATCGTTCCACGGATTTTCAATATTTTTATAGTTCTATATGAGGAAAAAAAAATGTATGATGAACCTTATGTCAAATGTTCGAGTATTTTTAGGAAGCCAAACAAATATTTTAGCCACACGAAACCGAATGAAAACTAAACAAATTCAAACATTTCAAATATAACTCAAAAATTGTCAGAATGTCTGAAAATATTTGTACCGTATTTAGAACTCGCTGGTTAACCATGTTCTACCGATTACTTAGATATTCGATGAAAACTACCGGTCTCTACGAAAACTTAATTGTATAACAAAAGAACAAAATCGAAAATAACAGAAGCACTTATTACTTAAATATTCTCGACGTTTTTTCTTATTATTAAGAAAACCCAAAAACTGAAAATAAAACAATAATTTTCCCGCTACATATCAACTAATGAAACTCATCTACCAGAAACCACTCTTAAAGTAAATGATTGGAGCGTGATTTCTGGTTAAGTTAGGTTAATTTGTAACATGTTAATTATAAGTTGAATAATTAAACAATGATAGCAGTGAGGAATTTTTATGAAAACACATCCTTTACTGCTGTCGGTTTAAACACGAAAAAAGAAACGTTTGGTAAAGACAGAAAAAAAAAAATACAGGGGAAAAAATGAAAAACATACCACATTATAGTAAAACTAATAATACATTTCTCGCTACGCTCAGAATCTAAAACAAAAGAAAAAAAAAACAGAAAACACGCGAGAAAGAAACAATAATATGTATATGTTTGGAAATAATCATTGCCTTATTTGCTCCGGGGATCCGTCCCGCTGAAACCATTCCTCTTCGTCGAGTCCGCTTACCGTCATTCGAAACTGTCACCTGGGTCGTCCCACGTTTTCCATCATCGTTTTTCATCCTCTAAAAATTCGTCGTATGTTACCTCGTGTATACCTATATTACCAAGAATCCACAATCAACCCCCGGGATGGGATTCTGCGTATCTGGTATTATTCGTTCGATATATTTCTCTATCCCTGCCCCTTCTCGAATTGACAATAAAATCGTTCAGTAAAAGTAATTCGAAGAAAGAGATCGGGTTTCCTTTGTTTTTGTTTTTTTTTTTGGTCAACTATTTTTTTATTATTATATCCGGAAAGTGTAAAAATCTACGCTCGAACCTTGATAACAAACTCCCCTCAGGCCACTACTCGAAATCAATCAACCAGTGTTCAGATAATACTACTAGTTTTCATTCGGATTTCGGGTAGTTTCAAACGAAATCGATATTCTTTAGAAATGTTATAGCATGCTTGTGAAAACGAATTTTCAATTATAATTTTCGACTTCTTATTGTAAGCCACTAGGACCAACCAGACATCCAATTTCCTAGTATCCAGTTTTCCTTGTCCGCGACCCGTATTTTTCAGTCTAAATATCCTCCTAAGACGTCCGCATCTTTCCTTAGTATAATATGCTCCCATTTCATACGTTTTTTCTCAGTGGATTTTCTTCTAGCGCCTTAAATGCGAGCGTTTTGTCTACGCTACGTGTGCTCAACCCACTGTAGTCTTTTACTCCTAATCGTGACCGGTAAATTCGGTTCTGGAAGAGTAATTCCATATCGTCATTTAGCCTTAGTATCTATACTCAGCATATGTTTCATTGATCCAAAATTCGTTCGCAGTCTTTTTCTTTCCAAAACTAAGCGTTTTCTTTCGTCACTTTTGCCCATACCTTTGCAGCGCAATTAAGAATAATTTTTCACTCAGCCATAAAAAAAAAATAGCGAATTTTTATCTAATTATCAAAACGATAAAGCGTGCATCATATTTACTTGAGAAAACACCACGAGACAACACCGTCTGATTTTTATTTCTGATTTCCGAATTTCATATACTTGTTTTGCTAAAATTTAATACTATAGCGAAATTCGTCGATTTTATATTATAAAAAATAGTTTTCAAACGTCTAAAAATATTGTGTGACGCCACATCGCATCAGTCTTGCATAAAATATACTGATTTTCAGATGACGCCGTAGGTCTAAATAGGTCATAGGTCGGTTGGATTTGGGAGAGTTTTCGATTCCGAATGTTGTTTTTATATTACACTACTATATAATATACCTCCGTGTTTACGTACTCCACAAATCAGTACATTTTCGAATTGTTGCTGCTGGTTTCTTTTTTTTATGTCTAACCATTTCGACCGCCGTTGGGGTACCGACGACGAGCATTTTTAGCCGGACAAAGAAATAACGTTTTTTTTTTTTTTTCATTCTTTTCTTTTTCGAGTTTACGTTTTTCCTAATAGCACGCACGTAGGTGTGGTGGATCATGACGATCGGCTATAGTAATACTCGCGGAGGGAGAGAATATAAAAAAATCGTTGAAAAGAACGTCGTCGTAACGGCTATTACTATCGTTGTCGTGTATTCATGATGACGAATTGAGAAACGAACGGATAATACTCGCCGCGGGACGCACACACAAACCGTACGGCGTTATGTAATAAAACGCGCTACTCCAAAGACGAAAACGAACGTTTTATTTTTTTATTTCTCGAAGGTAACTCTTTTTTTTTTTTTTGAGACGCTCGTGACCCAAATTCAGTATAGTTTAATACGTTAAAAGCGTAAAAACTGAGTAAAAAAAAAAAATAATAATAATTACAAATAAATAATAATTATCGATACACCTATACCTATAAATGTTTAAGTGCTATTTTTTTTTATCCGGGACACAAAATTTAACAGTTATTCGACGGGGATTAGTGGAAAAACGTAATAAATTTCGTCAACGTCGAAAAAAATATATATATTTATATAAACATATATATGTACATAATAAAATAATTAGCTAAACAACGTTTAGATAAACACGTCCGTAAAAAATGTAAACGCGATGATTTTTTTAACGACTGTAGACAGGTAGATACTGTACAATAATGTATATATAATACGAGGATAAATAAAGGCAAACGGCATAATCGTAAAGTTTAAAAGCGGTTAAAGTGCGTGTACAATATACTATCGCGTATTAATTATTGCTGGCTGCACAGTAGTTACGCGTGCACCGAGCATAAAGAGATTCGTTTAATATTATAACGAGAAAAGCGCGGAATCGCGTGAAAACTTCAAAACTCTGTCTCGCCAAAAACGGTTACGGCTGAATAACAACAAGGTGGTGTACGTATTTATATATATATGATGGGACTCCGTTTTAATCCTTCGGGATACAAGTAAACAATAATATCGCCGCAGTACCTATCCCCTTTGGACCGTATCTGTTTAATATGTTAACGGTATTGGATCGGATTGATGCGCCACACTACGAGCGTTTCCCTTTAATTTTCAATCGCTCTGTATTTTCGGAGGCATCACAATCACATACCGAGGGATCAGTACGATGTTTATTGTAACTATTGTTTCGTATGCAGGACGTTCCGAATTGTGACGTGTTACGGTTTCAAAAATAGGAGTATACAGAGTATGCATACCAGCTACTACTACTACATAGTAAAAATACGATATGACGCGTTTGAACGTTTCTATATACCTGTAAATGTAAAAAAAAATAAGTAACTGCAGGTTATCGACGTGCGACCCGAACCGATGGGTTTAAAACTTAGAAATTTTGCACAGAGGTTTCTTATTCAATGCAGGCATCAGCTAAGAAAAATATTTTCAAAACTCAACCCCTAAGATAGAGATTGGCACGCACGGGGTTCTTTGTCGTTTTACGGATTACTTTGGTCTTGTAGGTGACACGAATTAAAAAAAAAAAGCCAATGTAGTTATTATAGTTAATTTGGTTGTCACGGACAACCACGGGTATACTTTACATTGATTTTTTTTATTGATTTGGGCTTTCGAGAGGATTTTTTTTAAATCATTTTGTTATAGAAAATAAGGCCGGGGAATTAAATTGACACGGGCAACGCGGTCATAACGTTATATTCTAAAACGAAAAACGTTCCGATTAGTGTCAGGATTTTATATAGGTCGCTTTGAAAAAATCATTGATTCAATTTATCGTTACTTCTTGCTTCACGGACCGCGTCTTAAGAGCGTACATGACAATTATTGGTCGTCTAAGTGATTCCTTTATATAAAGTTTTTAATCGCTATCTTTTGAAAAGAGTTTCGAAAAATGAACCTTAACTTACCCATTGCGTGATATCTTCATAGTTTGAGTTTAATTTCACCGTGCGTGATGTTTTGCGATTCATATTGACTTCCGAGAAACCCTCGAACTTGTTCAAAAAAAAAAACTGCAGACAACCGATTATGTTGAAGATTCATATAGTAATACTGGGTATCAGCATAATATATACTTGGTTTTACACTCATTTATTTAAAGACCTACCGTTTGATTCGTTTGACTAAGTATGATCTCGATAAGTTTGACTATGTCATCTGCATACATAAAGATGATCTATATAAGTAATCTAATACCGTTATTTTCCCCGACTACTTTAGATTCCTGATTAATCTGCATATTTTATCTTATAACTTATTCAAAAGCTAAGTTAAAAGTGCAAAGTACAATTGAAAACGTTTTGAAAAACGTCTAATGTTTAAAATTTTTATCAAAATTTGAACATAAAACACATATAAAAAAAAAAAAACGTGTTATATTAAGTTAAACAACTGTTTTAACCACTAAGTGCAAATTATGATGAATCTCATATTAAATTTTCTAGCATTTTTTATCACAACAATTTTATCTACATAAAATCAGAAAAGAAAAAAATCAAATGCCTAAAAATAGCTAAAAATTGTACCACATCTGAAAAACACTAACTAATGGATTCAGTAAATTTTTCAGTGTTTCAAGTCTCTGTGATTATATTTCATCGAATTGCAACAAAAGAACAAAATCGATGTATAAATAATGAAACCATTAATGCAGTAAACTTTTTCATAAAACTACACAGAAAATCAAAAATAAACTCACTTACTTACTAACAAGGTAAAATTTATTTTCATGAAAAATGCTACTCTTAAATTTTTAGCAAGATTTCTAGTAGCAAAATATAATCAAAAACAATGAACCTTTAATTGCCGTAAATTCGTTTGTATATTTTCTATACGTTTATTCCGATATTTTATCGATAATTATGAAAATTGCTTGAAAAATCAAAAAATTACACCCGTTATGGTACCAACTAGATCCAACAATCTAAAAATCGGCTCTCTTATACATTATTGATATGAATAAGATTTTTAGTAGACAATTTAAACAGAGAAAAAAACACATCAAAGAAAAAAACCAATACATTGCTCACTGCACTCAGAATATAAAAAATAATCTAATAATCTTATTTAGGTATATTAAAGTTATAATTTAAGCAACGCAAAAGTACCGTAACTAAACGTTTTAATTTTAAATTAAGTTAAATAAAAAAAAATGTTAAAACACCGGTTTAATAAATTATAACGTTTTGACATAAAAAGTTCCAAATTACAAAAGTTCAAATACTAAAAGTTCGGTATCGTGATTAATTATTCTAAATAACGTACACATTTATTTTACGTATTATGAAAATACTTAACTCTGGTTAACGTAAACTCTGGTTTTTTTTTACAAGGAAATCTCTATTAGAATATTATTGTTTTATTTATTTGCTATTACGGTTGAGCTCTTGGCGCTCATTCGCCATCATATTATTAATATTAAACCCTTCGGAGTCAAGAGTCTTAAATAGAAAGAAAATCTGAACGCACTTTACGTCGTGAGTAAGCCCGCACTGCAGTAATTAGAACGTTTGAAATTTGCATAGGGTAGTTTAATTTATGTAAAGAAAGGAACGATAAATCATTAAAACCAAAAAAAGATCCTGAGCGGAATAGTATAGAAAATGATGTTTTTTTTTTACTGTGTAAACAATATAGGTAATCCAGAAATCAACACAAATTACCTAACCGCGATTTATCGACGTCTCTTGTAAATTTTTTTTAGTTTTATAGAAAACCTGTTGGGAATTTAGACATTTTTTTAAATAAATTACCACCGCTCGGAAATGCCGCATCTTTTATAAGTTATTATATGGCGTGAAAAATAGCAGCAATTTGCTCACTGAAATAATGTTTTACTAAACCGAAAATGTACAGAAAAAATATTGGTAGAATTTCGAAAAATTGTTCAAATAAAATACCATACGTAAAAAAATTCGCATATTTCGAAATGTCTGTGAAAAAAAAACCTATTTCAATATAACCAATAGTTCCTTCGTTATATCTTCGTGGCCCTTTTTAAATGGATACTCGCATTACCTCGGAAAGTATTAAATCTTTTTAAAAAAATGTTTTTATTTTTTGACAATTTAAGATAGGCACAAGCAACTCTAAAGCATTATCATTATTTTTGTCAACCACATTTTTGGGGATGAAACGACTACTTACTTATGTTTTTCAACTTGTTAAAAAAAAAATCTTATAAATAGACGGAGTATTAAATAAAATAAATTTTAGTTTTATAATTTTTGATTGCCGTCAACCTGTTGACAAGATATTCCACTTTTAAGTTTAAATAGGGGGAAAGTAGTGGAACATTATTTAAACGCCGCGTGCCGTGCTACCACTCGAAATAAGGATGACAAAAATCTATGGTGATGTAATATTTTAGAATTGCTTGTTTAATGAATTATCAATGAAAAAAACTGTTTTAAAAATAGTTAATACTTTCCGAGAAAACGGGTATATTCGATTAAATAGATCATTTTGAACGCTCAAAATTCCAAAAGCACCCAATCGATTCGATGACAAAATAAATATTGAATTCATGAAATACGGCTCACTCCCTAAATTACGTCCGAGTTGCGGCCCAGGTTTATGAGAGAGGGACGTACGAGTTGTGGCCCGGATTTACGAGAAAGTCGTACGAGAATTGGCGAGTGCCACTTCATATCAGCCTAGTAGTATTACCCAGAAAAGGGCTTTTTCACGCGTTTTCTTCGTTTTTAAACCATTACTTCTGAATTTGATATAAGTCTCCGATTGAACTTCAAGTTCAAGAACACATAAACGAAGTTAGAAGTGTTAAATATCGTTCCAGTGTAGAACGGCATGTTTATTAATTTTGTTTATCGTTCGTTGTTGTATTTTAAATAAGATACAGATTCCGATGCGATACATTTGTACATTTTTCTTTTTTTTATAAATAATAAAATATAATATAGTAATAGCTATATCAGTGGTGAAGTTTCTAGACAAAAAGGGTTCATCGGGCCGTGACTAACGTATAGACAAAAAGTTTACCAGGCCGGAATCCGCCGGTCTCGACGTCAAAAATAACACGCCGGGCCGCAACTCACCTACAGCCACGAAAAGAATATCGGTTTTTTCCACTCGAAGAAGGAATTTTAAATAAATATTGTTTTAAAGCAAGTACAATAGTAAAACGTTCGACGTTATTTTTTTTAAGTATGTCCGCGGATCAGAAGGTATTATTGTTTTAAACGATTCGTTCGGGGCGTTGGACGGCCGAAAATTTGGCGAAAAAAAGGACGATGGCTCTCGAAAACCGGTAAATCTGAAAACGGATAATTATTCTGTACGGGTGTACGGTATCGTACTCGAAAAATCACGCGGTTACACGCGTAACGGCGGTTTTTCGCGAACACGGGTACTCGTTTTGTGCGGACGTTGTTTTAAACGTCGGAAGTGTATGTTACCGGCTGTTATTGTTGTGATTACGGTTAACGCTACACGTGCGGGGGGAAGGGGTATAGGAGGAAGATACGGAATCCCGCGTTACCTAATCGGAAATCGGGCTACACGAATATTTGATATTACAATTTTTATACACGTCAAAAACCGAACGGATAAAGGTACGATTAAAATTTAATACAATATAATATTCGTATCAAAGTGAAAACAGCGTTGATCAGATGTGAGGAGGAGGAGGAGGGGAACCATTATCCGTATCACTGTCGAACGAAAATATAACGCATAGTACCGATGCATACACACGCATAGGCATATTCATAAATTATGTTATGTATGTATACCTAACCTAACCTATACACGGTAATCGACAACCGTTTATAATAACAATATTATAATATTCAAATTTGTGTAAACAAAACTTTCACATTTTATACGCGCGTCTGCTGTACGAGTGTACACAAATACGCAATAACAACAATTTTACCACCACCGTCAAAAATTAAAACGGTTCGTACAAACTTCACAAGTATACCATCCCTACCCTCCCGGATCGTCGTAGAATAAAAAAAAAACAACACGGTTTGTTTTGCGAAATTACCGCGTAAATATCTCCAATTCGAAGAGGTATTTTATTCGGTAGTAGCCACGATGTGTTTGTTCAAATAAAACCAAAACGGTATAATGGTATACAGAGTGCACACAAAGTGCCGTCGTGATGCCAGTAGCGTAGCCATCGGGTACGCCTGGTTGGCCCGGACCCGCTCACTTGCCTACGAAAATAGCACAATTTTAATATCAAAAATTTATATTGGTAGTCTTTCTTATTCAAAAATTGATATTATTTTATCTGGGCTACCCGGAAAAATATTTCCAGCTAGACCTCTGCATGCTACCCGAAATAACTTGTTCTGTTCGGCGTTTTTTTTTTTTTTTTATTATTATTCCCGTAATAATCGCCACATCACTGTCATATAAGATTCCTGAAATTTATATATGCGGCAAACGGATTTCACGTTTACAGTAAACGGAAGTAAATTCAAAACTCGATACATGTTTTAATAAATATTACGTATATTGTTAATATATCATAACTGCGCACACATAATATTACGTAATACACAATAAATGTATTGAATTATCGCGGTACATTGTGTAGAAATAAATAATAATATTATTGCGGCGTATCCACGCCTAGAAAACGTCGTAAATGTCGAAAACTGATTGTCGGCGTATATATAGTGTTTCTCCCGTCCTCCCTCGTAAACCTACGATTATCCGTCCACAAGAGGTTTCGGGTAAATTCGATTTGGGTTTTCGGTCTGATGAGCCGTCAGAATCGTTCGACTGCAGTCTGCAGTACATAGTTTACTCCGGTGCTGCGACGCGCAAGTCGCAATAATAACGTAGGAAAGCGAATTTTTAATCTAACGCTCGAAAAGGGAATATTTTCCTAAACGCGCTACCGATTACGTTTCTGCATAACAATATACGACGCGAAGCACTTTATATTACAACATTACATCATTGTATTATGTACGACTAGACAAATCTACACGTTATTTTTTATCACGATACCGCGGTGGTAGGGCCGACGGTAGAAACTGCAGCGCGGTCAACACTCGAGATCCAAATACGAAACCAGTGACCGGGGCACGGGTAAACGCGGTATGCCGTGCGGTAGGCCGAATTCGTCGTGCAGAGCCTTGCGGACGGCGCACCTGGCCAGATGCATGAGAGCCGGCGGGTCCCAGACGACGTCGCCGCCGTCGTCGTGGTCCGCGCGCCGTCCGTAGCAGACGACGGCCCTGAGCAAGACGTCCAGGCACGGCCGCGCGCCCGGTGCCGTGGCCGAGTCGCGCAGGTAAGCGATTGCCGCGCGCATCGACTCCTCGGCCAAGCCGTACCGCAACAACAACGTCACGGCGGCCGCGTTACCGGACGCCGCGGCCACCACGATCGGCTCGGCCCGGTACGACCGCATCCGGACGTCTTGCGGCCGGTGGCCATCGAGCAACAGTCGCGCCCTGGTGGCCCGGTCCAGAAAAAAGCCCATTGCCGCTCGGTTGTCCGAGGACGACGACCCGTAATCCGAACTCCGGCCGCTGATCATCCGCGCCACTTTGCTGCCCACCACGGCCCCTTCGAACAGCTTCTCCAGCGTTTTCTCGCATCTGCAATTGCACATAAAATGCGACATCGAAATTATACACTATTATTATTATTATTATTATTATTATTATTACTATGTCATCAGATACATATCATGTTAGAAGCGGATGGACAGAAGTAACCGCGAGCGAGCTATGATAGTCAATAATCGTCGTACGTGAACCATGCGAAGTGGGTCACTGTGAGCGCAGGACTAAAATAGCTGGTACTAAGACGGCGAAGGAAGAATATAAAATTCGTGTCATCGTATCGTCGTATGATAACAAAGAATAAAACTTTTAAAAAGGAATTAACGTGAAAACAAATGTACAAAAAAGAAACAAAACATTTATAAATATTAGTAGTACTTGTACAGTAAAATGAACAACGACGGATGAGATAAGAAGGAGACAATAAAACATAATATTTTTTAAGCTAAAATAGCTTTAAACAGTGAAACTATTCGAATTGTTTTTAGAAAGATTTTATTTGTTTGTAACACACTGCTTTATATATAAGTGGTATATGAACGATATCAAATGTTATTCGGTATCAGATATCGGAGATTAGGGTCGTTTGAAATGTATAGTATATTATACAGAAGAATGTTGAGAATAATCTGGACCGAGAGAATAAAAACTGAAGAAGTACTGCGAAATAATAGCGTACCGGAAAGAAGACCATCAGCCCATCACTATAGAAAAGTTTGACTACAAACACGAAATGAGTAGATTGGCCAAATAATCAGACTTGAATGCCTGTTGAAATTAACTGTTAAGTCAAGCGTTAGGGGAAAGAACCACGTGGCTTTAAAATATAAACAACGGATCATAATAATAAAAAATCCGATTGGTACTACGCGTAGGCACTCGTATTATACGCTGAAAAGGTAAACAGACGGATTGCAAAACTGCAAAACCAATCTAAGGACAGTAGCGGATCCAGGAGAGGAGTAATTATCCGTCTCCCTTGAACAATTTCTGAATACGCCTCTATTTAGGGATTACTATTCAAGAGAGAGAGAAAGAGAGAGAGTATTGTTGTCGTAAAAATTATTCTAATATTAGGTTTGTGCTTTTTAATATTGCTGTTGTGATTATTATATCTATGTACGTTTTAGTAGATACGTACGATTGTTACCGTTTAAAAAAAAAAATCCGTTAATTTTCTTGTAACTCCCTGGCGTAATACCGTCCAACTATAGTGCAGGCCAGATCCGTAAACACACCTGAATATTTATTTATATTTTTTAAATGTTTTTACGTTATCGATAACACCCGTAACCGGGCGTCGCGTTTCGCCGGCAGTGGGTCAACAGGTGATCCGAGGTGGTCAGAAAGCCCGTTCTAATTTAAACGCGAGTGCGACGGTGCCCGTCCAGTCATTAATTTCTTCGAGGTCAAGTAATTACGCGTTTATAATATTATGTATATACATATTATTATAATAACATAATATCATATCTCGTTTCGGTTGTACGTACCTGCGCTCGTTATCCTAAAAAAAAAACCGCTCGGAACAAAAACAAAACCTCAAAAATCGCTTTGCATTTATACGCATACTATTATACGTGCGTACGTTCGCCGCGAGTGTGTACGTTTTTTCTTAGATTTTAAACGTACGCGATATTTTGATTAATTACCGCGGGTGTTTCTGACAGAACGTGTGCGATATAGGTAGGTAACCTCCTGTATGTTATAATATATTATATTATATACCGCCAAAAAAAAAAAATAAACGTGAAAAACGGACATCCGCGATTTAAATATCAATTGTTTGTTCGGCGAAACTGAAACTTTACAATTGCAACACCGCTATCTATGTTCCAATAAATTCTAAAGCTCCAGCTCGATCGGAAATACTCTAGACGTATGATATTATGATGACACGTCGGCCGGTGAGCGAGTCAGTGGGTCAGCCAGTCTCCGAACTTATTGTGATTTTCGGACACAATAGTATTTTGGAGACGTAGACGTACGACATTCGCGAGATACTGCTTCCGTCCGGCGCCTAACCTAACTCGGACGAATTCAATCCTGTCACATAACTACCCTCATAATAATACGTCCACTTTATAATATAATATTATAGCGGCGTCGAAATGCAGGTTCGTGTAAATATAATTGTGCTCGGATTGGGGCGGCCGTTAGTACATTGTTCTATTACAATTATAGCGGCCTGTTTCAGTAAAATCCGACGGGAATAGTAATAATTTCTACACGAGACCTATCAGGTAAAAAAAATACATATGTTAGTTCCTACAACGTAAAAAATGGTAGGTTAAACAGAGAATTGTATTCGTTGTGAAGTTTGCTGAGGCTGCATTTTTGGTAGAAAATCAAAAAATAATTCAATAATAATATAATAGTATGGATAAGGGGCGATAATATAATCGCGCTCGTTTCAACCGTTATACTTGTTAGTATATCTATGACGATAAGTTACCGATAAAGCAGACATCTAAATTCAATTTTTGAACACACGCACACACATTTGCGACTTTTCATTACTGATAAAACTGATACATAAAATTCGTTTTTGGTTTGATAGTAATTATATCTATTTACACAATATTGTACATTAGGTAATTCATTTTAAAAGTTTACTCTATAATGCAAATTTTTTTTCAAATAAGTCAAACATGTAAGTACTTACAAGGTATTCGTTTGATATATAATATTATAATATGTTTTTTTTTTTTTTTTTACACTTATAAGTTTATCGTGATATTGATTTTTTTTATTTATTATAAGTAATTTTGAAATAAAAATAACTAGTTTTGGTGATGTAAGGTATTATGTATTTATTATTTTTTTTTTTTTTCTTTACCTAATAAGTCTCCTATGTATAAGAACGTACATTCGCCCGAATCCGAGAGTATCTTCGGTTGAGTAATATTTATACGAACCCCCGAGAGTTAAACAATTACCCGACCATTATTATAATTTATAGAAGTTGTTACAGTGGACGTGCCTGTGTAATATACGTAAGTATAATACAGCTGATGATCCCGCGGGAACAATATACCTGCCCAGTCGGGCGCACACGTTTTCGGCCGAGGGACGATGGGAAAACTTCCCGGATCGCCATTATTGCGGCGCACCTGTTTAATACCGATGACTAGGAGAGACGAAATCCATCGTACTCGTAAACAGTATTTTAGCATACGGATATACGAATATTCCCGATTTAAAAACAATAATAAACCGCGCAGGAGTGGACGAATCCGCGACCGAACGACTGCGAATAGAATACAAATCGTTAGGAATATACAGATTGTTATACTGCGCAGCAATCTCCGTAGATGTGGAAAAATTAATAAGAATATAAAAGAAATTTTACGGCAACGGACGAATTAGATTTGGTAGCCGGTATAACGCGGTTTTGGCAAATCCTCTGCGCTGCAAATTCGACGCGATGAAATTGAAAACTGTACAATGGAAAATCGCGCGGTTATAGATCAATAAATATAGGCACCGTTGGTTGCTGCAGTGAAAACAGTAAATAAAAAAGTGAAACCAAAAATAAAAAATAAAACTATAGAACTCCGAGTAATTTTTACTGTTCAGTAACTTCTTTAGCGACGCAAGAACAACCTAACCGAATAATTGATTCAGGGTCGACTTCACCAGAAGTTCCGTTTTCGTTTGAACAATGTCATCGCAACCGTATGTACGACTGGTAATTTATGTAAACATAGAAATTATTATTTTTATATGCATCGAGTATTTTCGATTTTCGAACTGCGTCGACAATTTCATTATTCAATTTGTTATGAAGACGTCACGTTCCGACAGTTAAACTTGACATTTTTGTATCTATTTGAATGTACGTTTTATTCGAAGCTGAATTTTTAAATTGAAAATTATTAGTAAATTTTATTGTTATTGTGATATTAAATTAATTATATTAACCAGTTTAAAGCGACAGTAATGTATTCAAATACTTCTTATAAAATACTTTAGAAATACATCGTGACAGATGTATTTTGAATATTTTTTAATTCCAGAATATAAAATGCTTTTGTTTGCGTTATTCGGTATATTACAATATTTCTGTGTATTTTACGATTTTAATTGTTTCTAAAACAATACGTTATATTTTTAAACGGTTCTAAAAATGATTTCTCGTGATTTCTTCAAAATACGTACATTTTTACCGCGCAATAACCCATTATTATAAAAATGAAACCATAGCTATAGCTAAAAGCCAACATAATAAGCTCATTGACCAATATAATTAAATGATGTGCACAATACACGTCTGGACGACCTATTTGAATTGTATATCCATGAATTAGTTCAAGTGTTTATTTGTGATTTGTCGAAACCATTCAAGACACGTAGAATGTACTGCGGGGAAAAAAGTATTTTGAATATTTTTGACAAGTATTTGTATTTATATTCAAATACTTTTCAAAGACAACGGTCTGATACGGTTTACACGAGTATATAGATATTGAAAAATCTATATTCTCTATACACGTCCGATAAGTATTTTTCACATGACTGTCAAACGCTCTGCAATGAATCCGTTCGGCAATACGTGAATACGTCTTGGCCCGTTTTTGTTAATTAATATGTTTCAAACTTGACATTTCAAGGGGAATAGAAAACAAATACGAGTCACGATAATCGACTTGTACAACGAAGTTTTGCGCGACTTATAGAGTCGTTTACACGCGAGTATGAAAAACAAACGTGCGGTTAAAACTTAAATTGCCTACTTAATGTCCGTTGGAAGTGAACGCGTGGGTATGTAACGAGCGGTACGAAACGGCCGAACGAGTTAAAAACATACTCGCAAACAAGTCGACTTTTACTTTGACGCATTAGAAAAAAATCACAGTGAACCTGTAGGTAATATTAACGGTGTTGTGACCGGAATTCCCTGCAGAACGTCCAAATTCGAAAACGTTACGCTAATAATGTTACATAATAATCTTGGAATTCTATTTTTAATTTTACCACGGGGTTTTTTTTGTTAAAATTTTCGTTTTTAACAAGAATTTTTTTCCTTGAATATTTTTCTCTCGAGGGCTTTTTCGTAGATCCGTTGTGACCGCAGTTGGAACAATATTCAAATACGTTACAGTGGCTCACACAGAGGGCGGTTAGAATGTCAACTCCTCCCCTCCCCCGAAATTTCTTCCTTCATTGCATTTTTTTAAATCGAGTTCTACATTCAACAACATATCTTATACCACAGAATAAAATAAAATTGAATTTCGTCAATAATCATTTATTCAGTAATAATACAGTGATAATACTATACTGATAATAATAATATGTGTTATATTGAATATACATAACCAGACGACGACGACCAACGTATTGCAAAGTACGAAGTTATCGTGGTTATTGACGATACGACGACGTCGGGAACAAAATCATTACGGATTGAATGGATCGCCTCAACCCGAGGACGAAATATTTGTTCGACGAAACATTAATATATACTCGTATTTGAAATTACGTATCTAGAAACGTATATTGCCAACAATACGCATTTTATTTCTCACTGGTAAACGATATTCGAGTACCGACGCGAGGTTTTTATTATTTTTTTTTTTTTACCGATCAATATAATATGAACGATATGTTTCTAAAACTAAAACCCGTACAAAAACAGTCTACAGCTCATTATGCTTAAGTATAGGTATAGCTGATATCGTATTACTTGACAGATTTTGTTTTTTTTTTTCAAGTCTAACAGAAAAATGCGATAATAATAATAAAATCGAATGTCACAAGTCGACCGAGTACACGTGCAGTTATAACCTAAAGGCATGTACGCACGTCGCGGTCAGGTTAAGTTAAAAATAATAAGTTACCGTGGTAGAAAAAAAAGAATTACAATCATAATTCCGTAACTTACTGCAGTAAACGTCCCGACGCACGGAATATTATTAAAATTTATCTTTTTTTTTTTTCCGTTACGGTTATCGTATTCAAGGATTCCGCTTTCTTAAACGTCATTAGTTTTATTTTTTTTCGTCTTGGTACACGCGGATTAAAACAACAATTTTAGTTATTAATTTTATCATAAATCCAAGGGTGTGCCCCACCGCCACCGCCACCGCCACCGACTGTACACAACATCGGAATTTATGTATCGATACGCGCTAAACATTAATTTTTCAATAATTTTAATCTGTTATGCATAATTACTACTACGCTGTGTTCTCGATACACGTTTTTCGTAATCTAAACTCGAGTGATCGCGATCATTATCTGTAACGATAAATCATTGTTGACCTGAAAAGAAAAACAAAATACAGTGATAATCCGACGGGATAAATCGAAATTTGTCATTTTTTTTCCCCACCGCGTTTTTAAAAGGGCTCCGTATGAATTGAATCCCAGGTACCTGTTTACCCACACCGATACCGTTTAATTGATTCCACGGCTATTATGGGTTATGTACGAGTTGATTATTGTATTATTTATTGTATTATTGATCAGTAAGCCTACCCTTTTTAAGCCCAACAGAAGTTATCGATTGCTTTACAGATGAGTTGATGGCAGTTCGACAAACAGATGACGAAAGAATTGTAGAATTTATGGACTACGTATTTGATAGTCATATTTACCCAGAATCAAGTTTTCCACCAAGTATATGGGCTCAATTCTTCACTACTATAAATAGAACTACGAATATTTGTGGGAGTTACCTATTATTTGAAACTTAACAGTTGTTTTATAGTGGGTGCCCAAATATTTTTCAATTTATATATAAGCTATTAGACGTACAGTTGGAAATGTATACTAAATGCAGGAGTAATAAACTAGAAAATCCAAGCAAATCTGAGGAAAGTGATGAAAGTAATCTCATTACCAGATATCAATTTTCTCTTGGATAACGATAATGAGCTAAAGTATTCATTCAACATAATATTATCATATTAACAATAGAGGAATCAACTCGTATATACCTCTTAATAACCCGGAAGTCAACAAATACAAAAAGTAAGTCTCAGGAATTAACTCAACAATGTCGTTTAAAAGTTGAGGGAAACCAGAAATCCATAATAATAAAAACAACAATAACAAGGCACCTGGTACACGTTGTGTCGGTGTTTCTCCCCCCCCCCCCCATAAAATCTGTCGATAAAAACGTTTATGTTTTATAAGGTCAACAAAATGTAAGGCCGCGTTCGAATATCGGTTATCGCGTCTAAAAATATAGACATTCGAATATCTAGAACCGATAAATACTTTCGAAAAAGACGAAATGCGATCCGCTATAACGTGATCTATTATTTGTTATCGATCAAAAATAATATTTCCGATCATACGGGTGTATGGGTGTGTACCATATTGTTATGTAATAAATGATTGTCGTTACTATCGTAACTGCATTCGGTAATTCGCCAATAATCGTAGTGTTTGCATTTGCATAATACCAATTACCATTGATAATTCATCGATCGTCTAGACATATTCAACGGCAATAATATTACGTAGACTGCAGTCTTAAGTCGGTGTAAATTGGTAAGGAAAATTGAGATCAATTTTAAAATAATCTAGAAACCCTTTCGGATACATCGAAATAAAATAACATACCTTTTCGTGGCGAAATTTGTTTGATCAGACGTACAGAAAGTAATTCAGTTTTTCGTACTTATTTAGACAAACAAACCGAAGTAAAATAAACAATATATTTTCCGCTAAGTTCGATATTACTGTTTTGAACAATTATTCGATTCCGTACTCGTGTTGTTTTTTACGTTTCTTAGAGATAATATTTTCATTTTATGACACACTTTTATGAATACACAAGTTGGTTTTCAGAAAAACACGAAGGTAAACTCGTCGTATACTTTACCTGAATTAACTAAGTAAATAAAAAAATGACGAACAAAATACATCATGTTATCTACGAAACGTAAAACAAGAAATTTAATAATTCGAATATGTTTTCAAAATTAAAATTGCACTAACGGTGTGGTGGGTCTAAAGCGAAAGTTCTCAAAATTGTTTTCTCAATAAACCGTTTTTTTCTGTTTTTCGCAGACCGCCCCCTCCCCAATAATGAATGTTTACAAATTAATCAACTTTGAACATATTTGTACAAATACGTGCCTCCGATGTTTCGCTTCATTAGGTTAATTCTAAAAAGAAAAACTGCAACGGTTGACTTTGTTTTTATTAAATTTAAACCGCCCCCTTGTAAGTTAACTTCATTAAATTTAGCAAACAAATCCGTTAAACAAGCAATGTCTCATTTCCTTTAAATCAATTTTCCCTTTAAAATATAATCGAAAAACTCTAAATGATTCTAAATGATTGATCTATGCTAATGGTTCCCAAAAATTTTTTCCCGCTAATTTTTTCTGTTTTTCGTATACCCCCTGATATTTATTAGCTACTATTTACATTTCATGCGCCCCCGATTTCATTTTTCGGTGACGTGGATCCTTTGCAAGTAAGACTAAATCCCCGGAAGTCTATTTATAAACTACTTCGGGAACCTCTGGTCTATATCAATATATGTATATATAGTTTATTTATTAAATCCCTGTTTTCATCTCTTGTAACTTCTATTTATTATTTTTTTTTTTTTTTTTGTTCACCGACACAGATCCCTTGCAAAAACGTCATATTCGAGCTTAAAAACGGCCGTAGCCCCCTCCGGATTAAATGGATATCGGACGGTAGATTAGTGGAAAAGACTGGGGAAAAAAAGGTAAAATAAATTCCGTTCGAATATGTACTTTTACAAAATCGGAGAAAATCGCAGTCGTATACTCCTCACCACCTTACCCACACGATAATTTGACGGGGCGGCCGCGACGTAATGATAATTATTAATATCAACACAATATACCTACACTTCCGTCTCGGTTTTGTCACGAAAAACCCGTATTTTCGTCGGGTTGTTCGCGCGGTACATTTGACCCGCGGCGGCAGCGGTGGATTCGGTGTAATAGGTAACGAGTGATTAAATTAAAATGCTATTCAGATTGACCTATTTGATTTGCGCCTCGTCATAATATACAAGCGAATAAAAAAATTTAAAAAAAACATTACTCCAACGTATAAAAACGACACGTACGATTTATAACGCTGCAGAATTGCAGTATACTCAAACCCAATATTTATATTATATTATAATATTGTTACACTTGCGACGCGTTTAACATCGCTTTTGATTTTTCAGAACGAATATTAAATTATAGTAGATATGCATGTATAATGTATATAGGTACACACGGGTGGACGAATGATACCGGTAGCGGTATACAGTGTGATCATTTTCGCAAATTGTATACCGGCCGCCGAACGTCTCGGCCGGAAGACTTTGCCGGATTCGACCGGTGTTCGGTATTCGATTTAGGATTTAGGATTTTCGGTTCGGGATAAACTCAAAATTATTCTACCCCTTATTTTGGACGCGCGCATACAGCAAACGTTTGAACGCCAACGTCGGATTTGAATAGCGTTATTGTTATTATTTGTTTTTTTTTCCAAATGACGTGAAAAAGTTACGACTTTTTCGCAATATTCGGAAAATTTAAAACGATTGATCACTACACTATAATAATATGTGTGTGTGTCATTTTACAATTGTCTTTACTACAATAACTTATCATCTCACGTAAAACGCTAAGCAATTTTTTCGAATGCAATTTAAACGGGTTAAATGTCGACGTGGAAAAAATGTGTCAAATTTACATGAAAAACAAAAAAAAACCTTCAGGATTATCGGAATCTGCAAGCGTCAAAAAAATTTGACACAGCACCGTTGTATATGGGATTATCAAAAACTAACTAGCGGTGAGCCGATGTGACATTTTTCCGATAATCACGAGTCGATATTGAAATGAACCGATGTGTCGGACGGTTTTTAACGGATATTCAATCGTTTTATATTCCAGAGAAGACGTTCTTTTCCGGAAAGTATCGAGTTGAAACGAAAACCCAATATCCTGATCCGTGATTAATTCCCGATTTCTAAACGCATTTTAAACAATAAACTATTATAATTCCGTATTATACAACTACGAAAAAAAAAATTCGGTAGGTATAATTTTAATGCGGGGTTGTGCATGTTAGGAACTTGATTAAATTAAACGCACTTACGAACTCGATCGGATCAGATCGATGTCTATACTATCACTATTACGAATAAACAATCTTTGTATAACCAATTTAAAACGAACAGACAATATGTTTATTTATTTATTCGTTTATTGTAAATTAACGCCGCGAGGGCACGTAGTATCGCCAGTATATATTATTATTTATACCGGTAACTACGGACGGACGGATACGGCGGAGATACAAGGCCTCTAAACTCGTGTTTAGAAATCTAAAAATAAAACCCCCGTTGAATCCAATGTCTTCCGGCCGAAATAATATATTGATAGCGTGTTTTGAAAACGAAAACAATTTTAAAAACCGATCACGCTGTATACGCGCACCTATATTATAATGTATATCGCCACGGCTAATAGAATATTATATTTTCAGGACGGATTGTAGGTCATCGTAAAATAATATACGAATGTATACTTCCGGACCAGAAGATATACGGATGTCGGCGATACGACGGTCGCTTCTCAATATAATATTTTTTTTATAGTACGCGTTTCGTTTCGTTATAACGTGTTTGTTGTTGGTTTTTTTTTTTTTTTTTGGACGTGTGTCAACTCCTCTGCTTTCCGCAGATCGTGTGACACGATTTTTAAACGTCGTTTACTCCCGCAGGTGCACCGTGAAAAAAACGCACGGGCACGCGCGTTTAATACCAAATCAAACCGAAATTATAAAATATCGCATAAAATACGGTATTTTGCACAGGGCTCGCGCGGGCGTTAAAATCGAAAACAAAATATTCCTGTCGTTTTCCGTTGAAAAAAATTCCGCTGTAGAAAACCTTTCGTATGAACGAATTAGAAACGGACAATGATTTGGCAACGATTTTTGTCGGAGATTCGACTGTTACTTGTAGGTTTACGTTAATTAGGTATACGTGAGTTGAAATCAATTACACCAGCCGTACCGGCGTATTAAATACGCGTACGTCTCAATGTCGGACTCCGGCGGTCAATGTCGAATGCCAACGAAAGTTTGGTTTTTGTTATACTCATCGGGCCAAATATAAATGTTTTTTTTTTTTTTTTTTTTTGTAGGTCGTCGCAGTGTATTTGAAATCAGTTTAAGAGACAAAACATCTATGTTGCAAAAAAAAAAATGTATCCAGCTCACGATAAAGACAGTCACTCTTTTTATTGCTCTTTCTCTAAAAATATTGTCAAACAAACGAGTTACATCAGCCATGCTGGTTTTGTTTTTTTTTAGTTTTAGTTGGTTTTTTTGGCAATATTTGAAAAATAAAATGCTGCGTTGTGCACTCAAAGATACACCCCTCATCAAAGTTTTGTTACCCGTGTTGAACCAATTATTATGAAAACCACCTGGAAAATCAAAAATGAATGAACGAATTAAAAAAATGAAAAAGTACTGCACTTGAAAATTAGAACCAGATTTTTGATAGAAAAGTTGTTCAAAGATAAAAAAAAAACAAATAGACATCATTGTAAAAACAATTTATTTGTTTACAATTATCGCTACGCTCCAAATATAAAAATTCAAATTCAAAGTTTCATTCAAAAAGTTTTCAGAGTGATAATGGTGATTATTTTATTGTGACAAAATGTCGATAAGCTCATAAACAAAAACCAACTCGAAAGTTTAATTTTCATGAATTTGCGATCTTGATTGACTGGAGTGTGGTTCTAAACTATAATCTGATTTTAAATTAATGTATGCGTTATTGTTCATACGACCGCGAATTTTAAAGTGTCAATAAAAAGTATGCGGTTCTGAACGATCGATCCTTTAAGAATACCTACTATAGAAAAAAAACGCATACTTCACACGATGGGTGGGCCACTGTTGTATGTGAGATGTTGGGAAAGTAGGATAAAAAGGGGAATTTAATATGCGCACGCAACGATTAATCATTGCTAACGAAAAATGATTCCGGGCGGAATTCGATTATTCATATTTTGAAAGGCCGTACAAATCACGATTTTCGTCAAAATTTTGATATTAAAATTCTTATAAAAAATAATTCTACATAACACTCGATTTTTTTTTTTACCACCAAGTATGACTTATAATAAACCTCTTGTTCAATTTTTAAACATTTTTGTTGGGTCAAACAATTTTACTCACAGATTACCTACCGAATGAAAAATACGTAAAAAACAAAAATTGAAAATAATACACTTGAAATGTTCTAGATTTTTCCTATTTGTTATGAAAACCTCTTGGAAATGAAATGAACTCTTTCGGGTAATTTCCTGATATTCCTTTTCAGAAAATCGATACTTCGCTCAGAATCTAAAAGCGTGTGAAAATGATTTATATTAAGTTATTGATGACTCCCGAATCCAACTATTCGGACGAAGCCAAAAAACCGTTTTTGACACTGAAGTCCCAACTCCAAAACGACAATTTGTATACATGGAGAGGTTAAGTTAGGTTGACGGAATTGAGTTTTTTATAGACCCTATACGCTCTCCCATACGACTCAGTTAACTTTGTTGGATTTACAGAAAACAAGAAATCAAAAAAAGAAATTTTTTTTTTTTTTTTGAGTTGCGGCAATAGATGGGGAATCGGGCTAACGACGACACGACGTGTTATTTTCGTATATTATTATTATCGTGTCTCCCGGAACGTTATTAGCTTATTAGCGAGGACTCCGCGTATAATCGTCGTGCACGTGCCCGTTACCGTTGATTACCGTCGATTACAGTTGATTACCATTGATTTTATAAAAATCAACGCTATTGCTCGTCGACATCGTCGTCGGTCGGCCTTGTGCTACAACGGAATAACAATACGCGCGATGTCCGGAATATTGGGCGATCGTCGTCGGTGGGCGGGCATTTGCACCGAGTGTAAGATTGTTCGCGGCGGAATACGAAACATAATAATGATATCGCTAATCCATTACCCCGGTGTACCCGTAATACCGTGTGTATATAGTATATACGACGAGACGTGTCGAAAGAGTCGACGACGGTCGTTTGTACACAGATATTGTTATAAACATATATACCTAGGTGTAAAACGTTCGGGAAAAAAATTTTCGATTTCTTTAGCCGAAGGTCGTGGCGGAGCAAGTACAATATTATTATTATACGCTTCATGTGTATACCTATCGTGCCCACCAGTGTAAACAAAACGAAAAATTACGTGACCCGTTGTGTTAGAAAAAAAAAAAGCCAACGCGCAATAACGTATTATGTATTATAATAATTCGTGTGTATACAGGACCTCCCGCTTCTTTATTGGATCGGGAGGTTTTTTTTTCCATTATAATAATTTAAAATTATTTCCAATGTGCACCCGGTGTATAGACATTAATAATATAATTTATCTATTCGCGTATTATTATAGGTAAATACGCGAAACATAATTACCTTGAGATATCCGCGCACATAGAATATTATATTGCATTGTAGCGATAGGAGTGGACATTTTTTAATTTTTGTTTTTACAAGATCGATATTATTAGCTATATTTTTGTTACTATTGTGTTAAATATTAATTACCGATTTTTCAGTGTACCATTCCCTCCCCCCACGATAAAGGTTATAGCCCGCGCAGTATCGAATATAATCGGAAAATTACCTTGAGACAATAATTTTAATAAATATTTATATACGAAATGCGTACAAAATGTCATAATTTCTGCAAGATTTGACACGAAAATCGCGTTTTTCGGTTCGTCTTACGCTAACGTGCAGTTCTAAATGAAATTTTTTTATAAAATAGATATTTTAAATTAATAATCTCCAAAAATAAAAAAGACTAATCAATGATTCATTAAATCAGCTGAGGTACAAAAATTTGAAGATTAAATAGAAATCTTAGCTCTAAGCCTGTAATTAATACACTTAATGGAGACGATAATAATATGTAACAGCGTCCATAGTGCAACAATTAATTAAAAGTCTTTTGAATGCATTGAAATTTCGTGAAACTGATCCTCACTTTTTACAGATAGTTAAATCGCGTATATTAGAAGATATAAACGAGATAATATGATAATTATTATGATGAGTCCAATACAATCAAAATCAGCTGCATTATATCCAAATAGTCGCACGAGTTAAAATGTTTATCCATTCAGTAATTATTACTAATCAGTACACTGAATATGAAAAATAAAGAAAATACTATGTTTAATAAACTCAATGTATTTCAATATCGAAACCGTAAATTTTACGATATCGGCAAAATTAGGGCGATTTATCAATACTTGGAATTATATTATTGAACATCACTAGTTGTACTATTTTAAAAACGGAATATTATACGATTATAATTAAAACCAATTCCATAATTTCGAAGCTATAAGAATATTTAAATTTAAACATTTTTAATATTCTTGTATTTGTCGTCGTTAGGGAAATGAGCGAAACGACCTGGCACCATACGGAGCAATCTGTCATTATGTAAGACGCCCATTATCTCGGAAAGTATATTGAATTTTTTCAGAATTTGTTTTTAAAGAAAAATGAGTAGCACTAAAACTTTGCGTTACCTTTATTTTTTGTCACCTTAATTTTCAGAATTGCTTTGCCTACTTTTGATTTTCAAATGTATAACCTATTATATTAAAAACTTCGTAAATATACAAAGTTTCAATTTAAATAAGTTTTGATAACGGCACGTCGAGACGGAAATTAAATACGTTAACGTCGAAATTTATTTGGAAACCCCAAAATGGTGACAAAAACTAACGAAAATGTAACGGTTTTAGAGCTACTTATTCAAAAAACTTCTGAAAAAACTTAATATTTTATAAGATAACGAGTGTTTTACGTTATCTTGACAACTCTGTACAAAATAAAAAATTACTGTAACTAAATCTTCAAAATTATCGAAAATAAAATATTAATTTTTGTCGGGGAAAAATAACACAAGTCATTATAATATTATAATTAATCTCGCGGAGAATCTAAAACTCGTGACCTCAAAATATTACAATATTTTAACGTGATTATTTAATTACCTCCTATATTACATCGAGGTGTATAAATTAACACGATTTATATGTAACGACCAGACGGTATTTCACCGGAAAACGACCCGTTAAGACATTTGAGCACAGCAGCAATTATACCGGAACGTCGAACGTGGCATTCGCCGTCCACGTTTAAAAATACTGCGCTTAGAAATAATTTTGGTAAAAATAATATTAGCCTAACGCCAGCTAACATTAATAAAATTTATTTTGAATGATAATTAAAAATATACCGTGGTTATCAATAGTGTAATGGTACTATACAACACTCAAAATCGTATAAATTATTATATTCTAGAGTAGCGGTTCCTAAAGTGTGCGCCACGGCGCCCTAAGGTGTCTCGGTGTTTGTACAGGAATGCCGCGTCGCCATTTTGAATATTTACTGGTCTAAAAATAAATTTAAAACACAAATGACAGCGGAAACGGTGAGACCAGCCTCTTTTTTTTTTTTTGATTTTAAAAATTGTTTCAGTTAGTAAAAATACATCAAATTATTCACACTGTACCTTGGAATATGTGGATGCTTAATAGTACTTCATTAAAAAAATGCACGAAAACTGAATAATACAATGTGATCAATTCTCCATAAGATCGTCATTATCTCGGAAAGTGTTGATTTTTTTTTTTCTGAATTTTTTTGAAAGTTAATGAAACACAAGCATCTCAAAAATATTGCATTACCGATATCGTTGGCGAAAATTAAAAATGTATTTAAACTAAAACTTTGTCTGTTCGTGGAATTGGTAATAAAAGTTTATTTGCGAACCAAATAAAGGTTTTACCGCTAAAAATAAAGGTGACAAAAAATAACGGCAATACAACCTTTTGGAGCTACTCGTTTCATAAATTTTCTAAAAAAAAAATTATGAACAAATTTAAAACATTAATCTACGTTCAATAATCGTATATAATAATCGTATAGAAACACTACCCTCAATTCGCATAATATAATATTATTATATCCATCATAAAAAAAAAACATCCCGATAAAATTAATATTTGAAAAATAAATTAAACGATAATATATCTAGACCTCTGAAGGATTTTTGGCATGCTGGAACTTATGAGCGGAGGAAAATACACAAGTACACAACCACGAACTCTTAGATCTGTCTCAGAATGACTCGGGGAATAATTGTGAATAACAAGAGTACAATGATGATAGGGAGTGACGGAAACGCTAATAAAAACCGTAATCAACGAGAATGCAATAAGGAAATGACCACCGAGGAGACCGACTCGCCTAAGACTGCGTGAGGCAAGAGATAGAGAAATTGTGGAAACTGAAATAAAACATTAGGGGAGGCCGAAGAGAATTATTACTGAAAGGCTGCAGGTCTTTGTAAATGGCCTGTAGGAAAAATATACCAATACAGGAATAATAAATTTAATATCAAACGATCGAAATCGAATTAAAATTCAAACATAATAATATGCACTTAAACTAAACTTTCTGTTAGTGCACTGTTATTGATATAATCTATATATTATAATATTATACTCGTATATATTACATATTAATTTCGTGTCGCTGCTGTAAAAGCGTTATTTAAACGAATCGTTTCCAGTGAAAGCAGCGTTTGATATTGTAACGTTTAATAAAAATAGTTGTATTTTTTGATTATTTTTATGACTTTATTATCACAATAATATAATAAATGAATAATATATTTTATCGCTTCATTAAAAATGGAAATCGTTTAATATTAATGCAACGTTTAAACGTTTATTTCTCGTTCGTTGAAACGTTTAAAAATTAATACGAACATGTTATACGTATTATACAAAAAGATACGCGCTACCTATCGTATAATAGTTGGATAAACAGCGAATTCTAAACGGTTTGCAGTTTGCAGGTCCAGGAGTGACGAAACAATATAGTCCTTAATGAAAATTACATCTTATACGTTCATCCGTTAAATTCGAATAGAATTAATACAATGATATCCAATTAAAACAATTTTGTTTTTTTTTTTTTTCGTAGTTTAACTATCTTAATCTATATCACAGAAATATCATGTTATATATATATCCGTTTTTTAAAGCTATTGAATTGTATAATGTAGTGAGTATTATTTAGTATTATTGTACCGTAAAAGTTAGTATAGTTTTACTGAAACGTGTTTGTTTTTCACGGGGAAAATCGTATTCAATTATTAAAAATATTCCGATTTGTTCACGCCGTACCATAAAAGATGCGGATTTTTCGCCCAATGATATAATGTATTTGAAACGATTTTTCTAAAAAAACTTCTTAAGAACCTGACAATAAACGACGATACGTCGGTTTTATTTTTGTCGATATCTGGGTTACCTTGGTCGCGAGAAAATAAAATACGTAACATATTACGATAAACCCTATAAGAACGTCTTAAGAACAAATAACCGAGTTTCGTTTAGAATCGTTTTTCAATTATGATGGCTAGTCAAAATCAAAACAATAAACAAAACGAATACACAGTATAAAATAATAATAATCATTATTGGTAGTATTTTGTTTAGTTTTATAATATACAAACTCGAAAAACTCGAACATTTAATGCTTAGATAAAAATATATATACACAGTGTATTTGCAGGATTTGACAATTTCCTATGTAATGGATAAAGATACACTTAAAGACAAGGGCTGATTTAGAAATTATATAAAAGGGCAGGAAAGGCTGAAAAAAAGTCACTTTTCGTTAGCGTTAAAAATGTGTTTTTAAAATAAGTTATAATTTAGTACAGTGGTCGCCACTTATAAGACTAACTTTGGAACTAGCACAAAATAAAGCTTATAACCGAATTAACCTTATAGGCGAAGTGGAGAATGGATAGAACGTATTTAGACACGTCCGGACCGTTCCGAGTGATTTTGAGTCTAATAAGCGACTGAACCTTATATCCGTGAGTCTTATAAGCGGCGTCCACTGTAACATGCTAAGGGAGGCAATTTCAGTCCCCATAGTCCCCATTGTATCCGCTCCCGCACGTTACACCCTGTACAATGTACATAGGTAGTGTCCGTGTAATTAAATTTCTATTTGACGGCACCATAAACCCTTTTCCCACGCGTTTAGGAGTTCAACTCGGCCTTGTGCGGCAAAAAAAAAAATTTAAAAAAAACCAACCCAATACTATGTATTATTATATAGATGTAGGTAGTAGTAAACTCCTGCGGCATGTCTATAATAATAATACGCATGTAACGAATCGTATTTTTTTTTCATATCTCATCGAATCCGAATTAGACGTACTACCTCTACGATTAGAAAAAAAAAAAATAAAAAAAAAATGATTAATTGTAGTGCAAACACCTATCCCGCAGGCCGCAACAAAATATATTTTCCGAAACAAGCTGCAATCCATTACACAATAGCGTTTAATATTCGTCACGGTCTTCAGAGTGTATAATGTTATAGCGTTGGTGCAGCCAGATCTAATGCTCGTCCAACACATAATATTGTTAGGTTTTTTTTTTTTTTTTTTTTTTTTTTTGTAATCCTTAAAATTTTACGACTCGTCATCTCGTCGATCTTAAAATACGCCGCGAAATAATAGGTAAGTTGTTGCGATTCGAACGCCGCAGAGATTTTAAACGGTTTCTTCTCCGTACGATCAATCGCGCAGACTATTCAAATATAATATTATTGAAAAAGTCTCGACAACAGCGGGGATTGGGGCCGGTTTTCGGTTTTCGGTTCTACTGTTCCGTCGGTTTTTTTTTTTTTATTTTTAAAAAGGAACCGATTATTATGGGTTATAGCGCGGTACTTGTATCTTGTTATTTTCTTGTTATTTTCTTTCTATCGCGTTGGTTTTCAATCGTTTGTTATTTTTTTCAGTTTTTATCAAAGGACACGCGCTAATTATCTCGCGGTACCACACTGATAACTGATAAGTAGAGCAGAGGACTTGTAGCTCAAAAAAAGCAATAAATATGCAAGCACTTATGCACTTAAAAACCACATAATATGCACCTACCTAAAAAATTTTTTAAAAGTATTTATAAAATAAATAGCTTTTAAAACAAGTCAAAACAATTATATTTTTTAAAGGCTGTTAAAGGCTGTTTATCTTTCGGCATTTTATTACAAATATCAAATATGAAATAAAAATGTTCAAATAAATTTATAATACGGCTAATAAGTCGGCACAATTAATACAAATGTAAATTCCGCAGAACTGACCGAGACTGAATATTAAAATATTGATTATTGCCATTTCTAGAAACGTTTTATAAATAAAAATCCTAATCGAATAAACGTATACGTAAATAATCGTAAACGACTATTTACTTAGATAAAAATAATTTCAGCAAATTAATATTATTGTCTTATCGCCGATCGTCAAGCGCTTCTAGGAAAAACGTGTGCCCGTGGACATTCAAAACCATATTATACGACAAAAATTAAAAATAAATACATTTTATCCAAACATTTTGACTGATTGTTTGAAATTAAAACATCGGTGTGGCAAATATTGATGTAAGTTAAATATATCTCAACAAATATAAAATGACGGATAAAAGTGTAAAATATGCACTATAAACAAAAGCGACTCAAAATATGCATTTATATGCAAAATAAAATTTCAAAACTAGCTTTTTTAAAGCATGAAACGTATTTGTTTTGTATTCTGCTATTTTTGTGACTGTGCAAAGCAAATATGCAAATGCTACAAGTCCTCTGCCCTAACGATAAGCAATAATCTGAGTGATCCCGATCGCAATTTTAATAGTAATATACATTTAATAAAGATAACAAATCTAACCGAACACAGTCACCCACTTTGTAATATAAAATTTCAACTTCTGAGAAATAATAATAATATCATTATAATAAACACAATAATAATTCACATACAAATATATTATACATATCAATCAAAATAACCAATATAAGCATGAAAATAATGCAATATCGACCCTGGTTCTTGTTAGACTGCGTTCTCCTCGAATGGTAAAGGACAAAGTATGAGGACTGCCCTTCTCTAAACGCCACTATTTGTTCGAATTGACGCCACGCAAATTACGCCGTTATTACCTAAATCGATTTTAATCACTTGACCGAGACGCCATTGTAGCGGAGGTACGTTGAGTTCGCGAATTATTACCACGGTTCCAATTTTTACCGAGGAACCTTTATTACCTGCCCATTTGACTCTTTCCTGTATTTGGTTAAGGTACTCGGTAATCCTACGCTTCCACAACGTTTGGGTGTATTTGGTAACTCTCCGTCACCTGTCTAACCGGTTTTCAGGTGTGAAAGTTTCGTCACGCTCGGGAACTGCCGTTATCACATCTCCGATTAAAAAATGACCGGGCGTAAGAAGGATAGATCAGATGGATCATTGGGCACAGAAATTATCGGACGGGAATTTAAACAGGCTTCTACGCGAGTCAGTACCGTCTCATCTCCTCGTACGCGAGTCGGGCCTCGTCTAATACCTTATACAAAAGTTTTTCATTAACCTTTACGGTGGCCTCCCATAACCCCCCGAAATGTGGTGAACAAGGCGGTATGAATTTCCATTCGACGCCTTTATCCACGAGAGCTGTCAAGATTTCGCCTTGATGTTCGTTTAACTGGAATGGCTGGAATAATTATTTAAGTTATCTTTGCGCACCAACAAAATTCGTAGCGTTCAGTATTGACTTCATCCAAATTTCCAGCTATATCTGGGATCCAAACACTACTCCAATATTGTTACACGGACCATATAGGTATAATTTATCAATATAAACTTATTTTACACATAAATATAAAAGTTTCATGTTAATTTATTGTTAAAAGTATTTATTTTACTTATTACACTATGTAATACACTATTATTATATTATGTATCTATCTATAATAGTATAATAGTATAACAGTATGAGTGCCTTGCTGTATAGTCAACCACTACGATTACGAGGGAGCAAAAATGTATGGTGTTTTTTATCATAGATTGTCCTGTATTATCATATATAGTATTTGCTAAAGCCCAGCAGCCAGTAGCCCACAGGTTGAAAACCACTGCTCGATGACTAGATTCCAGAAGTCTAAAAAATAGCATCAAAAGTGACATAGTTACTTAACCAAAAACAGTGTGGTTAATTTGTAACTTAACTGAACTTAATTAAATAATAATAAACATTGTCAAAAGATTTATCGAACAATGCATTCCATTTGACGTTTATAGTAAACTGAATTACGGGTTTTTACAGGTAATTATCTTTATATTTCCAATTTTTTTTCGTTTATGTTAATTTATTTTGATGGAGATTATTCTTAGCATTTTTTTCTGATGATATTTCATTATTAAATATTAAGGAAATTTTATAATTTTTTTCCCTCGCCTTTATTCCAACTATTAGGCGTCGTTTTAAACTTCTACATCACATATAGTAGCTGTTTTCATCTTCTCAATCATACCCTACCACATATTTTTCAGTCTTCCTCTCCACCTCATTCCTCCTACGTTTATTTTCGTTACAATGCATACTGCTTCAGATTTATCTTTCCAAACAATTCTGAACTATACAACATAGTCAGTTTCACCACATTTTTGTATAACTTTAAGTTGGAATTTTCTTGTCACATACAAACCCTGCCATTTCTATACATTCTAATCAAACACACTAAACCTTATATTTCACAAGTCCATGAAAACCACTAGTTTTTATACAAAAGTCCTAGACATTTAAAACCTATAACCCCTTATTTTCATTAAAAATCTTGTCTTATTCCTCTAAACTCATACTCTGCTTTATTTCTACTTATCCTTAGTCCTTTTTCATCAGGTACTACTCTCCATTCTTCATACCTATTGTTAACTTATTCCAAATTTTCTCTTATCAAAGCTATATCATCTACAAAAATTATGGTACCTCCTCTCACCTGTTGACCCCGCGGACATCTGAGATAGGACAATTCATCAAAGTCTTGTTAAAACTCTTCATACTGTTAAACAGAATACATCAGCTGTCAACTTGATGCAAACTCATTTTTTTCCTCTTATGATATGTAGAGATACCATGAGAGTATATAATCCTCTCCCACAGGGAGTTTGTTATTTATTTAAATATGTACTTTAATCTGTTGTTTATCTTTACAGTATTCAACAACACATATTAAAATAGATATATATATATATATATCATGGAAGATGACCAAAGCTTTAAAAATTATCTACATAATTTAAAGTAAGCAAATGAAAACATTAATATTATGTAAAAACCAAACATAATTGTTTAAGTGGATACTGGATCCAAATTATAGGACTATTTGGAAACAATTATTACATGATGACAGTGGTTTACCTAAGCCTAATGTAAAATAAGTATGAAGTTGTTAGTACCATCCATACCTACCGATTTACACTATGACAAGGTAGTACACCATAGCTAGCTGATAACCAGGTACTGGTTCTTCCAGATTTTTACAGCACAGATTATTTTTTATTTTAAAATCTATGATTTCAATAAAAAGAACCTAACCTAACCTTTTTTGAAAAACACTGTTAGTAAAAATGCTTTAAATTATTTTCATGTATGGAGTATTTAGTATTTACTATTTTGTTTTGTTTTTTTCTTTTTAACTATTAAGAAATAGATTTTGTTGTGCAAATTGTTTAGTATTTTTTTAAAATTAAATTATTCCTTCAATATGTCTTATATTAACCTATCTATTAATTTATAAATATATATTCAAGTTAAATTTAATCTTAATCTATACAAATTAATTGTTTTGTTTTTTATTTAGACCAATAAAAGAAGAATTTATTTATGACACTACTTCATACAATTCTTTTAATGAAAATAAATCAATGCAAATAGAGTGAGTATTATAAATTTAGGATGAAAAAGTCACAGACAAAAATTCCATGAGGTTCATTATAAGTTATACTTGGTGATACAAAAACAGTTTGCTTTAATGTATTATAATTATATTTTTTTATAAGCATTTTAAATTTTTAAAAACAGCATTCAAAAATATGTATAACTGAACTTTATTCCGAATCGTTTTTTGTTAGCAATAGTTTGTTGTTGCATACAGATATAAATTAAATAACTCTTGTCCCAGTATCAATCCCCATTTTACTTGAATACACAGCAATAATTTATAATATTAGGAAAATTTTCCATTTTATTATGTTGTAATAACAATAAATTATAATAGGTACATCAGATATATAGTATTAAATTGTTTCAGCAAAACAAAAAGAATATTTAAAAAACAAAAGCTAATACTGCGAACACAGGTATGCTTCTGTTTTTTTGAGAAGATAGGATATACAGAGTTAAATTTAATTTATATCTGATGTACGTAACAACAAACCAACTCGTACAACGAGACACCTGTACGGCATATTTAGTGTCTTTTTTTATCTTGTGGCTTTTTTCTCCAATTATCGTGTATTATGTTACTTTATTATCTCTATATATTTTTAGTATAACTTATAACTTTATAATGTATATTTGTAAGTAACATTTTTATGTAATTTTTATTTGATAGGTACTCTTTAGATAAAATGATTGGAATAAACAAATGTTTGAAAATTTAACAGAAAGTTACTTAAATTTTGTACTTTCTGGTGAATAAAAAAAAAAAATGTGAGCTTTATGTAGTATTTTTATTAGTAGTTTTTTTTATATAATGTAATTTTTATTATCAAATTTTAAGAGTTTACGGACATCTTTAATCTTTATGGAGGTAATTTTATAATTTTCTCAACAAATGTGAAAGAACAGGAAAATGTACGAAATGCATTAGTAAAATATTAGTCTTTTTTTTTTTTTTTTTTGTAGAAAACTTGTCAGCAAATTTTGCTTAAATTTACAATGATGACATTTTTTTAAAAAGAAAATCTGACTAGGGAGGTAATTTTGTTTTATTTTCTTTAATAGTTTTTCCTTATAAATAAAAAATAACATGAGAATACCGTAAGAAAAATGAGAAAATAAGTACAATATCAAAAAAATATTAAAGAAAATATTTAATGCCTATGTAATTATTTTACCATAAGACATATATATATTGTTGTCAAAGCAACACTATCAACTGATCTCTCAGAATCATCTTTTCATAACAGATATACATTAAATTTCCCCTCTACTATCTTTCCAACTTTTACAACAGTAGCTGTACCCACATGTGAAGTTGTCCAGCTTTTTAATTTTAGAAAAAAAAAAACCTAACTTTAATAAATTACCCTATCATTGTACTGACCAATGAAAAAAAAAATTCATTAATTTATAGTTAAATACAAATTTGATGTATTATATGTGAGACCTATAAAACCTTTTAAACGTGCAAATACCCAACTGGTTAACTGATTTAAAAGATGGAATCTATGTAATAATATAGACCAAACAGTTACCATTTTATATTAATTAATTAATATGTTGCCTGGAGTATTATGAAATGTGTATTGTACGACTGATTTCAAATTAAAAATTTATCAATTCGTCAGATAAAATCACAGTTAAAAAGTAAAACGCAACAGAATATGAAAAAATAAATGAAGGAATATATCATAAAAAAATTGTATAAATTGGTCGTTAGACATGGACATAATTTATTTTAATAGGAGAGATTATTTAAAATGAGTTATTATTAGACATAGATATGTTAAGAAATATAAATTATTTGGTTATTATTTATTATCTAAAATGTATTGATATAAGATTATTTTTAAAATCAGTTTGAACATTTAAAATATTATTAAAATAATTTTTCTTTATTTCATTGTGTGTGTGTAATTCTTTTAAAACTGAATTAATATATATGTTATTTTGGGTACTTAATATGTTAAAATCTATATCAGTATCAAAAGTTATATTATGGTTATTTTCTAAACCATGTTTAGCGATATTTCAATTTGGGCCAATCTTTTTTTTAAATTTTATTTCAGAAATATGTTCTTTATATCTTATTTTAAAATTTATTACAGTTAAATTTAAGTTTATATATGCAGTCGCGTTTTACTTTTTGATATTGTGATATTACCTGATAATGAATTTTAATACAAAACCGATTGTACAATACACATTTCTTAATATTCCAGGCAGGTGACGTATTCATTCATTTATTTATTTAGGAGTATTAATCATTTAATTATATTATTATTTTATATAAATTATGATTTACCAAAAAAATAAAATTAAAGGAAAATTGATATTAAAAATTATACTTCTAGATTCTGAGCGAGCGAGGAATGTATTGATTTCATAATGATATATTTTATTTTTATTTTTAACTTTTTTTGTATTCTTTTTATGCTATTATTTATTTTAATGATTATTATATTTTTCAGAAACATATCTAATCGTAACTTTAAGGAAGTAAAAAAAGAAATAAATACCTACATAAAAAAGGAAATAGACATCATTGATGGTTTGGTTTATGAGAGTCATATTACTATTGAATCAGAACCTGTGGAATTAAATTTATATAAAAAATCACAATTTGAAAAAAAATATTTTCAATGTGCTAATTGTAGTAACTCATTTGCTTCAAAATCAAATTTGAAATTCCATGTGAAAACTCATATGCCCAAAAAACTCTACTCATCTAAAGTATGTGATAAACCATATTCTATGGTATCTGTATTAAAAAATTACAAAAAAGTTAATTGCCCTGAAAGACCAGATCAATGTGATGTGTCCAAGAAGACTTATACTGCAAAATCCAACTTAAAGAAGCATGAACAAATTCTCTCAGGAAAACATCCTTATGAATGTGAAGAGTGTAAGAAAAAATTTACTACAAAATCCAACTTAAAGAGTCATGAAAGAATTCATACAAAAGAAAAACCATACGAATGTGACAAGTGTAAGAAGAAATTTATTCAAAGATCCTACTTAACAAGACATTTAAAAACTCATGCCGGAAAAAATTCACATGAATGTAATGTTTGTAACAAGAGATTTTCTCTAAAATACACTTTAATTAATCATTTAAGAATACATACAGGTGAAAAACCCTATAAATGTGAAGAATGTAAAAAGAAATTTACTCAAATATCCAATCTAAAGAAACATAAAAGAACTCATACAGGAATAAAGCTTCACCAATGTAACATATGTAACAAAAAATTTTCTGAAAAATACCATTTAATCGATCATCAAAGCACTCATACTGGAAAAAGGCCTTATGAATGTGATATTTGTTACAAGAAATTTTCTAAAACATATACTTTAAAGAATCATAAAAGGATTCATACGGGAGAAAAACCATATGAATGTGACAAGTGTAAGAAGAAATTTATTCAAAGATCCAGCTTAAAAACCCATTTAAGAACTCATGCAGGAAAATATTCATATGTATGTAATGTTTGTAACAAGACATTTTCTTTAAAAAACACTTTAATTAATCATTTAAGAACACATACAAGTGAAAACCCTTATGAATTTGAAGAGTATAAAAAGAAATCTACTCAAATATTGAACTCCAAGAAGCATGAAAGAACTCATACAAGAGTAAAAGAAGAAATAAATACGTACATAAAAAAAGAAATAGACATCATTGATGGTTTGGTTTATGAGAGTCATATTACTATTGAATCAGACCCTGTGGAATTAATTTTATATAAAGAATAGCAATTTGAAGAAAAATGTTTTAAATGTGTTAATTGTAGTAACTCATTTTCTTCAAAATCAAGTATGAAATTCCATACGAAAACTCATATTGCCAAAAAAAACTCTTAATCATCTACAATATGTGATAGATCATATTCTACATTTTCTGTATTACAAAATCACAAAAAAGTTAATTACCCTGAAAAATGTGTTCAAAAAAAAAATTATATGATTCGATAAGTGTAAGAAGAAATTTATTCCAAGATTCTAACTTAAAATGACATGAAAGAACTCATACAGAAGAAGCCTTAAAAATGTAATATGTGTAAGTAGATATTTTGTACATCTTCCAATTTACAAAACAATATGAGGAAGATTTCTATTGATGTTTAAAAGATTATTATTCTTCTATTTTTAATATTGTAGTCACCTAAGATTACTAATATTTTTTGTCGGGTCTCGTAAATGGAACTCCATGTATTTTTATATTTGTTTATATTCAGTTTATATAATTAATAAGTTTACTCTTGTTATATTGTAATCAATGTTCGAGGTTATTATAATAAATTATAGTTCCTGTTTTAGTTTTTGAATGTTTTATTTATAATTGATAGTTATTACCCCTTGGGATTGGCTAGCATAAGACGCAGCTGCCCTCGGTAAAGGCAACATGACTAGCCTGGTAGAGAACTGCTTTTGGTTCCCAAATGCGCTCTCTCAAAAGACTTATTAGATCTGCGTTTGGCGGCATCCCTCAAAACTAATTGTGTACAATACAAGTTGTCGTTCTAATATAAGATTAGACTGACCAAACTTTATTTAGTTGTTGTCAGATTAATTTTTATAATCGTATGTAGTCTGAATATTTTGTATTATTCTAATAGTTGTAGCAGAATTAAGGTCGTTCAGTAAGTTGGGAAATTCTCTTAAGACGTGCAAAGATCAATGAGTCATAAACGATTAAACTCACTTGCTCTTTTATCTATGGAGAATTTATTGGCTTTTCAAAAATGACATATCATAGTTATGATGCTGTATTTAAAGCTTGTAAAATAAAATTTTAACTTACAAAAATATATTAAATATAAATAAATATACTTGTTTTTTTATAAAATATAAAATATACAGCTTGATAAAAAAGACAAAAACCTTTATTTTTTTAAATAACTAACGTTTTGAATAATTCATTATTCATTATATTATTTTGTAATTTTATCATGAAATTATATATTTTAGCAAAGTTCCAAGAAAATTTTTTTTTTTTTTAAATCTGCTATTAAATTTGCATTGTCAATACAACATGATTACGTAAAACAAAAGAAAATTCTGTGATTTATTCTTGAGCCCTTAATTATTATTTACTATGTTTCTTCTGACTGAAAATTGTTCAGTTGCAACAGACTGCTTAATTAAAAATGGGTGGTTGGGTTCAGGGATGGGAACAATTGTCCTTTGTAAAAGTCTTATAACCATAGATATGGAAATAGAAAAAATATGTGAAAATATAGATGAATTAATCGAAAATATTAAAGGGCAGGAAAATCTAATATTAATGGGATGCCGTTGTGCGAGAAGCAAAAGTTAAGAATTTATTTATTAGTTAATATAGAGAATCCTGACTTTCCTATTATCTATACAAACTTGACACTATCAATAATAGAATTTATTATCTAGTCCAGCGGTTCCCAACCCGTGGGCCGCGAGCAGCATGGTACTAGGCCGTGAGCCATAGGTATAATATTAAATATTATATATTTTTTGTTATATTTCTAATCATAATAATATTTAATCAATTTTAACTATAGTGTACAGTAAGTGTACAATTAGTGCCATTCTGGTTAAATGTTCGGAAAGACTATCCAGCAATCGCTAAAATTGCACTGAGAAACTTGATGGGCTTTTCGACAACTTATTTATGTGAACGTGCTTTTTCTACTTTAATTTATTTAAAAAATAAATATAGGAATAAACTGAATGTTGAGAGTGATTTAAGACTAAAACTGACAAGTTTTAATCCAGATATTGACTTTCTCGTGAAGAACAAGCAATGTCAAAAATCACATTAAATTGTTTATCTTGTGATAAAGTTGAATTAAGTTTTTTTTTTAATTTTTAAAATTTTTTATTCCTAATAACTATATATACATGTATATATGTATATAATATATATTATATATTATAATTTTATGAAAACGTATATAGGTATGCTATGGGTGGGCCTCAAATATTTTTTTACAAAATTAGTGGTCCGCGAAACTAAAAAGGTTGGGAACTGCTGATCTAGTCTATATAAAAAAGACTTGGACAAAATAAAACAAATGATCTAAGTTATACCAATTATTATTTGTATTTTATTATTATATAAATGTATAATAAATAACAATGTCTATACAAAATGTATAAGCTCTATGCTCTATATATTCATAGCAATTGTATACAATTTTTTACTCTAATATTTATAATTTAATAAAGTACCTATACACTTAACAAAAAAAAACCCTGTGAGAAGATAAATTGTACATACATTGAATGCCAATAATTATTTTATTAATGTGTATATAGTTGTAAGTCTAAGACATAAATGAGTACCTCCTACAACAAGAATGCACTAAAATAATACATTTTGATTTCTCCCACAATTATGAAATATACTTATAATTAAATTCTTCCCAATTCAAGAATTTAAAAAAACAATAGATGTAGCAGATTTCAAATTTGCTTCTTTTTCTTGATCATTATATTTATTTTAACAGTTTAAATGTCAGAATTAAATTACTTTTAAATTTAAATTATTTATCAAACATAAATCAAATTAAATTTTATAAAGAATACAATATATGACCATATAATAATATGGTCAGAAATTTAAAAAAATGATTTATATTTTGAAAGTTTACTTGTAACATAATTTAAATCTGCCTGCTATCCTCTCACCTATACAATACCCTATGTTTATTCAGTCTTCATTTATCAAACTGTTAATAAATAAATAAACAAGACTCAATAAAAAAAAAAGGTATTTTAAGTTCATATTTTTAAATATATGCTACATGAGGTTACATTGTCCAAAGTTTTCTGGTATTGGTCCTCTATCAGCTATATCTTTTAATAGATCATCTGGTGGTGTGCCACAATCTTGCATTTTTTTTAATAACTCCATAAGTTCTTTGAATTTTCTTGTTTTAGTGATTTCATCATCAGTATCTTGTTGGTTTTCTAAATTATCTCGGACTTCTTTCATAATATCAAACATTTTTGCATACCTGAAATTTTTAATATAAAAAGTATTTAAATACTAAATATTATTTATTATAATATACCTAATAATAATAAACAACCTACTTATTAAATTCTTCTTTATTAGAAGACAGTTCATTGTCTTCAAGCCATTTTGGATATTTATCGCACAGATCTTTAATTGATGGGTATAATATTTCCTTGCTCAATAATGGTTGCATAAATTTCATTAACATTGGAAACATATCATCATCTAAGTTAATATCATCATGCAAACCCATATTGGCAAACATTGAGACCATATCATCTCCCTCGGGTAAATTAAGTTTAGCTTCTGTTAAGTTTTTCAATGATTCTTGAATAACTGAATGCAATTCAGAATCTCCCTCATCTAAAATTATTTGTTGAAGGTTAGCTGCTAGTTCCGCTTGTTCACTATTCATAAATGATTTCAATGTATCTTCAAAACTTTCTTTTAAAAAGTCATTATCTGGACTGAAAGTATGAACTTCAGGTATTGTTGACTGCTCTGTCGTCTCACCAGAATCATCAAAATCTTTGAGCGCATCATCTAATAGCTCAGATAATTCATTTTGGGGTTCAATATTACCAACACTATTAGATAGATTTTGAGACATTACTAGAAAAAAAAATTACCAATGAATACAAAAATTAAATTTGTTTTAAATAAGTCAAAATAATTTCATAATTTTCAAAACAAATGTTGGATTGTAACAATTATTAACATACTTGTCAGTAGTCAGAATCGTCTATTCTAGAGAATGCTCAATGCTGGTCATAAAGATTATTCCAATCGCAGTACAATTTTATAATATATAACTAAATGAAGAAAAATAGTTCTCATAAATATTCAGGTATTAGGTGACAAGAAATTAATTGATTATAAACAGATGATAAATAATAATTTTCAGGTTAGGTGATAGTGTAATACTGTGGTAGCCATGAATTATTCCAATATCATATGATTCTTATCATTTGAACTTGGTTTGATATCTATTATACATTTTACATTCTTTAATATAAATTATAGTACTATTATGTTTTTACGATTACATTTATAAAGTATAATCAAATTCTATAAATTTTTAAGTACTTGCTATAGTAGTAAACATTTTTCATTAAGGACAAAACTGTTGTTTAGATTTACCAATTATGTTTCGGACTACGTTACAGCGTACTGCGCCTAGTATTCGTTTGGTGGTTACATCTGGACAATCTCGTCCAAATTCGAATGTCCCACCTTCTAAGCTTGAAGTATTCATAGATGATAAAAAAGTTCATGTAGATCCTGGAACTACAGTATTACAAGTAAAATCAATCTAATAAACTATAAGCTAAATACTTGTAAAATTGTACATAAAACATTTTTTTTTTAGGCTGCTGCCCTCGTCGGTGTAGAAATTCCTCGCTTCTGTTACCATGAACGTTTAGCTGTTGCTGGCAATTGTAGAATGTGTTTAGTAGAAGTTGAAAGGTCACCTAAAGTATGGCCATTTATTTTATGTTACCTATATTTTGATTTTTTTTATGTAAAAAGTAATCTGTCTAGTATCTATATTTATTTTAGCCTGTTGCTGCTTGTGCAATGCCAGTAATGAATGGTTGGAAAATCAAAACAAACTCTGAATTAACACGTAAAGCTCGTGAAGGTGTTATGGAATTCCTGTTGATGAATCATCCTCTTGATTGTCCCATTTGTGACCAGGGAGGGGAATGTGATTTACAAGACCAAAGTATGGCGTTTGGTAGTGATCGATCTCGTTTTGTTGATATTGACTTTAGTGGAAAAAGGTACTAAGTGTTTCTTAGTTTCTATTTTTATTTCATTGTTTATTAATTATAAAAATTTGTTTAGGGCTGTTGAAGATAAAGATATTGGTCCACTGGTAAAAACTGTAATGACGCGTTGTATTCATTGTACAAGGTGTATTCGTTTTGCTTCAGAAGTAGCTGGTGTTGATGATCTAGGAACAACAGGGCGGGGTTCAGATATGCAGGTATATTCCATAATATTATTTTGTATACAAGGTGATTTTTTATTATGAACCAGCAATTATTTCAGAGTTTTTTAAGTTAATATCTAAAATCCTTCCGTACTCTTCTGGTCTAAATTTTAAACTGTTATAACTCATATACGTTGAATCAGATTTATCGTTATAAATCTGATTATTGTTTTGCATGTCAAAATGTCTAGAAAAAATATTCTTTATTCAATTCTGTGGTCAAATGGGGGGGGGGTTCCTATTTGAAAATCAAAATTATGTACTTATTTAAGGTATATGGTAGGGGTAAAAAATTTAAAATAGAGCTTAAACGATTTCATAATGATTAGAAAAAACATAAATCAAATTCACTTTAAATCTTTTGAGATAATTTCTGATTTATGATCAAAATCACTCAGTATAGTAGAGTGAAATATGTTGATAATTTGTATTATTATTAAAAAATTTACAATCGATAATTTGTACAATAAACGTAATTTTATTTATTTAATAACTAAACGGGTGTTAACCCAAATACAGTACTTAATAGATAAAAAAAACACTAAAATAAAAGATGATGATAATAATAATAATAAAACACAAATTAAAACAAATGATAATAGAAAAAACTAAGTAATGAGAATATGAGCAAAAGTAACAAAGAAATATAATTGAGTTAGATTATTAAAATTTGTTACATGTATGAAGATGTTGATCCAGTTTTAACAGGGTTAGGTTAGATTAGATTAAGTTACTTAAAAACTTAAAAAAGATATCTGTACAAAAAGAGAGTTATTAAGGTGAATTGACCAACAATAAAAACTTAATGTTTATAATAAATTAGTTTAAAGATGCTAAAATTATTGACATTTAAATTATTATTAATGCAGAACTTGGAATATTTTTAGCTATACATTTTCTATTCATGTATATTTTTCAAACAACAAATGTTGTTATATAGAAATCAGAATGTGGTGGTCAGACATTATTTAGAATAAGATAATTTATTTGTTTTTAGCATTCTAATGGGAAATTGAAATTATAACTCAGATATTAATGAAAAACCATCCCTAAGGATTATCAAATTATTCTTTTATTCTGTATGACCTTAAGGTAAATACAAATACATTATGAATTATAGCCAGCTTTTAAAATTAAAGTGGCAATATTATGATGTTTTCCTGAATTGTCGTCATGTATCAATTTCCATGTAGTTCAGTTATTGAATAGCTTTATCTGATAATATATACAGTTCTTGAAATGTGCCACTGAATTTTTTCTTTTCACATTTGCTAACAATGTGATTTATTGTAAATAAAATGGTCCATAGTTTCTGACAAAGGTCTGACCCAGGTTGGGTTGTTTTTACATCTCTCACTATACCTCGTTAGCTGAGAGAACGCAATTCCTATGTCTAATTTCCACACCACACGGCTAATGATAAGTGAATGTCACTGTGTGGTCGCCTTGCAGCAACGATGACAGCTTTCGTACTAGAATAGTGGTGGAGTATTCTCTCTGGGTGATTTCACTATAGATCTCCATTTTTCGATAGGTTACTTTTCCTTTCATATTTACATATATCTAGCTAGAAAAGTCATGAGTTTATAAAAGTAACTCTTTTCTAGAAATGAGTGTAGAGATTTTAGTCCTGGTTTCTCAACTCTGTGTCCAAGGTAGTTCTTTTAAAAGTTTACCTACAATTTTCAATACAGCATTTTGCCTACATAATATATGGGGAGACTGAATTGTGGCCATTACAGGGAGCCATTGTGCTTATGTAAGTTTTACAGTACCCATGATTATTCACAAGACATTCTTAGGCTCAACATCTACTAGCTTGTGATGTTTCCTTCCCATATAGGTGAACAATATTCTGCCATAGAATGGGTAATTTTATATGCATAAAGATATTTATAGCTTGTCCAAATTTATATAAATATGTATTTAAAACTAAACTATCTTAATATTGTTTTCTTGATAAATAAGATAAAATTATTATGAATTATGATTTATATTCAATATTGTTATCTATCAGTGAATGTCCCTTCTTTTTAATGTTACAGGTTGGAACGTATATTGAGAAAATGTTCTTGTCTGAACTTAGTGGAAATGTAATTGATTTGTGTCCAGTTGGCGCATTAACTAGTAAACCATATTCATTTACTGCTCGTCCTTGGGAAACTAGAAAAACCGATAGTGTAGATGTTTTGGATGCATTGGGAAGCAATATTGTTGTCTCTACTAGAGCTGGGGATGTGATGAGAATTTTGCCACGTTTAAATGAAGTGATTGTTTAATTCAATTTATGTTTAATTCACTGACCTAATTTGTAAATGTTATAGGATATTAATGAAGAATGGTTATCAGATAAATCACGTTTCTCGTATGATGGCCTTAAACGTCAAAGATTAATTACACCATTAGTAAAAGACAACAAAGGAAATTTAGTACCAGTGGAATGGGAAGATGCATTAGTAACAACATCCAGAGCTCTAATTAATGCTAATGGAAATGTGAGAATAAAGTAGACTTAACAAGATTATATAATATTTATTAATTTTCAATTTTTTAAGATTGTGGGTGTGAGTGGTGGCCTATCAGATGCTGAATCAATGATAGCATTAAAAGATTTACTTAATAGATTGGGAAGCGAAGAATTATACACAGAGGAACCTTTCCCAATCAGTGGTTCTGGTACAGATTTAAGGTCTTCATACCTCTTAAACAGTAGTATTGCTGGTATGCATCATTTTATAAAGTTAATTTAAAATATTCTTAAGGTATAATTGAATTTTACTTTTAGGATTAGAACAAGCTGACCTCGTGCTTTTGATTGGAACCAATCCACGATATGAAGCACCTTTGTTAAACACACGTATTCGTAAAGCATATGTGCATAATGATCTTGAAATAGCATTGTTAGGTTCTAAAGTAGACCTCTCTTATGACTATGAGGCAAGTTTAGTGAATTTCTATTGATTTTAATTTTAATTTAGTTTTTAAAATTAGTATTTAGGTGAATCACCAGCAACACTCAAAGATTTAGCAGAGAAAAGACATGCTTTCTTCTCTAAACTATCTAAAGCAAAACGCCCAGTTATAATTTTAGGTGCTCAACAATTTGAACGACAAGATGGTGCAGTACTTTTGGCCCAGGCACAGCAACTTTCTCAAGAGTTATCAAAAAATGTAATCAGTTAAACATAATTATATAAATTTTATATTTAAACAAAATTTGTTTAGGTTGACAAAGGATGGAAAATTCTAAATGTATTGCAACAAGTTGCTGGCCAGGTAGCTGCATTAGATTTGGGTTATAAACCAAACCTTAGGCTAAGTGCTCCTAAGGTACTTTATTTATTAGGAGCTGACAACGAAGCAATATTAAAAAATAAGCCAGCTGGAACCACAGTTATATATCAAGGTAATCAATAAGATTTATTTTTTGTAAGATGTCAGTTTTGTTTTTGACAACTATTATGGTTATATCTATTTTAACCTTTAGATGATTTAAAACTCTGCCTAGTAATAAATGTTAAAAAAAAAAACAATTATAAATTTTCTACTGAATTTTAAGTATTAAATAAATAAAAAAAATATCTATTTTACGTGTTTAATAACACGTAAAATTAAATTAATTAAATTATATCAATGCAAAAAAAAATTAATCTTAGTTCTTAATGTAATGTTTGTAACATTTGTATTGAAAGATATGTATTGATATTTGATTTTTCTTCTTTTTTACTGGTATGAATACTTCCTAAGTGTTTTTACTGTCATTATTAAATACATTTCTGTCACCTATCTCTATCTTGAACATCCTTTCTCCAGTTTTCAATTTCTAGATTTTCTAAACCTTCTTCTACCACGTCAAGCCATCTTTTCCGGAGTTTTTCTCTTAGGTGTTCTTTCATAGTAACTACTCATTTTAATTGTCTCATATTTACCTCTTTTCATTATGTGGCCTAACCATTAAATTCTTTAGTTCTAAATATAGCTTTTTATTAGTGCTAATTCTACCATATCAATCATTTCATTAATATTTAATACATCTATATTATTTTAAAGAGAATGGTAAAAAAAAAACTGTGTAAAAAAAACTATCAGGCGTTTACAAGTTTACAGTTGACCATTTTATCGTTTATTACTTAACCAAGTTAACAATAAACATTTTTCCATCAATGTTCATTAAATCAAATTTCCTGTAAAAATACTAAAGAAAATTCTCAAACATTATTTTCTTTTTTAGTTTTTAAACATTATATTTTAATTTTCATATTTAGGACATCACGGAGATGCTGGAGCAGCTATTGCAGATATTGTACTCCCAGGAGCTGCATATACAGAAAAACAAGCAACTTATGTAAATACTGAAGGTCGTGCTCAACAAACATTAATGGCTGTACAACCTCCTGGAATGGCACGCTCAGACTGGAAAATTATCAGAGCAATTTCTGAAGTAAGATGCTGTACTATTCATATTTTTAAAAATATTTGGATTAAAGTATACATTATTTATTTATTAGTTTGTGGGTGTAAAACTCCCTTATGATACTTTAAATGAGGTACGTGATCGCTTAACTGATGTTTGTCCAAGTATGACTAGATATGGAGATCTTGAACAAGCAAATTTTTTGGCTCAAGCATCGGATTTGGCTAAAGTAATTGAATACTTATTTTGATATTAATAAACTATTTTATTTACATGATAATATTTTTGTTTAAGGATTTATCTTTCAAGTCAGTCAGTACACCTTTAAACGTAAAACAGATTGCATTGGAAGATTTTTATATGACTGACTCTATTAGTAGATCTTCACCCACTATGGCTAAATGCATACAGGCTGTTAGAAAACAAAAAGAATCAAAATATTACGAAAGTAGAATTTAAAAAGAAAATAATATGCCTTACATTATTAAATTCCGAATCTTTTTATGTAAGCAAATTAAGATAATAATTTTAGAACTTAGAATGTTATCAATTTTGAATGTTTAGCCTTGCAAAATAAACAAAAAAACAAATGCTGGCAAGTATAATTTATTTTGAATTGTTTAGATTGTATTTATATGTGTGTTGATAAAATATTTAAACATTAGAATATAATATAATAATAACTATTAAATAATATTAACTATACATTTATCTAATAACAATATAAATTTTTGATTATAGTAAATTCACAACAATAATTAAATAAGTAATTATATATAATATCATTATATTTGTCTATTAGTACTCTTATCGGCTAAATATTATTTAAATATCTCTCCAGGCCATAACAATCTTTTGAAATGGAACAAACTGTCCATTATTAATTCCACTGAAAAAATACCAAACAATTAAGAAAATAGTTGTTTAAATGAAAATTCTTAAATCATACTTACCATTCAAAATATCTAATCCCATTTAATGATCCATCACAGTCACCAACCTTATGATCAAATTGCACTCCTATTAGTGGCTCTGTTATAGTAGCTACAGGACCAATGTATCGAAGTCGACCACCTACTACTTTACCAAAGCTAGTTATAACTTTGACATAGGCATTCAATTGAAGATCATAAATTGATTTAGGCAAATATGGCTTGCCATGCACAGACATTGAACAACATTCTAAAAATATACATATTTATAATTTTCACTAATTTTAAAAATTTTATGTACCATTATGTAAGTTATTATAAGTGCGATTTTTAATATGAAATACACACTAAATAAATTTTTTTTTTTTAACTATTATTATTTCTAAGATGAATAATATATATTAAAATAAATAATTTTCTTCAATTTTAAAGTAAGTAGTATTGCCATAGTATTATACAAATAATATAATTTAATAAATAGTTGCACTATTTAGAATTCCAATTGATGTGTATACTAATAAATTGTAAAATAATATAATATATTATACTTTAATAAGATCATAAAGTCTAGACTATTATTATAGTGCTTAAAGGGATATTTAGTACCTTAGTGGTGAACCAGGATTTGAACCATAAATTAAGATTTATAATTACTCTAAAATATGGGAAAAAAAAAATTAAAAATTACACACAATAAAATAAATGATAATATATTCTGTAACAGAAATGGTTAAATTGGTTAAATAGATACGAAAGGTATAACAAAGCTAAACATTTACCAAAAATTATTATAAAGAATAAAATTATCATCTAACCTATATTATTGTGATACGGTTCTGAATAACGTCTGTGCTTTTTACATTCTTTAATATCCGCAGAACATCCAGCAATTAGACAATCAATTGCATTACGTACAATACATTCAGATTCTTCAATAAGTGAATCAGTAGAGTCGCCTTCTGATTTCCTTAAATCTGGCATCGATAAACGTACTTTTCCTGATTCTAAATAATTACTTATTAGAAATTTTTATCAAACTTGTCTAAATGGTAATCTGACCTTTAAAGGATACTCTGTTTTTGATTTTTTTTGGCACCTCCTCTTCCGCCTTTAATGTAGCAGTAGACGAGTATTTGACATCTTGTAATGATACACATGGTTCACATGGAACGCTAGCTGATCGACGGCATTTAGTTGGTGAAGATGGTACTGATGACCATGGTGCATTGTGACGTGCTTCCAATGACATTACTGATGGTCTTACTTGACATCGGTAACATGATGAATGAACTGAAAATACTGAACCAAAATCATACCTTGAAGATGATGAACCAACAGAATAATAACCAGGACTCCTTGGAAATCTATACAAAAAATTAAACATACTAGAATATACAAATTATCAGCTAATATCTGTCATAAATAACTGTCTAGTTATACTTAGATCTGGATGGTTCACGACTAAGAGGTCCTGGTTGCCGACATAAATGATCAACACTTCTTGACAATTCTGGCACCATACTTGTAAAATTAATATCTGACAACATGACCCTTCTTGATTCTGTAGTTTTTTTGGATACACGCAAACATTGTTTTCTAGTATTCTTATCAACTGGCACAATAAATTTTGATGGTAGAGTTGTGTTCAGTGATGTAGTTTTGGCTTGGTTTATTAAAAAACCTTCAGAACGCCATTGTAAAGGTAAAGCTGTGATATCTGTCTGTGCCTCAACTTCTTGTGTATTTAGTGTAATATCTTTTAAAATAGGCCGCAAAGGACTAAGATATTTTGAATTTGGCATATCCTTGGAATTGGCACCACACTTTGATATATCTGTCTCCAACACCTTGTCTATAGAAACAAGATCTTCATTTGGCGAAACATTTGTAGTATCGTCTGTTGTAAATATTAACTCTATCTCATCTGTTTCTTCAGAATTCTGACACACAATCTATAAAATATTATAGGTACACACAATTTAAATAAAATAATTGTAACAATATAATTTAAGTATTATAAAACAAATATCTATAATATGTAAGTCTTCTTCAAAATAATAAATGTAATATTAATATAACTACCCATATTTATAGATATTTATTTATATTTATATATACCTACTAGGAATATTAATTATATTAGGTACTTACTTTATATATTTTTATAATTTAGTGTAGATAGGTACCTAACTAAACTTGAGAAAATGCTATGCTACTTATGCTTAGTTATTATATTATTATTAGTTATATTCTTATTTTATGGTTAATATAATTTTTAAAAAGTAAACAAACGTCTACCTTTTGATCATCCATGGCACCACGAGATTTTTTCACTAACGCAAGTTCAGCTTTTGATTGTTCAAGAGCTGTTCTTAAAGCTATTACTGTCTTATGTAATGACCGTACAGTATCCAAGTCAAATATATTTCCTTCTTCATTGTCAGTAGCCATTTACACACCTTAACCATTATTAATAGCGTAACATAATTTATACTCTAAAAACAAACATAGGACAATATTAATAATAGCTATGTACGTAAATACGTACAAATACTACGCACTGCCACTGTGGCGCACATCCGAAGTATTGATTTAATTTTAGTTATATTATACAAATACAACGACGTCATGGTGAACGTAATGTTTTTATTCCATGGTTTTACTACGCTATTCCGGTAAAACCCTGACAATTCATCTAAACATTTAAATAACATCAATAAATTACAGAGAAGAATTAACCCCGATAATAATTATTCTTTAAACAAATATTTAATTATTATTTTTATTTTATACGCGTCTAACAACCTATTTACACGTTTAATTTAATTCATCATTTATACATATAAGTCATTAATATAAATTTCTCAATACCTATATACTAACATAATCACATTAACAATTTAAAAAAATATTATAGGTAATAATCAGAAATTATAATAACCTATTATAAAAATATAAATAATCAAAATGCTACCATATTATTATGAAATAAGGATAGTTAAAGCAGGGAGCGCGTCATTTGCATTATCAAAATTTTTCAAATCAAAACTTTTGACAAAGAAAACAAAAATTAAGCTCTATATAGTGATAGTAAGAGTTATACTAACATATGGATGCGAAGCATTGACGACTACAAGCGTAGGTAACAGAACGAAGACTCACCACTTTCGAAAACAAGATATGGCGTATGATATGTGATCCCAAATTAGACATAAATACTGGTATGTGGAGGAGAAAGTTTAAAAAAGAACTAATCGAGGTACGAACTAATAATAAAATAATCAAGGCAGTTCTGTCTTGGAAATTAACAGGTAAGAGACCACGAGGATATCCGAGGAAAGATAGATGACCTAAAACGGATAGAAGTAAATGATTGAAGAAATATAATCCACGATCGGGAGAAGTGACGTGAAGTTATGATGACGACAAAAACTCTTGTAGAGTAAGCCAGAAGAAGAAGACATATTATTATAATATTTAAGTATTAAAATAAGAAAATCCTCTATAGTTATTTTAATGTTTTATGTTATTAAATTATAAATATTTTGATCTAGGTACCAATACTCTTCCCAATTTGATTTGTGCATTATACACAATACCCAGATCACGATTTACGATTAAAGAATTATGTTATCATCATTAATCGTGATGACATGAATAAATGTTTACTTTTTTTAATTTGGTTGGAAAATCCATCATTTTTACTTTTACCTTTAGTTTTTCCTTAGGTTTTTGCTTGAATCATAGTATAAATGTAAATAAAAGCAATTTGGGACGATTCCAATTCAAAAAAAAAATCTAGAAAAGTATTTTGATCAATATACATTTTAATATAATACTTTAGACAAAAATTGATAAAAACTACCTACTTAATAATAAAATAAGAATATAATTATTGCAGTAGTTGGACGTAGTGCATTATTTGTAGCGCGCTACCTTTTTTGTAGCTATACCTATGGCTTTATTTGGTTAAGGTTATAGCGCGATAACATAACATTTTTCATAGGAAATAGTATATTTATACCTTTGACTAGAAAAAAAAATTGTAAAATAAAAAATAACTTAATATACTTAATAATTTGTAGTATTTTAATATTACTGTAAAAAAATTACACAATATAGGTACTTAATATCTACTTCAGTATAATTTCTTGTTCAGTTTTCCCTTTTACCAACTACCCAGAAACGTCAAATGTAAATAAATTGGTAGATATACCTACCTATTCATAGACAAGACAATTTAAAAATCAAAGTATTAAAAAGTTGTCTATATTAGTTAAAATAAAAAGTAACCTAAATCATAAGTCACCAAAATCAGTAATTTCATAATATATACTATTTTTCGGATCATAAAGTATAGTGAACACTGAAATAAAGATTAAAACAAAAAATAAAAGAAAGGTAAGATAATGGGGACGGGTGTAGGTCACTAGTGTAGGTGGAAAGTTCGGAAGGTAGGATACAGACGGGTATTTAATGTATATCTGTAAGCAACAAAAACCATTGTTTCGAACCACGATTCTGATCGGAGTTAAATTGATAGTAATGGTTTGTCAACAATATAAATGCCATACTATAGTAAAATAATTAAATAGGCTCAATATATTTTCTTTAGTAATATTTGTTTAATGTTGTACTGATTTCTTTGGTTTTCCTACGTTTTTCCCGGTTTTCCTATGTTTTTTCCCAGTTTTACACATTTGTTAAAAATCTCCGGGGAAAATCAAAATGTCCTCTCTAAGGTACCTCTCCACATAAATTTCCTTTCAAAAAAGGAGCAAGTCTTCTGGTAAAAAAGTTTTCCAAAAAAAAAAAAAAAATAAACATCTTTGTAAAACCATAAACTTCTTTGTTCCACTCAGAATCTAAAATTGAAGGGAACGGCCCTCTGTTTACGAGGGTACAAATACACAATTCAAAGGAGTTTTAGTTTAGAACTTAAATTCTTGTTTCCAAAAAAAAAACCTTAATTACTAGGTTTCGCTGTAAGCAGGTAGGTATGTATAATATTTTGAAATTGGCTTGATAACTTATGTATTTGTATATTCAAGAAACAATCTGTGTTCTTAATATAATATTAAGTGGTTTATTGATTAGGGAGTTAGGTGTATAATGTTAGATTATTAGTTAGGTTAGGGTAGGGTGATCATACGTCTCATATTATATGGGATTGTCCCATCCTTTTTATCTTCTATGTCCCGACGAATGTTATACTGGACGCTTGTTGGAGTACCATAGCCAGAAAAAATTTTCAGGAATGAGTTTATGCTATTGTTAGTTCTCGCAGGAACCTTTTTTCAGTTAAATACTCCAATATTTCTTTTGTTTCCGATTTCTACTCTTGCTTACTTTCTATTGGTACTGTCCAACGCTTTTAGCAATTGAATTTCCCCTCTTATTCTGATAATTAAATTCCTCGTCTATTAACTTAGCGTTTTACACAAAACGATCAAACGATAGTTTTCTTTAGGGTTCTTTTAGCAGGGCCAGATTTAGGACTAGATTACCTAGGCTATAATGGTCACAAAATTGTCGATTTCTATTATTTAAAAGACCTCATTATTAGCAACACTTATTTTCCAAGAAAAAACATTTATAAACACTCACTGCCCAAGATGGGAAAACAGAAGTCAAATTGACCATATAATCATAGACAAGAAGCATAAACCGTCGATTCGTAATATCAGAAGCTTTAGAAGAACCGATGGAGATACTGACCTCTATTTAGTGGTCACAACGTTTGTACTAAAGCTGTCAGTAAAACGGAGGAGTAAGATACAGTAGGCTTGAGGAATAGAGAGTAGCACTTGGCAGAAAGGGACTAAGATCTAAGGATAAGCAGGAGTAAAATAGAGTATGAATTTGAAGAAATAGGATAAGACAACTAACGAAAATAAGCAGTTATAGGTGAGGTTGAGATTTTAAAATACTTAGGAACTTTTGTACATAAGAACAGTAACTTTTATAAGCTTGTTACCATGTTGGATAAAGCGGAGAGGAGTCGTTTGTTTAATTTGCATAAAGTGGAGTAATTTTTTAGGTTGACTTTAAAATTCTTTTAAATTAATCCAATATACATTTTTATAGGTGTAGATATTCAAAATTGGTAAATAAATTAGGAGGGAGGCATAAGGAAATTATGCTATAAAGATATATATTAAAACAAAGCATTTTACAATTACATATGAAAAAAGAGCTGACACTGGGGATGGGAGTAGCCACTGTTGTAGGTGAGAAGTTGAGAAGATGGGATACATAAGGTTATTTCATTTATATTTGTAAGCAACAATAAATAATTGCTTGACGAAAGACAATTCCAAGCGTAGTACGGTAATACATGATTTGAAGTGCCATAATTTTTTTGTGATTTCCGTTTAAATCTGATTTTAAAACGCTCACTAAAAAGATCGTCCAATGATTTTGGAAATTTTACCACATCTAAGTAAGTCCAATATAAGTATTATTACCAAGTTTCAAGTCTTTACGTGTATTTACAACCGAATTACAGCAAAATACTCCCAAAAATTAAAAATCCTTAAAAGCTCAAAAGTTTTGGCGATGGTACTATAAGAAAGTAAATCAAAAAGGAAACAGAAAAAGTGTCGTGTGATTTTATGATTAAATCATTTTTCTGGTAGAAAACAAAAGTTGCTACACGTAAAAATTGGAGCAAGTTTACTAGAAAAAAACGTATCTACAGGCTAGAACAAAGAAAAATAAACAGCATTGTAAAACCAATAGCTCCCTTGCTACGCTCAAAATCTAAAATATAAACATCTTATAATGAACTTCTTGTCAAATTTTCAAGCATTTATGTTCAGTTTAACAATTTTATCCGCAGATTACCTACCAAATAAAAATTAAGTATGTACGTAAAAACTTAAAAATTTAAATGCTTATAAATAATTCAATATTTTGAAAATTTTACCACGTTTAGGAAAAACAAAAAAAAAAAACAAAACTTAAAATAATAGCAAAATTATTTTCGTAAATTTTGAAATTTAAAATTTAAAAAGTTTTGGAAATAAAAAGAGCCTCTTGTTGTTTTTCTATTAAAGCAATATTTATGGTAGAAAACATATGCTGTACAAATTTTAAATAATGAAACTATTGAGCCGCGGCTATAGTTTTATAGCTATATATATATTAAAATCACGAATTCAGATATATCTTAATTTATTGTTGAAATCTAAGACCGTAGTTAAAAAGCACGGTTTAAGATATATTTAAGATATATCTTAATTTGTTGTTAAAAGGAACAAAATCAATATCCTTTTTTAGATTGGAGCAATATTTCTGGTAGAAAACACCGTGTAAAAAATTTAAAAACTATGGAAACGGTAACGTTCGGCATACCGAACAGTATTTGCTGGTTTATCTATAATTTTCTTTCGGGATTTTCTAAATTATTTTGGATAAATTGTTTTATTGAATGTTTGAATGATATTCGGCTAACTCCGGGCTATTTTTATAATTGTACAATATCGAACAGCTAACTCACAATAATGAATATTATTCAATATCAGTATTTATGTTCAACAATATTTCTAACAACTATAGTTTTTTTTTTCTATTGGTAGACGGTAAATTAAATTCGCAGATAGGCATTATATATATTAAAAAAAATCAAGAATTCTGTCGGCCAAGACGTCCCTGAATTTGTAACCTAGTATCGGCTATTATAGAGTAGGTAGCCTAGTCTTAAATCTACGGACTTCAATATGATGTTGATATTCTTTATATCAATCTAATCGTTCTAATTATTTGGATTTCTGATAGGTATATGCATGGCTAAATATTTACATAGCCATGGATATGGCATATGTTTATGGCTATGGGTATATGAAGGTAAAATGTTTACTGACTCATAATGATAGATCTATAAGCACAGATAATAAAGATTCTATTTTTATTATCTAAGGCTATATAATTAGATCATATACTATGGATAGAGCTACTGCATGATAAACGCGTACTACGAGTTGAAGACTTTATTAACGAACGAGTGTCGAGAGCTAAGGTGAATGATGTCTATTGCGCATGCGTGTCAGTATTCGTCGCATATTTATCGTATAATTATTATAATACCACCAGTGGTGCGTTACCTAAACGTCTAATCTACGGCCAATATGTTATCAATCACGTATTTGGCGTTGCTTAAACAAGCAGGCCAATTGTCGCATGCGTTGCCTGGACGGCTTTTGTGTAACCTGGCCGTCGCCAAATCGGCCATCCCGTCGACGGCCAGTCGCTGTTAAGATAATAAATTTATTGATAATAGCATAATTTTTTGAAAATAAAATTCTTTTTCTTGCATACTTATAGGTAAAATGGCTCTGCAATTTGTCAAATTTATTTTAAACCAGCAGCAAGCCATGTATAATGCAATCCACCTCAAGTCCCGCGTGACATCTTAACCACAGGGTAAGTTATAAAAAATAAGGCATTCATTTAGTGCTCGTTCTACCTATAAGGATAATACCAAACTCCAACCGTGTGTCACTCGTATAATCGTATACAACATTAGTCATTACAACCTGTGAGTATATTTATAGCCTATAGATGAATGTATGATAATTGATAATTGGTAAATCGGTTTTTGCATTGCCTTCCAACGGTAAAAAATTTGGCCGCATGTTATTATCAAAATCAGATAATCATCGTCAGTCTGGCCGTTCAGGTAACGCACCTCGGGCAGTGATGGTAGCATACATCACACATAAACACGTGATTACGTCAATTCGCATGCGTGTGATATAAATTTTGCGTATGTACATTAGTCTCAACTCACCTTAGTAATGATTGCTTCAAATATTCAATCAACAGCTCTATCCATAATATATGATCTAATATAGATCTATTAACAAATGGATTGCGTTTTCCGTACTATTGACGTATCGATAATTGTCGCCAATATAGTCGAGACAATCGTGGAGAAAAATATATTATTCTTTGATAAGTCATTATTTTTTCAAATTAATTATCATTTATCACATATCTATGGAATAATCAGGGACATAAATCTTAGAGTAATATTTAACTCTAAAATGATTGTGTAATAAATTATTTGGAAAATTGGAAATAGTGTTGGGTGGTTGAAACAAAAACATAAATTTCGTTAATATTTTAATTTTTAATTCTGAAAATTTACTATGGAAACAATTTATTTTAACAGTTGTTAATATCATTAATCATATACCTAATATATTTTTCATAGTTAACTTTTTAATTTTTATTATTTTAATTTAAAACACCTATATTTAATTGTAATAACTTATTTAGTTATTAATATCGTCATACTGTAGCAAATGTAATATTATTAAGTTGAATTTTTACTGGTTCTTAAAATGAATGATTTTAGTGAGAGATTATCGTATTATTTTTTGCGGTTAACTAATAGTCATGTTATGACGATGTAATCTTATTTTAAAATAGTATTGTAATGAACGTTTTATTAATTGTAATAAACGATTTTCTAATAAAGATTGGTCTAATATATGTTCGGAGATTTCATTTAAAGTATCGTCTATGGCTACATGCTATAGGTTCATTAATATATGTTTCGCGCAATAATTTTTTTTCTGGAATAGAATATTTATTAGTTTTTTTTTTTTTTTGATCCATGATTGCCCTATGTTTATATTGGCGACACCGTTTAACCATAAGCGACAAAAAAATATTATCAATGTGTATCATTAATTGTTAATATCTATGTGATATCACGATTTATGTTTATCATGCTTACGGAAAAGTGCCCAATTCCTAGAATATTTTACGATAACAATAAATTGATTAGTAATGTAATTAATAAATAATAACATTTTTAATCATAATATTTTAGTATAGTTTAGTATTCTGTAGGTATTATTTTTCGTTCTTGTAAGTGTAAATAATTTTACTAACCCAGAAGCCTAGACTAATATTTTGTTTTCAAATTAAAAAAACATTTTTTTACGTTATGGACGAAGAAATTACTGACTCACGAAAAATTAACTTCCAAAACAACCGGGTAATATTTTTTAACAGTATGTCATTATTATTAATAATTTTTAAATTTGGGCTTAGGATTATTGATTATCAATATATACTCAAACTTGTATATTAGTTGTAGGTTTTTAAAGATTTATCATCTATGACTATTCATAAATAGTTCGGTATAAAAAATGTATAAAGTATATTTTTATAGATTACAGGTATAAAGTATAAAATTATATATTAATGTGTGTATTATGGGTCTAGGATCTAAGGCAATTGTTACCTGTGAAAAAAAGTTGTATGTAGACAATCTGCCCTATTATAATTTGTGCATGAACAATTGGCCAACCCTGGCTTTATATGTATAATTCAGTAATTTTAGTTATCCTAAAGAAGTGTCACTAGCAAGATAATTAGATAGTATAATTATAATAGAATCATTTTTTTTTAATGCTAATACATGTAAAACACATATTTTTTTTTAATTGTTCACAGACATATTTTTGAAATACAAAATATTCAATTTAATAATATAATATATTTTGTATTATTTTATTATAATTTTTATTAGTCATACTCGAAGTAGTAAAAATAATTTAAAACTTAAATAAAAGTATGTTTAAAGCATAAAAATGTATGTTTAATATTAACATTTACTACTTAGTACTTAGACCATACAAATAATTTAAAACTACATATTTTGAAAATTGTTCATTAAAACTATTATAAATAGATATAATTTTTTTCATGCATAAGAAAATAAAATTTCCTCTGTTATTCTTATATTTACTTATTAAAGCTTTTATATTTTTAATACGATTTTAACTTAAAATACTTACACTATTATTATTTTATGATTATAGTTCATTGATATGAAATTAAAAACAGAAATATGATATCAACTAAAATATTCAATAAACATTTTTAAAAAGATGATAGTTTTTTAATTGGGAAAAATAACAGTCCTAATTGTGAATTATTTTTGATCAAAATTTATATCTTAAACCTATTTAAATATCACATGAGAGGGGATCAGAATACTCCCACGGGAAAAATCTGTCATGAGAGTTGATAAATGGGGTTGGGTCAGGCTGACAGCCAGTGTACAATTCTGTCAAACAGTATGAGTTTGAGATCAAGTTTTATACTTGATCCTGATGGATTGTCCTATCTTAGATGTATGCAGAGGCAATAAGTTGCATAATAGTGTATAATGTTTGCAGATGATATAGTTTTGACAGGAGAAAATCTAAAATAAGTTAACAAAGCTTAAGCAATGGAGAGTAGCACTTGAAGGTCTATGGATAAGTAGAAGTAAAAAAGATTATGAGTTTGAAAAAACAAGACAACTAATCTAGCAAATATAAGCAGTTATAGGTAAGGTTGAGCATTTTAAGTACCTAGGATCTTTTATTACAAAAGAATGGTTGCTTTCATGTGGGTGTTAAACTAAAGATTAAGTGTGGTTCGATAAAGTGAAGAGAAGCATCAGGTGTGTTTTATGTGACAAGAGAATTCCAATGAGACTTATTTACAAAAGCGTAGTGAGACTGACTATATTGTATATTTCGGAGTATTGGACGGTAGACTGACAAATAGAACAAATAAACAAATAATGAGTGTAGCAGAGATGAGTATGCTTAGGCGGATAAGGAGTGGATGAGTGGAGTGGTGACAGAAGATTGAATAAGGGATGAGTACATACAAGGTAGTTAAGGTATGGCATCGATTTTAGACAAAATGAGAGAAAATCGACTAAAATTTAGACTAGTTTGAGCATGTCACAGGGAGAGAGGAATGTTAAAAAGTAAGAATTGTAATGAAAATAAACATAGGGGGAAAGAGGTTAAGAGGAAAATCGAAAAAGCGGTTATTGGATGCGATTGAGAATGATATGAAGCAGCTTGTGTATGCGACGGGGAGATCAAGTTAAGTGGTAGTTTAGAATGAGAGTGGTCAACCCCAAATAGTTTTGATTAACTCTTTCCGGCATAGTGGCTAGTACAGCTGACCACTTAATTTTTCTGTTTATTGCATGGTGGTTAGTGGACCACCTAGAAAATGTTTTTTTCTTTTTTTTCTCATTTCGTGGTTATTGTTGCTGACCACCAAAGCCGATTAGTTCATATACCACCAGATGGATTTATCAATATTAATTAATATTAAAAACATTTTAGTTATATTTAATTTTCTAAAACTATATTGGTCGAATTTAATTTGTGTTGGTTTTCCCAGAATATCCATTATCATGTTTTCTGTGCATTATGATTATCTTTATTTTCCTTTCTTAGTCGTCTATCTTTTAGTCTATTCGACCCAATTTACATCTTTTGTAATGTTGTCATTTTCGGTGGTCAACTGCGGTAACCACTATGCAGTTAGTGTCTGCATTTATATAGTTATACGTATTGTAATGTATAAATGGAAAGATAATAAGTGTGTTCATCTTTTATCATCTTTACATAGTCCTAAAGATACTAGTAATGAAATAGAAAATCTAAAGATGGAACTCAAAAGCTTGTTTCTTGTTCAAAAGTGTTGATAGATTACAATAAAAATATGAACTTCGTGGATGATTTTGATCGTTTGAACAGTGACTATAAGCTTGACAGAAAAAGTATGAAATGGTATTTACGATTAATTTTTCATTTTGTTGAATCTGCAATAACTAACTCTTTTATAATACATAAAGAAATTGAAAATATGCAAAAATTTACGAATAAAGATTTTCATAGAAGTATTTATAATGATTTATTGGCTAACAAAATAATAAGCATTGAAAATAAATCTTCACCGGCAACACCAAAATCTCGACCTTCAGTAGTATCATCAAAAAAACCAATTGTTATGAAAAGTGTACGTTATGAATCTTCAGTACATCAACCAATCAGAACAACATCAAGAAGGTGTGCGAAATGTAGCACAAAAAAAAACAGTTTCGTTCAATTTGGACTTGTTCTGTGTGTAAAATAAATCTATGTATGAGAATTGCTTTAATATATTGTATAATATAATATACAATTAATGCATTTAAAATTTTTATTTTTAGAAGGTATTTATTTCATTTTGTTATTATTCAAAAAAAATTCAAACTACATTTTTTATTATGACATAGTTTGAATTATAATTTTTTAATTAAAGTTAATTTACTGATTTTATTTTATTTGTGATTGTTGAAAAACTATTCGATAACACTTTATGATATACTGGAAAATGTTGTTATTATAAAAATTGCAAATTTCAAGGTTAAAAATTAACTAAAGAATGTTTAAGTGCTATGATTATTTGTTTGGTAAGTATATGTATTAAATGTTAATGAAACCAAAAAAATAAAAATTAAAAAAAAAATAGCCGTGCATCTAAGGTACCATTTTCATTTGCCACTCAGTGCCAGAAAGAGTTATGGCGAAGAAGAATAAGATGTTATTCAATTGAAACATTCAATAATAGTATAAAATTAATAAGAAAAAAAAAAAATGTTTAGTCACTATAGAATAAAAAATATTTCTATGACAAATTGTCTGTGTAAAAAATTGATGTCGGCTGATTGAACATGTTTAACAGTTTTTAACAAGACCAATTGTTAATTTACCGTTGTAATTGTACTGTTTTAATTGTAAAATATAAAATTATAATCATATATATTAATAAACTTGTTTGATTGGTTTATGATTATTAAATCATCTAAGTAAATTTTTATGATTTGTAAATTATTGATTTTCTAAGAGTATCTTTGTCGATGTATTATAGTAATAGTATTTCAAATTATGTACACTTAGGAGGGTTCATGTCCATTGTACACATTAAATAAAACTCTAGGAAACCTTTTAGTTTACAACTTTGAAATTGAAAATTGAATTACTTAGTTACTGTATTTTAACATAACCTACATGTTGTTTTAATGGACTTCTTCAAATTACTCTTTCTTACTCCAAAACGATGTAAATTTTCATATACATTGACTGTCACAACAGTACAAGAATCGACAGTTTTACCAAGTAGTAAGAAAATAAATGTAAAGAAAATATGATTAGTGACATTTGAGTTTTTCTTATAATAACCAGGTAAAGGTGTTCTCGGTGAAAAGTCTCATGAAAATGAATCATGCAAATATTCCCATCTATACTATACTATTAATAGTGATTCTGCATGGTCTACATCTCAGGTAATATGTATGATAAGTTGATAAAACATAATATATTATACAAGGAATATACAGCAAGTATTTATCTAGTAATCTGGGATACTTAATGTAGGTACATTAAGTAACCTGTGTTATTAAATAATTGTATTTATATTTTGAAATTTATTAAAAAATACAATACTTAAATCATTATTATGTTTCAGTTGTGCTATATTGGTCAAGAAGTTACATGCATACCAGAAATACTAGGTAAAATGTATGGATCCAGAGTTAAATCATTGGATTTAAGCTTCAATTGTTTAACAACTTTAAATCATTCAGAATTATTTCCTGATTTAGAGGAACTTATTTTGGATAATAATAATTTAAATGATGATATTCGATTACCTTATTTGCCACATTTACATACACTTTCAATGAATAATAATAATGTAAAATTCCAATTATTAAATTGATTATGGTATACTCAAGTGTTACATTAAAATTATTATTGTTGTTTAGATAACGATTTTAGAAAACTTGATAACTCAAATAAAGTATAATATGCCTTCTTTGAGATTTCTTAGTTTGCTAGGTAATAAAGCTTGTCCAACACAGCTAATCGATTTTGAAAAAGATGAAAACGATTATAAAAGATACAGGTGATTAAAATATATTTTTAAATAACAATGCGATAAATAATATGTTCATTAAAAATATTAAATTTAATTTTAGGTATTTTGTTTTATATTATATACCAGATTTAAGATTTCTTGACTCAAGACCAGTTACTCATGAAGAACTAAACATTGCATTAACTAAAGGAGAATTTACCAAAGTTATACGACCAGTAAGTATTATTACTCAAGTATAATATTGTGTTTATTTAAATTTATAATATCATTATGATGTATAAAGTAAGAATTAGGATATAATAGATAAAACTAAATTAATTTGATAAAAGATTCACTTTTGACTACCATGAAATATAGTATTAAATAAATGACTTTTTGCTTTTGGTATTTTGTTTTAAATATTTTTCAAGGCTGAACAATTATTCTAACTAAACATATTAAAATATATATGTTTAGGAATAGTAGAAGTTAAAAAATGTTATCCATTCAGAGAAAATTTTGTTTAATGTGGTATTGGTAGACCAGTCAGAAAAGCAGAAAAAAGAAATATTGACTTGGTTAAACAAAACAGATTAAACATTTATACTGTTATTACAGGGAAAAAGTATATCTAATTACTATAGTACAAATTTAGTTTTAAAATTTTAAATCTTAAATTATTTTACTAATAATTATAGTTTATGTTTGGACAAAAATAATAAAGAAATACTGGATAAATATTTTGTTCGTTTAATGAGGTGAAATTATTTATTTAAACAATTTTTCTTGAAAGTCAGTAAAAGTAATAATTTGATCTTTATTTCTAATCGCATATTTAAAGTTCAAAATATTTCATAATTCAGTTAGTGGATGACTTATGAAATTATTTGATATCAATAATAATTCTAATACATAAATGATAATATTTTTATAATTAATATTAAGAATATTTATATTTAATTTTAGCGTTTTGAAAATGAACCACTTCAACGTGAATGGAAATTATCTCTTGGTTCTCAACCTCTTGCAGATACTTCAAATATGTTCTCTCCAACGTCTGTATCTCCAACTCAAGAAATACATCATCAAGGTTAACTATATTTTTTATTTGTTTTTTAATCCAAAGATTAGTTCAATATTAATTATTATAGAATTTATATTTTCACCACATAAAAAGTAAAATTATAATTATAAATTTTATTTTATTATTTATTTAAATTAGCTGCATATGGTCGACGTCGATTCCGTTATGCTGGGAAACATTCAGAGGGTAATCGTTTCATTTTAAATAGAGATTTATAAATTTTAATGATACATTAGTTTTAAATATAATATGAATATATTTAAAGTTCATTGACTTACAGGAATTTCTTAAGTTATATTTTTAAAGAATTATCAAATGTTTTACACCTTAATTTATATAGTTTTTATTAAATGTTATTAAACTAAAGTCCAAATTTTTTATTAATAATTACATTATGTATTAGAATTCATCAAACAGTACATCTGTTTAAAGCTCTGGAACTATAATTATTTATGATTGATGTATGATTATTTTTTAATTTTAACAAAACTTCAAATATAACTTGTTAATTTTAATTATTTTTAACATTCTTTAGCTGTAAAAATTCTTTATCACTAAATTGTGTTGAGATCTGTTTTAATTGTATGTTATTCTATTTTAAAGTATTTAAAGAAATAATAAATTAACTAATTTAATTATTTTTATTATAATTTGATTTTTTAATTTTTTGTTATATGTATGATTATTGAAATAACAATTTTTGAAAATGTTAATCCTTTTTTCTAAAAGTAAGTTGATAGTTTTCTCTAAAAAAGATATAATTCTATTATAATTGAATATTATATAGAGCTATGCTTTATATAATTTTAATTTTTATATTATATACATCTAAATTTATGTGTATATATATATATATATAATGAATTATCAGATATAACTTAGCAATCGGTGTATTCATTCAAATTTATAAGTTATTAATTCAAAAGGTGTGATAGAAAATTGAAAACCTAAAGAATCTTAAGCACATATTTTAATATTATAGCCTTTACAATATTGATTGTTGTTTATTAAACCTTCTCTGAACTGTTTTTTTAATGTATAAAACAATTCACTGGGTTTTGCTATTAAATAATAAAATAATATTAGTTTGTGTCAAAGTAAATAAAAACTAAAATGTGATTAATAAATTAATTAATATTTGATGATAGGTATGTTCTTAAGAATATTTAAATAGTTATTATTATTATTTTTTTTTACCAGATTTATGTATTTCAATGCTTAATTAGTTATATGTAGAAGACTAATCAAAATTGGAATGTGTAAATAGAACAAAGTTGTTATTTTGCCACTTTGAGTATCTACATAAAATTTGTTTTAAGTTATAATTATAATAATAATAATAATTACTTATATCAAATAATATAATAATTAAATTGTGTAATAATAGGTAGGTAATATCTACTACAGTACGAAGGTAGATAGATACACACTTATAATATGACTATCATTTTACAATTTATACTAAACCTAGATTGGTAATCATAAATATAAATGTATATTATTAAAGGTCATATCTTATCAGTTATGTCATAATCTTTTATATCGTTAAATAATACCTATTTAAATATCATGTCCAAGTTAATGTATCGTATTTCCGGGCACTTGTCAACAATTTAATTAAGAACATAGATTAGAGCGTCCTTTGTTGGCATGTAAAACTAGGACACTTAGTCAAATGCCAGTCAGCTGCCCATACACACTGATATAGATTTTCAGAGTAGCATGACAATAATCTATTGATGGCACAGTTGTTGAATATTTTGTTTAAGAAAAACGACCTTTACTCATCGTGGGGTTTTCAAGTATGTGGCGGAAGAGACAGTTGGCGACCTTTGACGGTGAGAAATGTGAGTAAAAAAAAAAAAATGTACATTTTTAAGTAATAAAAATTCAATTTAAATCATTGCTTGTCTAGGTACAAAATGGTACTTTAGCATGCAACTATTTAAATGTCGGTGATCGTGTATTAGAGATAGATGGCATCGACTGTTATTCGTTAACTGAATCCCAGGCAATTAGTTTCCTTCGAAGGCCAAGTTGCTCGGTTGAACTTTTAGTGTTGAAACGACGAGGTGAAAATGTTGTGCCTCCCAAACGATCATCTAGTTGTAAAGCTCTACAAAATTTTAGTTTTCCAAAATCGAAAAAAAATATTTCCGAACCGGATTCTCCCGATCGACAACAAATTAACAACAATTATATTGAAAACATTAACTCGTCTAACAACTTGTATACATTCAACGATTCGGAAGAATCTCCTAAACAATGTTTTGAAGAACCCAAAAAGGATCTTGACTCAGTACCGGTAAAAAACTATAATGGGTCATTACAGTTTTCCAATTTTAGACCTCGTAAGAATTCGTTACAAAAAGACAGTGAACCTGTATGTCTTAGAAGTCGCTCAAGTTCACCACAATTCTGGAAATTGAATACAGAAACTTCTATTTCTGATCCATCCAAAAATTGTAGAAGTTTTTGGAAAAAACTGGAAAAGTGTTCTATGGAAGACTTAAGCGCACGTCACACTCCAAGTCCAATACGTCCAGCAAGTGTGGCATTCTATCCCAAAACTCCTGAACCTATTGTTCAGCCAAAAACTGAAGTAATTTCACCTAAGAAAAAAGTAATGCATTCCTACATTAAAAATAAGTAAATTATTACTCAAATTTTAATATGGTATCCATTTATTTTTTATACATTAATTTATTAGGTGACTTTCAGTAATATATTATTGGAGAGAAATTATTTACAATCAGATTTACCAGACTTATCCCCGGGGTCAAAAGTCGACGAAGAATTCAATAAAATATACAACAGTTCCAGTCATGAAGAACCGTACGTTTTTATTTTATTTTAATTATAATTATAATTTTTAAAGAATACCTAGGTATAGGTAATATTTAATAATAGATATAATACCATTGATTATAGATATCTATGGTAATATACTTGCATATACTTTGGTAGGTAGGTATAGTCACTGACTGCTAGATGTAGATGCTAGATGCTAGATGACTGTATATATGATATATGTATGGTATGGCTATTGCAATTTGACAATCTGTGCTCAAATTTTAAATTAAATATTAGGTAATTAAATTATTAAGAAAATACCTATTTTTAAAGTATATTACGTGTAGGAAGGACCATATTTAGGATATATTAACCACTAGGCTATCTTATGGTGCGAATGGAGAGGGGTTAATAATTTGATTTTGATCTACTTTTAGATTCAGAGCGTAGGTAGGGATCACATTTTCCAAGAGATTTTCAAAATAATTGAGAAAAACTGGAAACAAAATTATAGGTAAAGCGGAAAATATTTAAAGCGCCCTGTGGCGATACCGCTTTTATTGTTTTTAATTTTTGCAAACTATTTATACTAGAAATATTGCTTTGATCAAAATAATGATTAGGGACTTTTTTTATTGAATTTTGGATTTAGTTACTCACGAAGTAAGTCATTTTTTGACTTTCTAAGTAGTTTTTATAATATTGGGAAAACCGGGAAAAGACGAAAATTGAAAAACTATTAAATCTACGGCGTAACGTATAATTGTATTATTTTAAATTTTCATGTACGACCTTTTCTATCAGAAATATTTATCCAATCGAAAATCAATTGTTGCATTTTTAATCTCGGTGGGTGAGAAAGTCGTTTATTTGATTTTCATTGTAGTTTTTTAATAAATGAGCAAAACCGAAAAAAAACGTAGACTTGAAATTTGGACAGAAATCCTATATTTGCTTTTCTTAACGTAGTAAAATGTTCAAACAAATTGAACCATTTTTGAACTATTTATAGATATTTAAATTTTGCGAGTTTTATACGTAATTTTTATTTGAAAGGAATTCTGTGGATATAATTGTTAGACTAAAGTACTAAATAGAAATGCTTGAAAATTTAACAGAAGGTTTATTAAAAATTGTACTCAGTGGTTAAAAAAAAGAAATTAAGTGTAATTTAGTTGTTTTAGATTCTGAGTAAGCGAAGAAGTTTATGGTTTTACAAAGATGTTTATTATTTTTTTTTATGTGCGCAACTTTTTTATCAGAAAACTTCTTCCGATTTTTACGTGAAGCAACTTTTCTAAAAGAAAATCGGTGTAGAGAGGTGCCTTAAAAAGATCTTTTTTTCGATTTTCTCGAGTTTTCTAAACAATTGTGAAAAACCGAAAAAAACGCAAGAATGTAAGAAATGTAGGTATTAGCTAAATATAATAAGGCCTTTTTTTTTTCTGTGTACAACTTTTCTACCAACAATTTTGCTTCAACTTATAATGATAGCAATGTTTCTAAAAGGAAATTTCACTGGAAAGGTACTTTAAAGAAGTCGTTTTTCGATTTTCTTAGAAGTTTTCCCAGCAAATGTGAAAAATCGGGATAAAACATCGGTAAACTGGAAAAAAAACGTAGGAAAACTTGGAAAATCGGTATAACATTAAACAAATATTATTAAAAAAATATATATAAAGCCTATTTAATTATTTTACTCTAAAATGATATATATATATTGTTGACAAAGCATCACTATCAACTGAACTCCGCTCAGAATCGTCTTTTGTTAACGATGGTTAATTGTTACGCACAGATATATATTAAATTTCCCATCTAACTTTCCAACTTTTTACCTACTACAGTGACCCATCCACGTGCGAAGTATGTCCGTTTTTTTTAAATTTTATTAGTAGCTTTTGGTAGTTTTGTTAATGATTAGGAAAACGTAGCAAAACTGGGACAATTTACGTAATAACAGTTTCCGGTTTCCAATATTTTGGATTTTTTTTTTTTTTTTATGATTCGGTTAAAAGTAATCGATTAGACATGAAGAGAGAAAAATATTTTCAGAATATTTATGAATTAGCACTTTTTAGACGTGCTAACATTTTCAAAGCCTTGTGGTTTTTGAGCTATTTATATGTATTTAAATATTTCAAGGTTTTTAATTTTTATTTTGGGTTTATGTGGATAAAATTGTTTTAACCTAGTAAAAACGGTTGAACATTTAACACGAGATTCATCATAACTTTTAAATTATACTTTGTGATAAAAATAAATTTGAAGCAATATTGAGTATTTTTTATTATGCGCCTTTTTATTTCAAATTTCGACGAAAATCGTAAAACTCACGGTATTTCAAAACATAATAAACCGAACTCTGCTGAAAATCATTTTTCGTTAGCAAAGATTTACCTATTCGTACAGATATAAATTAAATATGTATTCACTATAGTATTATAGTATACTTCCGTTAGCAGAGTCGGTATACTAACAAAAATTAGTGGAGGTGTCTAATTAAACAAATTCCGACTCCAAATACAAAATTTGCCAACTTCAAAAAATATTTTACCTATTATTTTGTCTTTCGATAAGTAATAAATTTGACAATAATAATATAACAATATAACTAACGATAATCACATAATAAAACACCCAAGAAACTAAAAAATGATTAGATTTTTTGACCCTAAAATTAAAATATCGTTAAATGGCTGACTTGGAAATCTAGTTGGAGGAGGGTATCAGTCCACCCTACCACCGGTCCTGTCTATCAGCATTATCAGTACTTTTTATGTTATAATTATTAACATACAATACCATCAGCGTATAAATTCGTTTCAAACAGGTTTATCAAAAACAATTATTTAATTTGTAAAGATTAGGACTTGCGTCTGACAGTTTAAATACCTATAATAGTGAAATGTAGATATTATTTTCTCATTAAATAGACATAACATTGATTTTTACTCTTATGACATACCTAATTTATAAGTTTATTTGTTAATTGTCAATGTTTAGATATAATTCCAATTACACAAAAGGCACCTATAAATATGTTTTTATTGTTTTAAATAAAATCACTCTTTATGAAATAATTGTTCGCATAATAATTTTTATATACCTACTTATTATTTTTGTTCTTATAAAATTTGTTATAAACAAATTTTCTCGACTCTGCTGTACGAAAATAGCGATGCAAAAACTACGAACCGTGGCCAAAATGGATATGTTAAAAATAACATTTTTAAATACACAACCGCCTGGTAGTGGCAATAGTAGTGGTGGTCCATTTTGGCTATCTTCAATGTCCAGTTGTAAGATTAGTCATTTTTATTATATAAAAAAAAAATAAATAAATAAATGAGTAGAAAGAAAATGTTCAGTGTTAATTTAGTTCAAATTTGTTTGTCCTATTCGACATGAGTTTAGACGTCTCCGTTCCCTGGAGGTACATTTATATACTATTTATAATTTTCATTTAGTTTTTATTATTTGTAATTTAATTAATAATATTCGATTTTCTAGAGATATTTTACAATTACTAATAATCACAATATTCTTAACAAATTTGTGTGCGCTCGCTAAAGGTCGGTTTCAATTAAACCACCATAGCTAATGCTGTATGAGTATGGAGTGATCTGTTTGTATCAATATATTACATATTAATATTGGGTAGGTATATAATTATTTGTTATTATTTATAATAATAATTATATTGCATTAATATTTTTTGTACATACCTAATTAATAATATTCGTTGTTTTACACATTTAGGCATTTAACGTCCTCGTGGTTTTATGAATTTGTGTTTTATAATGTACAATTTGTTTCATATATGTCATTTCGTAATACTTACTTAATTTTTTAATATACTAATATTCATTATTTTAATATTTATAAATTCGTTTGTTTAATAGATTGAAAAAAAATACAAACGTTTTATTAGTTAATCTAAGCAATTACTTAGATATCGAAAATTATACATCCAATAGTATCTAATATCTGTATAATATACTCTGATGATTCAGTTATTAAAGTTGCGGTGTATCTATAAAGTGTAATTATATAATAGTTGAGTTCTATTTTTACAATGCACTTTGTTCATGTGTGGGGTAGTGCCAAGTTTTTTATATTTCATCTATATCTATATTAAAATTTTTCTAAATCTTATGCTATTATAAAAAAAATGATATCTGAAATAATTAAATAAAAAGTGTTGTGCTAAAAGAAATTAAAACGAAAACCAAACATTTAAAATTACTACATGCATAAGATATGCATTATATATAGTTATACATAGTTACCCATCGAAATAATAAATTATATTGTATTTAATAATAGTTAATAGTTCCTCATAATTATATTAGGTACATAATATAATATGATTCAATAATTAAAATATGAACTATTTGAACCTAAACATAATAAATTAGAGTAGGTAGGTACTTTTTAAGTGCAAATCATAGTTAGGTATCTATAAACACAAAAAAAAAAAAATCTTTTTCATTTTCATTTATGCTAACCTAATCTTATATGAGTAGGTAGGTACATGTATAATAAAATTTAATATAGGTATGTATAAATAAAAATATATTATGTTTTATCTTATATCCATTAATACTACGATTACTATCTATTATCAATTTCAAATAGATGATATCAATCGTTTTAGTCAGAGTGTTAACGTGTTGTAAATGGTCGTTTGCTAACTAGCTCTATAGAAAGTAATGTTACATAAACTCTACTATTATCTACTGGCACGTGGTTAAAACATATCGGCATATAGTTAAATACAATTTATTCATAAAAGACCGATTTTTGTAACCCATATACAGAATTGTGTTGGTCGATATAAAGGTTTTTTCGTATCTTTGGCATTTCGAGTAAAGTTATAATTAGATAATTGTAATAATGTTATTTCAATTTGATTCTATAATAGGGTGCAAATTTTTATAATTCTATTTCATAATAACCTCGGTTTTCTTATTCAATTGTTAGTAAATATGATTTTGTATTACCTAATAAAATTGTATGTGATTATAATACTTAACATTACAAAACAAATAAAAAAATAGTAATAATAATAATAATAAATTCTTAGGTTGATGATTTGTTAGTATTAATAGAAATCTATAATATTGTTTTAACTACATTTTTTGAAGGGAAATATAATTTTCTGAAAAAGTAGCTGTATTTTCAATATTGAAAATTAAACCAACAGTCCATTATTTATTTGCTTTTAATATTTAGAAAAATATGCAAGGTCACTATAAAAAGGAATGTCAGTCATTCCACATGTTTGAATTTGACCGATACAGTCATATTAGCAGATGCTATTATTGCAGGCGTTTACCTGCATAAGCGTAAATGGTGGTGGTGTCTAAGGGGGCTATAGTCTCTCAACATTTCCTAGAACCCTCTGAAAAATGTCTCTCCAGAAAAATATTTTCTCATTGTTATTTTTATTTTTTTTGCAAAATACATCAAATAAAAAATAAATATGAAAAACTTCATATTTCTTTTTTCTTTACAAACGTAAGGGTGTATTTTTGATGAGTTCCGTGGAATATAAAAAAAAAAATATAAGATTTTAATGTAAAATCTAAAATTGTATAGTTGTATACTCTAAATAATATTATAAGATATTTAAATTTATATTTATATTTAAATATATAAAATAAATAACGAGGTATCTAATAGTGATAAGATAACTAATAACTAATAAGTTTTTATTTTTTATATATTTTGTATATTATTACAATTTGACATTTGTACATGTTAATTATAACTGCGATTTAATATTACATCATATATATTCTTAGAACTAATAAAATTTTTAGATCAATTGGTTTTATTATAATTAAGAGTAATTAAGTAATGGTTTTTATAATTCAGATACATTACCAATATGTTTTCGAAATATTTTTTATATTTTTTTTAGAAATGGTTAAATGGTTAAATGGTACTTGTTAGTATAAGTACCTACTATACAGAGAGATTAATTTAGCACGCTTACTTTATTTGTATGGTTAAATTTTGCATGTATTACTATTCTTATTTTTGAATTTTTTAAGTGTAATTAAAGCTAATATTTTCGAATTCTTAGATTTTTCACAACATTTAAGGAGTATCCTATAGTGATGCAAATTTTGGTTTCTCAAACGAAAATTCAGAAAATCTATATTAAAAATTCCACAAAGAGGTGGAATATAAGTTTAAATACATTTTGGTGTTGATATTTTTGATTTTTGTCAACCCATTGACGAGATATTCCACTTTCATGTTTGGGGACAATAGTGGAGTATAAATAAACGCTGTTCGCCATGCCATTTGATGGCATTTTCAGACTGATATCTTTAGTACTTTACAGTAAAATAATTCAAATAAATTTTGATTAAAATATGTCAACATTTTCAGAAAAATTATCTAATTTACAATTTGCATTAAAACATATAGGTCTCATTTGAAAAATAAAAGTTGGTATACTATAGTATTTTCCTTAAATGTTGAGAAAAATTTAAATATTTGAAAATATCGGCTTGAACTACAGTTTGAAAATTCCAAAAATCAGAATTTCCAAGTACTTATGTAAAATTTAACGATAAAAATGAGGTGAGCATGCTCAATGATTCGTCCTGTATATTTAAACATATATTTAAAAAAAAAAAAACTATAAAATTATAAATCGAAGTTTTTGTCATATTTATTCGTTACCATAAAATGTAGTACACCTTATTTACAATACCATTAAAAGTATTAATTTGGATTGTGATTATTATTTCTGACCTATCGAAAATACATTATATCGTATTCCTGCTGGCTACCAGGCACCGACTATTATCAAGACACCTCTGTTGGTGTTAAACATTACACTAATAATTACTTCGAACGTTCTAATGTTAAATTTCCAAAAGTCTTAATGATTTTTCACAAAAAAATATAATAAACAAATACTATACAAAAATATTATTATATTAAAACATAAAATAAACTTATAACGTTTTGATTTTTATTATATATGCAAGTATAGACAATAATAAATTTATAATTTTAGAACATAAAATTAAAGTTTCTCTATACATTTTCACAATATGATAATGTGTTATGGTAATAGGTAGGTAGGTTCAGATATATTTAAATAATTGTACAATATCATAAAAAGTGAAAATGTATATTATTAGTTTTTGTATTTTGTGTTGGCTTATGTGTATTTTATTTTTAGTAATATAATTAATCATTATTAATTATAATCAAGTAAATGTGTTTTTGCTGTCTTCAATATAGAAAGTAAATGAACTATCTAAACGATAACTTATACAATTTTTCAAAATTTAAATATTACCTGTGTTTAATAGGTACTTGAGTTTAAGAGTATTAGAGATGATTATAATGAATAATTAAGATATGTACCTATACAAATATATTACATTTTATTTTATAATAGCAGCGGTGAAAGACAAAAAGAAAATTAAATTAAATGTTCTGATGAGTCATTGCTGTATAGACTTAGGCGCATGTGCATGACTTTCGTCTTTCTCGCATTCCTATGTGTAAATATCCTAATAAATAACTCTTACGTGACTGCCGCTCGCTTGCTCTGGACCTACTGGACCGATACAGGGTATAGGTACATTACTATATAATACCAACAAAATAAAGAACAGGTTTTTGTCAATTCAATTTCATTGGAATTTACGTTTATTGTAACGTTTTAACCCACTATGTATTTTTTTTTTTTACATCGATATACTTTATTGTATTATAGGTAGACGTTCGTTTTTACGGTTTTATCGATTGTGGGTGCTGCTTGGTTTATACATATATGTATTATTTTCAATAATGCAGTAAAAGATTAGATCATTCCATTTATCGAGAAAAAAAAAACAAACACATTTTTGTATTTATATCTTAGGTGTGTTGTGTATTATATAGGTACTTTGTAGTTCGTATACACATACACCTGATTTATTTTGATGGTAATACAATTCAAAATTAGGGTTGAAAGAATGTGGTTTTTACTTTTATTTTTAATAGCTGTATAGAAATGTTAATTTACACGTAATTAAACCTCGTAAATAATTTGGACGTTTTATAATAAGTTATAAATTTCTTAAACCGGTGTACTGGGTTCAAATAACGATTATACCTACCCTTAATTATATTTATTACGCGTTTTATGTGGTAATAATGTATATATTTTTCTTTCAAGTGGACATATTATAGTAATATTGTTTAATATTAATTTATTATAATTGTATAACTTGAGATATTTTATGTCGGTACCTACCTATTTTATAATATTACGCGCTTATTTTAATTCACCATTGTGAATGGAATGTATCACACTACTCTAAATTAATAATTCTTTGTGGAACTCTCTGGCATGTGTTTGATAATAATTAATATTACAGTATAATGACTGTATTGTACATAAAAAAAATCACTAAGTATTGGTGTATCTAAGTTTTTATTGTAAATACGATCAATTCAAAAAATTAATTTTATTTTACGATTCATTTAATCGTTACAGTATAATTACGTAAAAACGATGTATTATTATTGTTTTTTATTAAATAAAATAAATATGCATCGATTTGTGCAAAATATTTTAATAACTATTTCTTACGATTGCGAATGTATTGTTGTATAAATAGGTATGTTAATTTATTTTTAAAATCTATTTCAAGTAGATACCTATTACACATTTGAAATTTATTTTATGTTCTGAAAGTAAAACAAGGAATATATTGTTTTTAAAATGATAATTGATGATGACTATTAGATTATTTTTTTATTTTTCTGTCTGTAAACAATTTGTCTACCAGCAAGTTTGCTCCAATTAAACACTTTACAAAAACTTTATTGTATCATTTACTACATTTACTATTTATCATACTTGTTTACAGTAAAAATGACGATAAAAATCGTAAAAATCACGGCATTTCGTGTTAAATAATATTATTTTCCAATTTATGTAAATACAAGTTCTTTAGCTCAGTAAAAATGTTCAACAATTCAAGACGAAAAACAGACAATTTTAATTTATTTTGTAGTTACAAATTAATGTGATTTTCAATTTGAGTTTACAAAAACACGTTTAATCGAACTTCACTCAAAATCGTTTTTTGCAAGCAATAAATTATCGTTGCGTATGCAAATGTAAATTTAATTACCTTATATGTATATATATATATATATATATCCTACCTATCAAATTTCCCACCTAAAACGGTGCCACACCCATGATAGTGCGAACTATGTCCTTTTTTTGTTTAGCAAACAAAATCTCGCACGTTTTAATAGTTTCGTAAATATTTAATTTTTTAAACATAATATTTATTTAACTAATATAATATACTATCTATTTCCACACAGAATTTATTCTCCGTAATTAAATAATTTATGTACAACATGTACCTAATATAATATAGATATAGTTTATAGGTACTTTTTTATTCACTTTTATTGGATTTCTAATAATGATAGCTAAAGCAGGTAGTATTATTGGTAATTTAATTTAATTTTTTGGTCCAAGTGACATAAGTGTATGGAGTGTATTATGTATTAGTATTTTCCTAAGTGTATCGATTTAAGCCTTCTTCCCTGGGCGCAAAGAAATATCTATAAATGAACAATTTTGTTTATTATTTTCCATACAAATTCTACAATATCCATGTCGTATCTATATGTACACTTATTACTTTGTATAATATTTGCCATCTATTCTGTAGTGTATCTATAGCCAATGTTGTAAAAGAAATACCAAAGTTTTTTTTATGTCATGATAAAAATATATAATTATTGTTTACACAATTTGTGTTTGATAATGAAATTAATGTTAACGAATTGAATAATAATTAAAAATATTAACGTTTCGTCAATACCCAATACAACATATTATTGCATAAAATGTTCAGAAAACGAACAATAAGTTATTACTAAGGAACGGATGTATATACACTTTAAATTTATATAAGAACGTGAAAAAAAAAAAGCACTTCAAAAAAACAAAACGGAACAAAAATGATAGTGTGGTTTAAAATTTCTCCCTTCCAATCACGAACTTAGCTAAATTAGATAAACTTTTCCACATAATTAACACAGTTCATTTTTTTTTTAAACAAAACTATATGTATAGTAAACAAAATTACTTTGTTTTAATCACTTTTATAGTGTTATAAAATTAGAGTCGTTAAAGGGGGGGGGACTTTTAAAATTCCTCTACCATTTTTATTTTTAAAAATACGTTTGAAGTGCTTTTTTCCGGGTTTCTTTGGCGTTTTTAAACGGTTTTTCGTAAATCTTAATCGTATACGCGAATCCATTCCCCAGTTCTTACTAATACAATATACGACAAAATATTATGATCGCGGACATTCCGGGGTTTTTTTTTTTTTTTTTTTTTTGTAAATCTCGACATGCAATTATTTATACGTACAATATACGCGTGATACACGTGTAGGTCGAATCGCTGAATATTGACGTGCGTCAAAATTCTCCAAATATATCTGGTTTGCACGTAAATATACACAATACATAAAACAAAACTAAACGATTCCCGTAATAATAATACGTATCGTGTGTACGCATAATCATTAGTGCGTCACTGACGAACACTATCATTGCCGCAGTGTAATATACCCACTGAGTAACCGGCGTGTATATAGTAACTGGAGAGTGGAGAGAGACCGGATAAACTGCACTCGGTTGCAGTCATCGGTTACTCAGACTCGCATTCGGCATAGTATCGACTTCGAGTGCGCACGTTCCGTTTGAGTACGTCTCGTTTTATCGTAAATAATCCGTACGGGCAATAATAATACAACGACCGGCAGTCGTGCCCGCGTAACAGCTATAGGCGCCTTTTGTATTTGATTATACCGCGCGTACATAATATTTTCAAAAACCATCGTTTTACATTTAAATTCCGTCGTACTATTATATTGCGTATAATGTCGACCGCCGCTGAGACTGCTGCTAAATTAGACAGGACCGATCCCAGAGTACGAAAGCTCGTTTACAATATGTACAGGAACGTTTTGGGAAATTACAACGATAAAGCGAACGCTATGTTAGACGCGTTGCCCGAAAACCAAGTGACCCAAGACCAAGGGATAGACCGGCAACTCTCTAGTATATTGTAAGTCTACCGCATATACGCATATTATACTTAAACTCTACCAGGGGAAGAACGGTTCAAGTCAGTATTCGGTTTCTTTTATAATTTTGTCTTGTGTCATTTTTTCCCTTTTATTTGCTGGTCTAAATGTCATAACTGTATATAGTTTCAAAATTGAATTTGCTTGTATTGAAAACTATACCAAATCGACTCGAGCCCTCTTCTTCCCTGGAACCAAAGATATAGTACAATAATATACCTTTATCATTATTATAATTATAACAATTTTAAAATTACGAAAGATAATGGTTATTTATAGTAGTGTAAGGTTCAACAATTACTATAATTATAAAGTGTAATGTATATTTATATCTGATAATATCTCTAATACCGTCATCGGTTAAAATTATTATAATACAAATCTTGTCTTCTCTACATATAATTTCGTTTCACTTTCGACTGAGTTTATATTAATTTTTCGAATTCTGTGTACTCCATTAGATATATTATGTAAGTACCTATACCGTATACCGTATACCGTATACTTTGAATAACCCAGTAAGACTTATTACTGTAGGTATATTATTACAGAACAGTTTGAATTATTCAATATATTATTCATTTACCTACTATTATTTGTCGCTATGATTTTAATGATATTATTATGAAATCATCACGCCTTCTTAATTATAATATATACTTAAATACTGTAAATAAGTATTATATATGATCATATTATGATCATGTACAATATAATTATTTATGTGTTAGATTTCTTTGTTAACCTTTTTCTGCGTGAATTTTGTTTTTTCTAAAAAAATGATGTATATAGATTTGTAGTCAAGATGACATAGAAAAATACTTAAAAGAAATTTCGACTTTTTTAACCCTAAAAAAGCTCAAATTTTAAGTTGTGCCGTAAATGGCATAATGCGCACCAAAACTGTATATTTATACAGGACTCCATGCATTAAATTACTCAACAGTATTATGTGCCATATTATGTGAGACGTATGCAGTTATAAAACGAAAATAAAATAATTACATCATATTATATGTATTTAATTATTTATTAATTACTGTATCACAGTTTATCTGTTTTCATCTATTTTATAAATTATAGTACTCAATTTTACCACTAGATAAAAGTACCTTGTATCAAAATTATTCAGTTTTTCGTGCTGAATTCAGCCATGTAAGAAGTATTGGAATCGAATAATTTTTCAGTGAAATAATCGATAAACATTAATTTGTGCCATTTTTGGTACAATATGCGGAAAGGGGTTAAGTTGAAAATATTTCCAAAGTCAATGATATTTTTATAACTTGTTATTTAATATTTTAATCGAGAGGAGTTTTTTTAATGTAATCCATACGAATATTGTGTTAAATAGGTACCTGCTAAACAAATTTACGTATTTTATGTTATTTAATCTTAAAAATGCGGTTTTTGTGACATTAGGTACCTATAGTTACAAGGTGCATATTATCACAATATGAAGGGTTTCCTAAAACATTGATGAAATGCTAATACGACGCTATTTTTATTATTTTATCTGAAAGTATTCGAATATAAATACGCTTATAGTTAAAATATTAAATAAACATAGCATAATACAACGCAATTAATCTAGTGTAAATATTGCAGTGTATTAGGTAGGTATCTCTAATAAAAATGTATAAACAGTAAATATGTCAGTTGAGTATAAATTGCACACTATATACTTATTCAACCAGATGGTTTTATGCATAATAATTACAAAATACCTATACTAAATAAGGAACATGTACGAGTTTTTGGTTAGAGAGAGGGAATTATTATGGTCGTGATAATATGTTTGTTTTGTTAATCACTTTTTGAGGATCACTTAAATAATTTATACGGCTCGGCAATTTTTATAAAGCAAGTTTATAGAATAAGTAGGTTGGTAAATAAATAGGTAGGTTTTGGTTGCCAAACGTTTTTGAGGGTTCAATTTCCGAAAGTCCCAATTTGATGTCTCTGAAAATCATGTAAAATTCGATGGAGGCATACCTATATACTTATTAATAATAAAACGAAAATAGCTAAATACAAATCGAGTGTTTAAATTGCATTCACAATTTATGATAATTATTGAGTATACCATGTATAATTAATATGAACGAGCCTATCTCACTTTTTAAATAAATATTTTTGTAATACTCAATTGAATTGTTAAGGTCTAAGGTCTATAATGTATTTACACGATATCAGAATAATTACTAATTTGGTAGGCACCTAAAATTTAGTCCTTTGATAAAATAAATTTAATTTTAGGTTATTAATATAAATAAAAAGTAGATATCCATATTAGATACCGTATATATATATATATATATATATATATATATTTCATTATACTAACACATTGTATAATATGCATAATAGGTATAAAATATATACTTAAATACAAAAAAAATATTCGTAATTAAATTAATCATTTTGATTTTGTATTCAAATATTTTTTTTTGAAAAATTACAAATATTTCACATTCACAGTAAATATGTATTATCATCAGTACCCAACCTGGGAGTAATTACTCCCCAAGGAGTAAAACACGATTTTTGAGGTGTAAAGACTACCTAACCTAACTCATTTTTTGTATTTTATGTACTTTATACTTATGAGTATTAACTCTGCATCAGTCATGTGTACTATGCTTGTAATAGTTTTTTCAAAAAAAAAATTTTTGAGGGGGATGGGGATTTGTTAATGTCTAACCTGATTTATGGGCAATAGTCTCAAAAAGGTTGGGAACAACTGGAGTAGATAACTGATGAAGTTTGCCATGTGCTTCTTCTTTTAGGTAATTTATTTATTTAAATTGGTACAAATATTAATTATAAATGATAAACTAGTTAATAATTATTGTATGATAATGATTATACCTACCTAATACTATATCGTGTATTATAATCAATGGAATAAATAACTTGACATTAAAGTAGATACCTGTTTTTACAGGAACATGACGTTTAAAATAATAATTATTCTGTATATCACATGTACATTTGTTTTTCGATAGTTAAAAATTATAAACTAAGCATAGAAAATGTAATATTTAAAAATAATATTATATTTAATGACCAACACGTCATTACCCTATTAAAAAAAAAAATAATAATAAACGATTAACCTAAAGTAAACATAAATCTTTGCACAAATCATTAATCATTTTCTTGTAAATTTCTAAATGTATATATAAGTAGGTATATGTAGGTAGGTACCTTACTTGTAACAGTATTAAAACTAGCTAATAATTATAGATATGTATTGTAGATATCTACTCACTTATTTTCTTTGGCAGAGTCAATCGATATTATTATTACCTTAAGCCTGAAGGATATCCAGGGGTTATAATATTATTGGTTAGTAAATAAAAAAGGAGGTTGATATTTAAAATAAGTTAAGTAGAAATGACAGGACTTGATTCTCCCAACAATTTTTGCACGCATCTACTAATATTGTATAAGTATACCTATACGTGTAGTACAACAAATTGATAGGTAAAGTAGATACACCTTATTTTTACGTTTTAAAAACCTATATATCTTTAATATAATTATTATATTAATTATCATTAGCGTTTTATATTACAAGCTCCTACGGTTATAGAGGTTTTTTTTCAATAGTTAAATTGCGCATATTTCCGCGTGCGTTTCCGCCGCGTTTCCGTTTTCCAAACAACAGCGTAACGAATTATCATTGACCTTATTATTGCATTATCATATGGAAGATAAACAACCAGAAAAAAAATCCAACGTGAGAATAGGCAAGGTTGGTTGTGAACGTATGTTATAGTGTGTATTATGTTTTCTGTTTGAAGAGTAAAAAACAAAACAGCGGCGCCCATCCAAGGGCACACAATAAGGCTGACCCTGCAAAAAAAAAAAAAAAATCATAAGAGTAAATCCATATAATAGACAGCTGAACAAGCGCTCGAATACGTAGTTTATTTCGATCCAAATATGGTAGCTTGTCCACCATCCACAATGATAATTTCAAATACGAATGCGTATCATAAGACTCGTACACTATTATTATTGTACCACATCATATATTATTATTACCTATTTGAAATAACAATTTATACATTTTTTTTCTTCACAACATCTCAGAAGATCCCCTATAGTTATAGCTATATCTACCTAATCTATATATAGTATGTTGTCGTTAAAATATGATATGAGATGCACCACGGTTGTGCAAAACTATGCTATTTATTTTAATTTGTGTGTAGGTACTACGTAAAAATCATTTATATAATGCGCAGTCTTATTAATTTATTTTATATTGTTATAGGCATCAGATAGGAGCGAAAAACTCTGCTGGAGACATGTCCGCACCTCCACCGCCTGCGCCGCCACCACTGCACCATTCTGGTAAAATTAAATGAAAACAAATAAACATTACTGTTGACGTGTGAACGAAATAATAATATTATTGGATTTCGTTTATGAAATTTTCATATTATGCATTATGTAAAATTAATGTCTTATTTGTTTATATTTTATAGGAGGTATTACTCAAGGCGGTCCACCCCCGCCACCGCCACCACCTATGTTACACAGTGGACACATTCCGGCTATCCGAATAAAAACAGAGGTACCTAGATAATTGTCATATTTTGTGTTGAATTTTTGTCAATGTGTAGTTATAAATAGTTATTGGGTAAATTAGACTGGTATTAAAACGAAACATATTTTGTTAATTAAATGTACAGTGTAATAAATATTATACCAACTCTGCATAACAGGTTAGGTCAGGTTAGGTGCGTATGCATGAACAATGATTCAATGAGTTAATAATAAACTATTGTTCATTGTATTTTTTTTTAACAATTATATTTTATTTTACGTATAATAAGAACATAAAATAGTATCATTACAAATGTATACTAAAAATCGAATACAATTTAAATTAATTACGTTTACCCATACATAGGTAATATGTAAGTAATATGATTGGTAATATGTATTGTTTATGGTTTATCATTCAAAATAGTTGAACAATACATACATAGTGATTCTTTTATTGTGGAACATTCATTATTTCGCAAATTGAACTTAAATTTGAATTTAAAAAAAAAAATGTTTTGAAAATTTAAGTAATAAGCAAATCTAAAATGTTACACCATTATTTTTTGTACCCTTATTTTTGGTTGTGAAACGACTAGGTACCAACCTTTAATTTTTCGATGGTAATCTACCTATATTAAGTAACATTTACAGATAGAGTATTAGTTTAAATAAATTTTGGTACTAAAATATTTGATTTCCATTAATCCATTCACGAGATATTCCTTTTATGTCAGCTGTGCCATTTTTTTTTTACTCCCTACCCAGGCTGTGTGTTTATAATTTGTGGCGACTTTAATCCCTCTGATATTTTATGGTCTTATGACGACTATGACCTCTGCTACTCGGCTTCCAGCTCTAGAATCCAATGCGTTTTCGATGTATTTGCTTTCAATAACTTTTTTCAGCTAAATGAGATTCCCAATAAGATTCCCAATGAGATTCGACAATCCATGTCTTTTACTAGGAATAGAAACATTATCAATTATACATACCTGATTACCTTGGACATTTTTTTTTTGCCTAAATCTTGAATTTTACTCCCACATTGAAGAAGTTTGCTATCGTGCGTTAAAGATTTTAGGCTTTATTATTCGCACGTAAAAATAATTTGAGCTCTCCAGAACTTGAATTCCAGTTCTCTTAAAGCTGTGTACTGCTCACTCGTATGATCTCTTTTGGAGTATTCTTCTATTCTCTGGGACCCATATACTGCAACGGACATTTCTCTTGTTGAGTGAGTCCAGAGACGTTTTTGTTCTTCTGATTCTTTCATTTTAGAAATTCCTTACAAACCTCATAATTATAGCCCAGTAATGAATAAACTTGGTCTTACATCTTTAGCAGATAGAAGAGTTGAAACAAATTTGGTATTTTTGCGCAAGTTGATAATGGTCATCTGGATGCTCTCTCTCTCCTTTCTTTATTAAATTTCAGAGTTCCTACTTATTCAATTAGATGCTATTCTTCTTTTGCTGTTTTTTTTCACCACACCAATTATGGTAAAAATAATCCCATCCATCATATAATGTGTCTGGCTAATGAGAACCTAAGCTTCTCATAGTTTTTTGGTCCATTACCACCACCTATTTATTATTATTTTATCTGTCACTATTTATTATGTTATATTGTTATTATTATTATTCTTTTTACTATGTTTCATTATTTCTGTATATTGATATAATTTAATGTACTTTTATATTATGTTATTTACTGTTCTATTCAGCACCTAGTCCGTGAAAATATACAAAATATATAAAATAAAGTATACAAATAAAAAAAACATATAACATGACTAAAATTATCATAATGATAATGAATGATAGTTTGATAAAATTAATGTATATATTTTTAATACTTACTCAATTATTAGCATTGTTCATTTATTTGTTTTACAGATGAATGAAGTTAGAGAAATTCCATCAACTATACAAAATGCAATGGCTACCAAAGACAAAAAACCATTTACATATCTTCCAGGGGGATTAGATCTGAGTGAAATAAGAAGTCCTCGAATGCAAAGGCGCCTAGAAAGAAATGCCCAGACTCCACCTAGTCCAGAACAAGTGCCTCAAAAATCTCCAGATTATCAGCCATCACACCAGATGAAACCAACCTTTGAACAAAAACCTGCATGTAACGTACGTTCTGCCACAGAAAGAGTGTGTCTGTTACCTCAAGTTCAACCTCAACTACAATTGAACAAGGCTCCAACTCCTTGGATGCAGAAAGCTGCTCAAGTTCAACCTGCCTCAGCACCATGGACCCAAAATAAAAAAGAATATGATGATCAGGTAATTTTTTTTTACGTTATTATACTTTATAATGTAAAAAAAAAAATGTAGCTTATTTAAGGTTTGGTAAATTATTCCAGTCAAATAATGTATACTGTGACATAACAATGAGATATCACCATATTGTAATAATAAATGTATATATTTTTGTTTTCATTCTTCCGGTTTATAAATAATAGACAAGTTGTATTTGAGGGGAAGTTTTTTGTGAAAGAAAGATGTCGACTGATGTGAGATTAGAGATGAATGGGTTGAAGGTTGATGTTAGAAGCGTTAGAGAAAAGAGTCAGGTACAGAGGCATATGTAATTTTAAATGACATGAAAAATATTTTTAATACATTTTTTAGTTTAGGACTTCATATTTTAACTATATTACAATTTTGTAACAAAAACTTATTGTTTACAAGGTATACGTTTTGATCGATTTTACAACCTTCAAATATTAAGCTGAATGGCTGCCCTTGCAGATTTTACATTAACCTGTAAATTGTTCACTGTATCTATATATAATACAAAATATTATTTTATTTAAGAAATTTCATTCAATTATTAAATGCTTACAATATACAATATTTAAAATTAATTGTAGCTAGATTTAAAACATTTTACATTTTTAAGACACACAGGTCATATTTTATTCTGTAGAATTAATTTTCCTAATATTTACTGTTAAGGTTAATAAATCAGAAGAACGAGTTGTACCCATGAGAGTTGAAACAAACAGACAAGTACCGTCACAACCATTGAAGAATAATGTAAACTACTCGTATGACTCTGAACCAATTCAAGGACGTTCATTCAAAGTGCTTCAACAAATTACTGAACCAAAAAGTATAACATAATTAATTAATTAAATATAATAATAAATCATTCATTTGGATTAATGAAAATTTTAAATAAATATGTTTTAAGTTAAATTATTTAATGAACTTAAGTATTAGGTTATTTAAATTAATTTTGAATATAAATATTTACAGCTTTATATTTAGAAAATATATTTTAAGAAATTGAAATGATGATAAATATTATTTGTTATAAAGTTATCTCAAAAAGGTTTTATGGTTTATATACAATTTGGACTTTAATATAAATATAAATATTGGATAATTTTATACAGGATAAATTTCATATTTTTAACACTTTCGGTGCAAAAACATAAAATACAAATTTCATTTTTTTTAATAGCATTACCTTTGTTTTTTTAAATTTGAATAGTACTATTTAAAACAATTTTGATCAATTTTTTTATCCCAAAATAATTTGAATCATTTAAAGTTGATTAAACATATGATAAAAAAATACTATATATATAGTATGTTATTATTTATGTATAATTTTGTTAACTAATATTTTTTTTTTTTTATAAAACAGCAATGTTTATTTACTTAGTCATTTATTTATTTACTTTAAAATTCACATGTTTTAAAAGTCATACATTTTGTTTAAAAGTTAAAAATTAATCATGTTTTTAATCAAATTTGAATGGCTGTATATCAGGTAGGTAATTTTTTAGATTCCCACAAGTAGAGTACATTTTTAAAAATATTCTGATGTTTTTAAGTTATTAGTTAAAGTATTTTGAAATTTGAAATTTTGTATTGTTTTATACAGATAAAAATGTTTAATTCTATAAACGTAATTAAAATATTCATATAATATACCTCTAAATGAAACAAAATATATAAAAAAAAGGTATTGTTTGATTTTCAGTTAAAAAGATATATATTATAAAATTACTAATCAATTTGCTTCATGCTATGAACAAAATAGACATTATATGCTCAATGTTCTTTTTATAACATGAAATGGCACTTATTTGTCTAATAGAAAATATTAATAAAATTGTTGTATGTCTAAAATATCCTGAGTCTATCTGTTATTGTCCTTATTCTGTAACCCACTATTTCTATAATCTATTCTATTTGTTTAATTATTTAATATTTTTCAGGCATTTATGATGGTTCTCAATCCTACAATAGTCAGTCATTACCATTATCTGAACTTCGAAAATTGCAGTTAAGTGACGATGACAGATCTTTTATGAATAGAGTAAAATCTCAAGGTATGTATTCTTATTGTGAATAATTTATATTTTTAATATGTTTTAGAAATTTCATTATTAAATCATTGTAGTTAATATAGACATGGAAAATCCAAGATATAGAGGCGGTTCTATACCTTCTAAGATATTCAAAGTTTTGGATAATAGTGGTAATCATTTAAAACTTAATTATTACTATGGTGGTGGTATCAATAATATCCAACAAAATGCTCGCTTATTTGGTTATAATGGTCATTTTAGAATTCAGATTTAGTTACTTACATTTTCTATTACATAAATAAATATGAACATAATAGAATAGATGGTATGAATAATGAATATTTAGGTGCTTATCAAATTATAATATTTTTTTTATTTAAGTTCAATTTAAGTGGTATGTGACACGATAATAATTAATTAAGAATATTATTTTTATACAATTATCAGTTGACGATGATAAATTTTTACACAATGAAACGGATCCTCGTTACAGAGGTGCATCGATCCCGTCTAGAAGTTTTCGAATGTTGCAAACATTAACAAACTCTGCACCTGGTAAAAGAAGTTTTATCGAATCAATATGTGATTGTCATGATTTCTGTTTGTTAGGCTACGCTGCTTGTAGGTAGTGTAATGCTTTTAGCTTTTAGGTTGTATTTTGGTGTTTAGTGTTTACGTTTAACTTTATAAATTTGATATTAAATCAAGTTAAATATTTTACAGTTCCAATTGATAACAATAAACCATCAGTACCAGTAAACAGTTATATACCAGGTAAAAACCATTTAAACTAATTTAAAATCTAGGTATTCATTATCTAACTGATTATTTCTCAGTAGAACCTATAGAATCCAAAGTTTATGTACCACCATCAGAGAGGTCTGCTAGCACGGAACCCCACAAGTATACTGGAAGTTCTATACCATCCAGGTCTTTCAGAATGTTGCAAGCTATGACAGGCCAAAATAACGGTAAAACATTTTATTTAATAATATTATATACAAAACAAAATACTAATAAAATCAGGCGATCAAATATGTGATACAATTCTATGAAGTAATTAAATTCCACATATATATCTACTATTTTTATGAGAGTTAATTAATTTGTCAGTGAATTGAAATTTTAATGATCTATATATACGTATATAAGATCAATTTTAGTTGGGTATTTAAAATGCTACCTTACATTTGTCATTATGTTAAGGAAATTTGTTTTATAATTTTATGATGCTTATTTTACATTTAAAGTTTGACTTATATAACTTTGGTGAGGTTAATGTAGCCTGTATGTGATATTATAATGTGTAAAATATCTTTTTGTAGGGTACTTATGTCTATGTAGCTACAATATTTTTATTATGAATTAAATTTTTAATTTAAAATTAATTCTAACTACAAATAGGCATGATATTTTTAAATTCAATTAACATAAAATATATATATTTTCATGACAATAATAATTTTGTGTAATTAAATAATTAATGCTACTTGGAAATAAAGAGTATTTTTAAGGTTAAGGTTAGGTAAAGATTTTCTAAATTTGTTCCAATTAAAGGTGTAGGAATAGCATTTGATGGATTTAAATTTTTAAAGTGTATTATTAGGTTCTTAATTAGGATAGGTACTTAAGAGTTAATTTTTTTAATGTTCATTCACTTTTTCATAATTAAAAGGCAAAGTATTTAAAGTAAATTTCTTAAACATATCTTAGTAAGATAGATTCATAATTTATTTTCAAAATTGAAATCCGTCAAATACAATTCCTATAGTTATGTTTGGCTTTAGGTCTAAATCTACTAAAATGTACATAGTCACCTTTAATGTTTTAGATATGAACTAACGTATATATTATGATATACATTTATACTAAAGTTGTTCTTTTCGTGAATTGCATTTTATGGTTAAAATAAAGCTTATAGGTAATGATTGAAACATAATGCATGAAAAAAAAAGAATCTAATTAACCCAAAATTGATGGATAAATGGATCACCCTATAAAAAATGTGTACGTTTGATGACTCACTTCATGAAAATAATGATTAATGATTAGTTTGTTTATAATATTTTATTCGCCTTATATTATATATTATTATGTTAAATAAATTTAATAATAAACATAATTTTTATTATAGTAGGTACCTACATATTATTGCTTCTGAAATATAGAGTGTCCTTATGCTAATAATTCTGTCAATATTCATTTTTTTTTCTAATTGGGTTTTGTATTATACCCATATGTAGAGAAATATAAAATGTTTATTTTCATCCCTTGATTATTGAAAAATAACTTTATTTTATCATCTACAAGTTACACAATAAGGAATCACAATTAGCACGATAATGCCTTTTTATATCTTTTATTTAATATTAATTGTCTTTACTTCTATTTTCTATACATTAAAGCCACTATAACTAAGAAACTATTAATAAGATATCAATGTAGGATAATTACCATTTTTAGAATAATATACTTTACAAAATGGGTATTTTGAAAATTTTAAAAAGTGAACAAATAAAAAATTATTTTTATCAGTGATTAAGGAATGAAAATAAAAATGTAATTTCCCTCTACATAATGCATATTGACAGAGTTATTAAAATAAGGATAACACTGTAGGGCACCCTGTATTTACTGACACACTTAGGGTAGAATATCTTAGATTTATAACTACTTTTTTTGTAATAAGTTAATAGATGCTTGAAGATATAGATACTGTCTAATTAATTAATTTTGTATCTAATTTTGGGTTTAATACCTATTATGTTTGATATGGGCTTGGGACTTATAGCACTTAAAATTTATTAATAATTGCTTCAAAATTCCAAAAATCCCTGAAAACACTTATAGGAGTTTAAAAGTTTTCCCTCTTACGACTGTAATTTATAATATTTCCCAACACTACAAAAGTAACAACACAATATAATATAAAATAATTTTGAGTAATTAAAAACAAATACTTTGTGTTAATCATTTGTGTAGTATTAGAAAATATAATTTAATAAGTTTGTATTGTTAAAGGAAAAAAAAACTTTTTAACCCATTTAAAAAATTTTAAATATTGTTTACGTGTTTTTTCGTTTTTTTTTTATTTTTCAAGTGCTTTTATATGGATTTTAAGTGCTATAAGTCCCGAGTTCTAGTTTATAAAATGTATTTATATTATTAATATGTAGTTATTTTTTCATAATTGGTTTAACATACTTATACTTATACTCAAAATATTTAAAATATATTTTATAGATGTTACCTTTACTGTTGAATATAAGAAATAATAATGCACCAATATCTAATAATTATAGTCTTTTCAAAAGAATTGGGTATTTTTTAGTAATACCTTTTAACAATTATTTAGCAATTTACAGAATGTACCGTTTTATTTAATTTGCTTTTGTAAAATAGTTTGATTGTAAATATTATGATTTTTCAGTAATTATTGTTTTTAATATGTATTTAAGAAAATAGGTTAAAATTTATTATTAGTAAAATTAAAATATTTTAATTTTAATACCAGCTTTTTAATTTTATATTATCAGATAAAAAGTGGGAAAATAATGAAAAATGTTATTGAGTTGAATAGTAATTATAGAGTTCTTTGAGATTTTAGATATGCCTTAATTTATATAGTTCAAAGAAAATGTAATAATTTGTGTAATGATTATTATTATATTGTATACCTATGTTTACTTAATATTTTTTTTGCGAAATTCATTATTTATATTATAAGATCATGCAGTCCTAAGTATAGATGTATGTGTATACCGTTATTGTGCACTGTTAAAAGGAACAAAATAAGTATCATTTAATTACTACAGTATGGTACATATCTGTAATGTTTACATTACATTGTGAAAAAAAAAGTAGAATTTTGAATTCGATCAAGGCCGACGTTATAGTATTGCAATTAGTTCGGCCGTTATTTTTTTTTATTTTTTTTTTTGTAGAAGAAGAAGAAAATGACCTACAAAACCGATCGCTTATCCCTTACCCTTTTCTTTGTCCCGAATTTTGGAATCATTACAATTATCTAAAGGAGTTTCACGACTTGCATACTGGTGTGTTACATCTACAACAAGCACAATACCATCAACTACAACAAGTGCAAACAAATGTTATGTCGACGGATGCCACTTACATAGCGCATGTATTAAACACCATTGACGAAGAAGCCGTAGAAGAAGATAAATCGTGTCAGTCGACGGAGGTCGCGATTAACGAAAAAGATAATAGAAGTGATTCTGAGTGTGAAGTGACGGTGACAATAACATTGCCAACGAAAAAAGTTGAAGCTATCAAAGTACGAGAAGAGACTTCAAATTCCCCAGTGGATTTTTGGCAGCAGATAAACGAAGCCGGTGAAATAGAAATAAAGGAACCCACCGCCGCCACCGATACGGCCAAGACATCCGATAGCGAATCGTCCGAAGACGAAGATTCCGAAGCAACCGAGTCTTCGTCGTCGATGACCGACAGCGTCTCGTACAAAGACGTAACACCAGCTGTGGACGCGTTCGCGAAGTCTTCGTCGGCATCCTCCGATGACTACGAATCGTCCGAAGACGAAGATGATGTCAATGCGTCCGAGAAGTGTTCGTCGACGTCCTCTGACGAAAGTGAATCGTCCGAAGACTTGTCTGTTTTTGATGCGCCTGATAAGTCTTCGTCGACATCAGACGTGGCTACTGCAGACGATGCCGTCCAAACGTCTGATAGCAGCGAATCGTCTGAAGAAGATGTCACGCCTTCGCCGCAACCGTCCAACAACTCTTGCAAATCGGCCGACCAAGACGACGCAGAGATGGATAGGCCGTCGTCGCCGCCGTCTAGTGCCATGCATTTATTGGACGTTGTGGTGGGCGACTGCGACGGCCGCCGGAGAAAGAGCGAAGAAGACGCCGACTCGGGCATCACGACCTGGTCGGCTGACATTAGCCGGCAGATTTCCGAAAAGGACGTGCAGAACAACGGTGGCGGTGGCGTTGTTGGAACGGCGTCGAAAAAATACCAGAGGACGGACACGCATTCGCGACTTTTCGATTTTTTGAACCGCGACGACTACAATAACGGTATGGCCGCGGCCGGTAATAACAAGTCGTTACTGTTGTCCGCGACCGTAGACTTGCCGTCGTCGTGCACTTCGGGGTACTCGTCAGCGGCCACCACGCCGACCACGCCGTCCCTCAGCGGCTTTAGAGGCAGATACGAATCGGACTCTGCCCGCGCGGAATACGACAGTTACTACAACAGTTGGGAATACGCTTGCCCGTACTTCGGTTACGACATATTGCCGTCCAAGGCGTTTAAGACGATCGCGCAGCAGCAGCAGGGCCACGGATCCACCGCCGCCGTCTGCAGCACCAAGTTCAAGTGTCCGAAAATTCCTACCGGAGAGAATAAATCTTAAACAGCTATAATACGTCTTTCCCCTCTCCTCCCCCTCTTTGCATTTGTTATTTTTTACGATTTTATACAAGGTATACAGCACGCACATTGTTTGGAATCTGTGAACGGTTGTTTTTTCTCTATGTCTCTCTCTCTCTCTCTCTCTCGACACACACACTCACTCACGTTGTCTCAAGTATATTATATCATAATGGAAGCCCGATTTTAAATGCACTCAAAAGTCTTTAAAAATGATAGAGGGGTTTTAAAAATCTCCCCTCTAACAGCTCGAATTTATTGAATACAATTTTCTAACACAACACAAATGAACACAGTAATTTTTTTAGATAAGATTGTACGTATTATATAAAAATAATTTTGTCTTAATCAATTTTATATTTAGAAAATTGTATTTATAAATTAGGGCTGTTATAATGGAAACTTTTAAAACCCCTCTACCATTTTTGCTTTTTTAAATATTTTTAAGGGCTTTTTTGTGAATTTTAAGTGCATTTAAATCCGAGCCTTAATTATAATATACTTCATCGTCAACCTCATTTATCTATATTAATACCTAAAATATTATTCGCATAGGTATTATACTTATAAGACGCGTACCTACCTACAAAAAAAAAACTATAAATGTCAATGCATCCCCTTTATAATAATATTATTATATTAAATATAATATTATACCGATCGGCTGACCCGACGCACGGGATAAACGAGGTTGAGGTGCACTGCAGTTTTTTTTTTTTTTATACTATTATTATATTATTTCGCCGAGACTGCAGGCGTTACAGTCTATAGACCCCGACAGCCTCTACATGAACAACACCCATCTTCTTAGATCTGTACTGCGTTAACTTCTTCACAGTTGGGAATAACATTTTATTATAATTTTTTAAAATTTTTTTTTTTTTTTGTTCTTAACTCCACCTTTTGGAATACCTTTGTTATACATATATTATATATACGTACATTAATTTTTAATTTTATTCTTTTAACAATAATAATAATATTATTATTATTGTCACGTCGATTGGTCGAAAGTATCAAATATTTGAACGTCTCATTTTCATTAGAATATTATTACTATAATACATTTTTGAAAAATTTATTTAGATTTAGTTTTTAACTTGTTTAACTAATAATTATTATTATTCGTCATAATATGAAACAAAAGGTGTAGTTTAAAAAAAAAAAAAATAGTTTTGTAGTTATTTGTGTGTGCGCTATACATTTATACAGAAATTAATTGCTATTTTTGTTTTCCAAAAGTGTTCCAAATGTGTCCGGCTAAATCGTTTTTTTTTTCTCTATAATTTGCTTTAACAGAAGTTCCAGTACGAGACGTTCGAACAATCTGATGTTACCATTATACTCGTATAGTCGGAAATATTTTGGAACACTTTTTTTGTTATTAATTGATCAACAAATAATTGAACTAATAGATATTCGTTTTGTTTACAGGTCAATTAGGAGAATCCGACTTCTGATGGATCAGCGCCTTATGCAATCGAACCGCTTTTACGTTAAACGATTTATATTTGTACGGTTTACACATATTATTTTTGCTAAATCAATTATTTGTATAAAATATTATAATATTATTCAGATCATTTGGCCGTAGGTGAACTGAACATACATTAACACATAATTATTATTTTAGCTTATTATATACCTACGGATATACGTCTCTGTATATGTATGATTTTAGAATATATCGGTACGTATATATATATATATATATAAACAAACATGATGTAAAAAAAGCGGTTTAATTATTATATAAAACATAATCATAATAATAATAAATAAAATCGTGCATTTTAAATACCTACCTAGTTATTTTGTGTTATAAAACATTTCACTTTTTTCAACGTTGTTGAAGTTGAACGACTTGATTGAAAACAGAAAAAAAAACCAGATTATCTGGTAGGTAGTATATACACCAAAATGGCCAATAAAAAAAAAAAAAAAAATCCAAATTTGATTATACCAAATAATATGCATATTTTACAATTTTTAAATTTATGAACGCCATTTATTTAATGCCCATATTATTATCATTTGATATTTTTCTAGATTCATCAAGTACCTATTGCGTTCAGTTATTATAAATTGTATGTAAGTGATGCGTGTATTATACCTGTACCAATCATTTCGTGGGTCGATTGTATTCCCAACAGTCTCGAATTCTAAACTGGGCGTATGGAAACGCAATATAGGCAATAAGAAATGTGGGATTCAAAGTGAAAGATATCTCGTATATTTTAAAAAGTAATAATAACTGTCCGGTGAATGTAGGTTCCAGATAATTATTGTAATGTCGCACCCGACGATTGCGTTATTTTTTTTCGTATCGAACTGTTGTTTGTTTTGATCCGCCAACTCTTTTATTGTGTATCATCCATAAAATAATATAACATAATAAGTAGGTACCTACCTGTATGCTATGCGTGTGACGTAATGCGGCGCACAAGTATCGAAGTCACTGGGTCAATCCGCGCCGTTTCGGCGTTTCGCGTGGGTCAAACTGGTATATATTTCACACAAACTTGCACAACAATTCCGTATTAAAATACCGCGAATGCAAGAAACTATACTTAATGCGCGTACAGGGCTCCCGCACAATCGCGTGTAAAGTCTTTGCCGATGCTCTCGAAAATGTCCGCGAAAATTAACGCGTTCGGCCACTGTTAGCGTAGCGAAACTGTATCTATAATTCCGTACTACAGGTGGATTTTACTCAAACGACCTACACAATGAGAAACGCGGTAAGTAAAATGTTCACTTAAAAATTAAAATAGATAAATAAATCTATAATGGATTGATTGAATTGAGCGGGTTAGCTTGGAGCGTGTTTATCGATATTAAAATACCTAATCAATTTTTAGACTGATAGCGTACCATGCTGCATGACAATACTAATGGGTTCCCGTTTGGAAAGGTTTGTAGATAAACGTCTAATGTGTCTTCAGTAGGTACGAGTTTGAACTTTCTAGAGACACGTGTTGATCCGTAGTGATTATTTCGTTCTGAAAATGAGTGACAACAATGTTTTTATCATTTTATGCAATTGATGAAGACCTTCTACTGCGAGGTTTGTCTTCAATCGACTCTCTGCCATCTGAATATGCCATAAACCACCTAAAAACTTGAGCCCTGAGTACACTGTCTGAAAAATTTCCTTCGCACTGTGCCCAAGTCTGAAACAAAATCGATTAGCACACCCCATTTGACTGGGGTGATATTTTAGAAATGTTTTTTTTTGATTTTCCTAGAAGTTTTATATTGAATGGGGAAAACGGGAAAATTTACGAAATGTACTTATTACTTTAAAATCATATATATTACGGCCTTTCAAAACATGTATAATCAAATATAACCAAATCGTATTTCATTAGCAATATTTAATCGTTGCGTACAGATATACATTTTTCTTCTACCTTCCCAACTTCTCACCTACAACAGTGGCCCACCCATCGTATGAAATGTGTCCGTTTCTTTTTTTCTTTTTGTGTGAATGACAATACATTTTGCAGTTTATTTTTATCAACATTTTATGTTAAAATTCGTTAAAAACACAAAATATTAGAATTTATCTTCTAGTTATAAAATAATAAAATATTACCAACGAAATACAAATTTCAACGAAGTTCAGTTAAAACATATTTTGAAATGTTGTGATATTTACGGTTTTCATCAAAATTTAATCCTAAAACGATTATAACTACCCTATATTACGCTTAATTTTAGATTCCGAGCTTAACGAGGGAGCTATTGGTTTTACTAAGATGTTTATTTCTTTTTTTTCTATTTTCTTTGTTCTGGTCTATGGACATGTGTTTTCTTAGTAACTTGCTCCGATTTTTACGTGTAGCAATTTTTCTGAAAATTCGAGTTATTTAGATGGTACTTTAGAGAGGTTATTTTTTGATTTTCAACGCCATTTTTTGAATAAAAGCACTTAGGTTGGAAAAACCGTAGGGAAACGTACATTTCCACGATTTCATTTTTTTATAAAAACGCGGACGACGTTTTCTACCAGAAAAAGTGATTTAATCGATAAATCACAAGACACCTTTTTTGTTGTCTTTTTGATTTACTTTCTAACGGTATCATTTCTTTTGAGATTTTAAGGAATTTTAATTTTTGCTGTAATTCGGTTATAAATACACGTAGACTTGAAACTTGATAATAATAATTATATTGGACTTACATAGACGTGGTAAAAATTTTAAAATCATCAGACGACTTTTAAATTTTTTTACAATGGTACTTAATTTTTTTTATACTTTAGACCACTTTTATCTTAGAAACTTGTTCCGATCTATAAATGTAGCACCTTTTCTGAAATTAAATTTTATCTACTTGGTAAATACATAGGTCATTTTTTGATTTTCGAAACGGTGTTCAAAATAAAAAGGATTAACCAGGAAAAAATACGATTTTGTTATATTAAATAATATGACTCCAATTGAAGAATGACAAGAGACCTTTTTTGTTGAATTATTAATGGCTTTTTTAATGATGCAATTCGCTTTTTTGATTTTCGAATTAGTTTGCATAATAATCTGGAAGAAACGTAGGAAGGTTAGGTTAAAAAAGTGTATTAGTTATTCAAATTATGTATTACCGAACTGCGCTCGGTATCGTCTTTCGTCAGCAATGGTTTATTGTTGCTTACAGATATAAATAAAATAACCTTATAAATCCCACCTTCCCTACTACCCACCTACAACAGTGGCAGCACTCATCCCCAGTATCAGCTCTTTTTTTTATGTTTTTATCACTTATAATGAACCTTGAAAAGGTAAATGTATTTATCTGTCAAAATTACAAGTCCCTATGAATATTTTAAACTAAATTAGGTACAACAAAAAACAAAATTGAAAATAATGAAACCATTATTCCCGTAAACGTTCCCGTTCTGTCTACGGATTTTTACCGGTAGGTAATCAAATAAAAACACACATCATAGTAAAACTAATAGATCCCTCGGTACGCTCAAAATCTAAAGTGGAATATCTCGTTTACGAGTTTGCAAAAATTAAAAATGTCAACATCAAAACGTGTTTAAACTGAAACCTCATTTATTTATATAATTTATATTATACCTATAGGTTGCTATTTGAAAACCAAAAGTAGTTTCACCCCCTTAAAAACAAACGGCCATTCCATCCCGGAAAGTCGTCGCCTTTCAGAAAAGTCATTAAACTTGAAAAATTTAAAAGTAAAATTGTTGATAGAAGAGTTGGTCACAGAAAAAAGAAAAATAATAATAAACATCATTGTAATACGAATACATTCCTCGTCCGCCCAGAATCTAAAATAAGAGTAACGTAACGTTTTCGAATATTATACGGTAGTATAATATGATTTCAAAAAGTTTTCACACGAAAAACTTGACCGCAAAACACGTAAATGACGTTTGATATACCCGCTCTGTACGGGTATAGTAAAATACATTTTGCTGCTACGGGATGAGTTTTTTTTTTTGAAACCGCAAGGTAAAATGCGTATTCACATAGGTATTATGTTGTGCGTAGTGCGTGTTCGCGATATGCGGTTTGGCCGCGTTCGTAGCGGCGATCGAGTTCGAACAGCAGCTGCAATTACAGGCGCCGCAGAGCTATTATTACGACGGACGTTCACAACCGGCGGAAGAGTCGACGCGCACTCATCACGGCAGTCACAAGCTGAAGAAGATGAAGAAACGGCTATTGCTGCAATGCCTGTTGTCGCTGGGACAGCAACGGCGGCGGAGACGGGACACGGACGCGGCCACCGGCCGGTTTTTGATTCCGTTCGCGGTCCAAAACACAAACGTGAACGTCGGCGGGGGTGGCGGCGGAGGTGTCGGCGGATACGACGACCCGCAGTTTGGAAACTACGGCGGCGGCGGCTGCATGCAGATGCTCAACGGCCACAAGCCGTTGTTGGGACAGTTGGGCTCACCATTGGGATCGTTGGTTTCTTCGGTGGAAGAATCCGGCCCGGGAAACCGGAACGGCCAGTACACGGACTGGAACAGATACGCCAGACAGTTCAACCGGAACTTCGTCAGGCCGCTCTATCGGTTGTTTTAGAGACGCGTCCGTTCCTATAATCTCGACTCGAATATTTCACAATGTAATTGTAATCTTTTAAAGTGTGTATCACGTGAAATGTCGATTTAGTTTTTTAGTATATTTTACGCAACAATTTTTCCCTCCTGTTATCGGTCTTTCTTTTTCGGAAAAAATATTATGTTCAAAGAATCGTAGGTTTTATGCGACCAGCCATATTTGTACGGGTACCACGACGGGTATCATTAATTATCATTATAATATTATATGATTTTATATGTTTTATATTAAGTACTCGCTCTGTAGTCTGTACAATGTGTATAGTATATGTATATTTAGGTAGTAAACCTTAGCTGTTAAAATATCGTGTAATTTGTTTTATATATTATATAAAAAAAAAGAAAAAAAGAGGGATAGACCCTCCATTAATAATTGTCGCACAATATCGTTGATTTCAAATATTGCTAAAATCTTTGAACAATTACTCAAAAAAGAATTACATGACTACCTTGAAACTTATGATATTCTCCATCCATCCCGATTCGGTTTTTTACCAAGCTATTTCTAAAATCACCAAAGTGGTCTACACTGCATTAGATAATGATACAGAACGTGCAGCAATTTACCTTGACTTGGTTGAAGCTTTCGACACAGTAGACTATGACATATTTCTGTCAAAACTTATTGATACAACTTATTGGTACAAGAATCGAAAATGCAGCCCTAAAATTTTTTAAATCGTACCTGTCTTTGTGCCCCCTATGTAAAGAACACGCTGAGTTCTCTTAAGCTAATTAAATGTGGAGTCCCCCAAGGCACCTCTTTATCCCCTCTCCTGTTTAATATTCAAACAAATAATATTAGCTCACTGCTCTTGTGAGGTTCATTAGTATGTTTTGTTGATGCAGCCCTAATAGTGACTGGAACGACGTCTTTCTTAATATACAAAATGATATTACCATCGTTCAGAACTGGTTACTGGAAAATAATATTTTCCTAAATATTGATAAGACATTCATGCTACCGCATTATATAACCAATTCTGATTTTCCCAACATAAACCACATTCCATTGCACTTATTTAACTGTCGTAATATAAATTCATGCGATTGTGAAATCAAATTATACATCAGCACATCTGTAAAATAAATGTGTGTTATAATGAGCAGAAATTTTAAATGGACAGAACATTAAAAACTAATATTAATCAAACTACGAAAACTCGTCTGTACCTTTAACCAGCTAAAACGTATGTTAAACCCTACCCTTATTAAAAGTGTATACAAAACCTTAGTTGAATCATTATTAACCTACGGAATAATTGCCTGGGGTGGTGCCTGCAATTCCAATCTTAAGAAACTTCAAACAACTCAAAACAACATACTAAGATCTATACTAAATAAAAACAGGTACTTTCATAATGTAAACTTCTACTCGGAATTCAATATTCTAACAATAAAAAAACGGTTTTATTTTTTTTTAAACAGCAGTAATCTACTCAATTAAAAACAACTTAAACAAACCGCTAAAGCACAATTTTAATATTCTATATAAATTGAATAACGTTGTAGTTCCCAGAACTCGCAAATCCTTCACTCAAACCTCTTTCTTTTTTGTTCGACCATTTATATTTAATACATTTTCTTTAGAGTTACACTATCTGAATTATACAGACTTTAAATTACATCTATAAAAATGGCTTCTCCAACAAGCAGCAAAATTCGCACATAAATTATTATAGGCATCTTTTGTATTCATTTAACTTGTTATATATACTACCGCTTTTTTATTATCTATAAGTCTTAATGTTTAAAATGTAGCTTATTAGCCGCATTTATTTTTTTGTAATATTTTCATTTCCTAGAATCAATATGTATTAATGTATTTTGTAAAGTAGTTCTATTCTATATAATAGATTACTATTTTATGGATTACAATTATGTTAGATTAAGATCTCATAGGCCCCCATACGAGCATTTTCAGTGGGGCTCATTATGTTTTTCTAAAGAATGAAAAATAAATAGAATAAATAATACAAATATATATATATTATAACATCTATATATATTAATAACATCTAACTTAATATTGTCTATTGTGTCTTTTCCGGAATTAAGTAACAGAAAATCGTATAAAACTCATATTATCTTAGAAAGTATTTAATTCTTTTCAAATTTGTTCCATGGAACATTTAAAAAAAAGCAACTCTACAATTTTAAATTGTAAAGTTACTTATTTTTGAAGGTAAAACTAAAATCTACTTTTTATTTTCAAGTGACAATCTATATTATAGATTATAAAAATAGATGGAGTATTAGTTAAAATAAATTTTCATGTTGACATATTTTATTTTTGTCAATCTGTTGATGGTATATTCTACTTTTAGATTCAGAGGATAGCGAGGGATATCTATTGGTTTTACTTTGTGTGTATATTTTTTTATATGTGTAAACAACTTTTCTACCAGAAAACTTGCTCTGAGGTACATTAAGTAGTTTTTTAAAATAATTGGGAAAAACTGAAAGAAAATTATAAGTAAAATGGTAAATATTTACAGCACAATACCATTTTCATTGTGTTATACTTAAGTTTTCTACTAGAAATATTACTTTAATCGAAAAAAATGATAAGAAATCAATTTTTTTCCTGATAATATTTCGCGATTGGCAGAAGTCGTTTTTAAATATCAAGAGTAGTTTTTGTAATAATTGGGAAAACCAAAAAATTATAAACACATTGATAAACAGTTAATGAAATACAAATAATGTATAATTAAAATAGTATTTATACAACATTTAACATTTAATTATAATATAGTAACAAGGATAAAATGAGTATTAAATAATAATTTCTTTTTAATAGTACAATCAATATTTTATAACAATAATTAGAAGGGAGAAATAACATGTTTTTTTTTTTTTTTAAAAAAATGGATTAATAAATAAATATATGTAATAAACTAATACATTTTTTATATTTCCATTTAAACAGGGAATGTAATAAAACTATAAATTAACTATTAACATAAATTTTGAGTATACTTTTAGAAGTAAACTATGAATAATAACGTATACACTTCGAGATAAGCTTAAACAAATATATAATAATAATTAAAAATGTACAATCAATTTTGTTTTTATTACTTAAACTCATGATTTTACTATTTTGTCATGTAAATGTGACCAGAACTGTTAATTCCATATTAATTTAATAAATTATTATAATATATTTTTTATCAAACTGTAGACTAGACACAAGGTTAGCAAAAAAAGATATGGTTTAAAATACTAGTCATTTTTTTTAATTTATACTTTTATCATTACTATTATTTAATACAATAATGAATTAATAAATAAAAAAAAAATGACCTATAAAATACAATTACAAATTTCAAAAACAGGAAGAACAAATACATTATTCCTATACTCAAAAATTATACTAATATTTGGATATAATAAATATAAATTATTTTTAATAGTTATTTACAAAGAAATTAACTCTACTAACTAGATTTAGCATCAAATTCGGTCCAAGCATTATTCAGTTCCACGAAAATTAATTTTGCAATATTTTCATTACTTGTTCCAGTTTGCTAGGAACAATAAAGAATGTTAATTATCAATTATTACTGGTAATTTTTCTTTTTATATTAATAATAATGTGTTTACTTTATCAGGATGTACAGCAAGGCATGCTTTCCTATATGCTTTCTTTACATCAGCATAGGTAACAAGATTACTGAGATTACAGTTCCATCCAGAGCCATCCCATAACACTGTATGGAGTGTGCCAAGTAATGCTCTAATATTTCCTTTTTTTCCTTCAGTCCATTCCATAATCTGTGAATAAAAATAATGTTTATAAGAATTATAAAATTCTTACTATGTAAGTACTTACTTTAAGTTTTTCTGGATCAATTTCTTTAACCAAATCTTCTCGGCGCATTTCGTTTATTGTTTTTGGACCAGGATTAAATTTTGAACTAAATGTATATCCTTGGCTTCCCAACAAATCTCCAAATATATCTCCACCAGTTTTTGTAGGTTGTTTAGTTGTCTCTGGCTCAATGTTAATACCACTATAGTTAGGTTCTGCTGGTGTTTTAACATTTTTCGTAGGGCTGTCTAAAGTTAAAAAAATATTCAAATAATAATTAGGTTTGCCAAAAGAAAAAACATTACTTGTTTGAGAATGACTTGTAAAATTCATCCAACTGTCATTTTTCAAAAAATCAAAATCTGCCACATTAGATTTTGTAGAAGTGAAACTACCATTCAAAATGTTATTATCATTCATTGCTAAATTGGATAACAAATATTAGTATATATCTATTGTTTAATAAATATTTCAAAAAAATGATTACTCACCATTAGGTTTGTTAATGTTTAATGGAACAGATTGCTTTAGCCAAGAATTATCTGTTTTTTGTGAATTAGGTTCAATCAAATTATTCAAATTTAATAAATCGCCACCCTAATTTAGTAAAAAAATTGAAAATTATTTTTAATTATTTCAAATTATAATTGGTTTTTGATACTTACATTTGAATTAGTTTTAGAAACAAATGGATCAAATAAAATATTATTATCTTCACTTGTTACATCAACAAATCCCCCAAAAAGGTCTTTAGATTCAGTATTATCAGTTTCAGGTCCTAATAAATCAAATAAATTATCCTTTTTTGCTGTGATTGTTTCATCTTCCATTGAAATTGATGCAAAATTTAATAATAAACCTTCATTCGGTTTATTTGATTTGACTTCAATTTTTGGAGGCAGTTCTGGTCTTGGGGGAGCTACTCGAGTAGGAATTTTTACCGGTTCCTAGAAATATAAATTATTTAAATTATAATAATTTTCATAACAATTGGAAATAATATAATACTTTTGGTTCAATAATTGGTGACGTTTTACAATTCTGTGGAAACAAATCATAGAATTGAGTTTTTTCACATTCCGTCGAGAATAATACATCAGGTTTTTTATTAAAATCTCTAGATTTTTGTTGTAAAGAGATTCCATTCTTATGCTGTTCTATTTCAATTTTTACATGGAATTGATTACTCTGATAATGCTCAGAACTTGATAAAAAATCTAAATCACCTCTAGGATACAAAAATAACACTTTTAATATTATTTTCCTTGATTTAAATTTTATTTATGAAGTTATAGAAAAACATACTAACTTTTTAAAATCCATTATAATATCATCACCATCAGGAAACATAAGGAAATCAGAATGAAACTGTAATTGAAATATTTTAATAGGTACTGAACGTCCAAGAAGTTGTCTCGAATGGTATGCAATAAGTGTGATATCATTTCGGACTCCGGCAGGTAATGATTTCAAAGATATTGATATCTAAAAAAAGTTTAAAAAAATTTTTTTTAGACCTATACAATATATTATACAATGAAATTACCTTTCCATTGGAAATATCATATGACGGTAATCGTTCATATTCTTGTTCAGTAGTTAAAACTTTATTATACCCTTCATAAATTTCTATAAAAGGACGACAGCCATCTCTTAAATAATTACACAAATTAAATATTAAAATAAAATCAATATAGAAATAGTTATTTGATTTAACAAAAGTTGTTTTTCTCAAAGTCTGCACTCATAATAATATTGTCAAATTAATGATAATCCTCAAAATTGTGTAAACTATTGGTGGAATTTACACAAAAACTAAGTTAATTTATATCAACTAAGAATCTAGGTTTTACATGCTTAATAACTAGATTTACAACATTTTTTTTTTAAAAATATTAATAAATAATTACTTACAGACAATATATTTAATATAATGTACTGTTAAAAGTGAAAAAAATAAATAATAATTTGTTGGTTCAAAAAGCTTCTAATAAAGTTTTAATTTTTTTTTTTTTTTTATTAAAAACTAAATTTGTATGGCTTTTGCCTTAACTATTTCCAAATAGTATAGTTTTGGGGAATTTCGGCTAAAGTAAATTTATCTCAAAACCTCTCATAGTGTGCTTTAAAGAAAATAATATTTATTTTATTTTGTTTTCTGTTCAAACTTATTTATACACATAAATAAATATGTATGTATTAAGAATAAAAGTTTCTTACCGATTTTTATTAAAAAGAGGAACAGGTTCCATAATGAGTCTTCTTAAATTTATTGAATCAATGTTATATGTTTGTTCATTTGCCACATAATTTAAATACCTATTGGAATACCCATTTTAATAAAATTACATTAATAAAGTATTTAGTAAATAATATACAGTTGATTTTGTAAATCACCTAATCTCTGATGGCTGTAGAACAGGTGCAGACTTTTTAACAGCATATATTGTACAAACATTATCAGTAGTATCTGATGCATTTATATGTAATAAAAATGCACAAACTATTAAGGTAGAAGTACCGGAGTATTCCTAAACCAAAAAAAATTAAATAAAAATACTTGTAAAATTAAATGAAATAAAAATATTACATTTGTTTGAACTATGACACAAATATTTGTGGGACTTTGAATCATAAAATTATACATATCATCACAAATAGCATATATTTCATGTAAAGTGGGACATGTATTTGTTTTTGAGTGAACTTCTATTACCTAAAATAAAAATAAAAATAGAAACCATTAGGGATAGTAAATAAATAATACTAAATAAAAATTAACATACAACTGAACGTCCAATGATACGAGGATATGATTGTCCAGTCATGTTATACAAACGACATTGTTTGGAGTCTATAAATGAAGCAAGGTTTTCAGCATTTGCATCTTGAGGAACATTCAATATAGCTAGTTTGGAAGTTATAAATACCATATCAATACCAGCTTTTACATTGACAGATCTATAATTTAATAACAATTAAGTAAATTTATATTATAAATATAATTAAGAAAAAATAAAAAAATCAGTGAGCAGCTACGTCTCACTAGAATCAAATTCCCCTCCTCCTCCCAATTTTCTATTTTAGAAATACTCTGCAAAACATTAAATAACCGAATACTATACTACTTCTAAAAAAAAAATGGTGAAATTTACATTGAAATGATAGGGGTAGAGGTTAAAAGTAAAAAATAAAAACATTCAAAAGGCACATTCTAACGCCATAAATACATAAATTCCATTCTTCTAACTTTATATGGTAGGCCTGTTCAGAGTTAAAAATATATTCTCTTATTGCAATAACATGGTAAAATTCAACTAACTTTTGTTATTTCAATTTGTTTATACAATAACTTTAACCTAAGGTTAGAGCTCATTTTGTCCAAAGATAACTGCTATAGTGTCTATAGTATCTATAAGTAGTGGGATAAATATATATATATTATATAAAAAAAACACAATATAGACTACAGAGTAATAATCTCTGATTTCAGGGAATATTCAATAGATGTGGTATATAAATGTAATTTTATCCTGTTTTTTAATTAAATCTACTTGAGCTAGTATCGAGTACTCTATATACTTTATTAAGGCTATAACAATAGTTTTAAGATTTAAATTTAAAGTATTAACAAATACTAAATAGAATCGACTTTCTAATAACTCTATTATAACGATTGTGGGTAACTTACGACTGAACTGTTTGCATTACTCTGTTAGATGTGTCTTTTAGATTTTTTAAAAAATTTCCAGCTCCACCTCGTATCTGAGAGAATAGGCCCGAATTAGGAACTGATACTGATGCTTGTCTGAAAATAATATATACATAAATATTATTTATATTTCAATAATACAGAAGCAGTTGAAAGTTTAAACATTAAATATTAGTTACTTTGTTACTGCTGGTTGTTGAGGAACACTTGGAACATTAGATCCTACATTATGTTCTATAGGGTTTCCTTCGGATTTCAATTTGTTGATATCTAGTGGCTCAATACTCACTTTATATATTTCTTTGATTTGTTCAATAAGTTTTAAGGTTTCAAATACTGACATCCTTAAAGAAGGGTCTGGTTGTAAACATCCCTCTAAAAATATTATATGAAAATAATACATATTTTTAAATTTATTTAAATAAAATATACATACTTATAATAGGAATGAAATCTGAATAAGTGCTTTCTATTGGTGAAAATGAAAACCTTGCATTTAATATTGCTAATTTATTAGAATCCTCGAATGGATGTCGATTACAACATAGAGCATAACAAACACAACCTAAAGCCCACACATCGACAGCGGTACCAATTTCATGATTAGACCAAGTATCAATCATTTCCGGGGCCCGATACATTGGAGTTGTACATTGATTAAGCTAATAAAAAAAATTGTAATTAAACACGAACATTATTTTGTATAGTAATTAGAAATTACGTATTAATATTTAGGTACCATATTTTTACTTATAGTTAAATATTGAAAATACTTTTTTTTTTTATTATGAAATATTTGTTTTAATTTATTACCCAATTAAGATTTATAAAACTGTTAACAAAAATTAATTTTCTAAATATAGTTAATACGTGTATTTAATATTGAGTATTATTACTTTATCTTCCAAAAGCGCTCTTTGCTGTGATGTCCAATTTTCATCTGGCTTGTAAACTTTTGTTGTACAACTTCCAAAATCACATAATTTAATTTTACCATCATCACTGATCAAGAAGTTTTCAATCTATTTATTATAGTTCAGAATGTATAAAGATAATTACAATTATATGTATAAATTACACAAACCTTTAAATCTCTATGGATGATAGGTGGACTATGACAGTGCATATGACGTGTGGCTGAACACATTTGATAAAATACTGAAGTAACAATATTTTGGTTTAGAGGTTTCCCTCTAGCAGCTAATAAGTCAGCAACATTACCCCCTTAACAAAATAATAATATAGTTTACTAATGATGTTTAAAAAGCTGTATAATATATACTAACCTGTACAAAATTCTGTTAGAATAAGATATTCATTTAATCCATGAGGTGAATCGATTTTATTAGTAAATGCAGCTGACATGAAATGTATTATATTTGGATGACCACATAGTTTTTTCTATACAGTTAAAATTATGTATCAAGTTTAAATAAACATATTACATCATATGTATATTACAAATATACATTTGACTAAAGAAAGTTGATATAATTACTTACAAGTACATCAATTTCATTTAGAATAGTTGTATCAGCAGTATCCGGTGATACAAGCATTTTCTATAAAAAAATGAAAAACTAGTATTATTTAACTGCTACATAATAATGAGTTTTGAAAAAATCACAAATCAAGAATATAATTTTACTGGCAAATATGAATATTTAGTAATTACATATTATTTTTAAAACCGCCCCCCCCACGAGTTAGTACACGTATCATTATATGAATACATAAATTTGAAAGTACATAAGTAGACCATTATATCACCTTTAATGCATATTCTTTTCCGGTATCTTGAGCTTGAGCAACATATACCATACCAGATCCACCTAAATAGTGTTGAATATAAATTAATTGTATATGATCAGCTTACAGCTGTTGAACAAATTTAGTTCATACCTTCAGCAACAAGTCTTTTAATCTTTAACTTGACATTACCCAATTCTACATTAGAACCCACATAATCATTATCTTCAGCAGAGAAACTACTACTAAAGTAGTCTAGAGCGGATTTGAAAATATCAGACATTTTTAATAAATATTTTAAATTTGTATAGATATAAAATTATATTTTTAACATATAACCTAAAACTTATTCATTGTAAATTAAATTTATTGCACTGGAATAAAAATTTAAAAAAAAAAACGAAATAAAAATCAACAATAAACGAAAACATTAATATTACAAATTTGTGAACTTCCCATTTATACAAAAAAAAAAAAATTGAAAACTTGTTTTCCTTCTGTTTTACCTTTGATAATGTTATCAATGGTTTCTTTGTTTTCAACTTGGTTTTTAAAGTAAGACAAAAATGGTAAGTTAATAGATTATCTAGTTCAGTAGTGCTCAAACTTTTATAACGATCGCCATAAAATTAAAAAATTTAAATTCATGTTTTAAGTATTATGATTTTAAAATGTACTTTTTAATTATTTTACGTAAATATGTCTAAAATATTATAATGTTAAAAAATAAATGAATATTTAATGCTAAAATGTAAAATACTTTGGCGGGCCGGATAAAAATGATTGATGGTATGCACTAGAGCCGAAATAGATAATAATACTATAGTATATTATTATCTAAGTGATGCATTATGCTTATTGATAATATAGTACTGGTCGGCCGGAGCTGGCCTTTGCCTTTTATGCCGTAACTTGTGCACCCCTGGTCTAGATAATAAATACATTCAAACCTAGGAACAAAAACTGAGTAGTAACGTTTTTTACCGACCCAGGCACTTTTAGTAAACAAAATGTTTATGTTTTCATGTCTAGTTTATGTAATTTGCCCGTCGTGACTGTGTGATTTTTTGCACGTAGACCACTGACCAATGTTTTAAAATAATTGTTTAAATTGTAAACTACTTAATTGTGTGTTGATTTTGAAATGTTATTTTATTCCTAAGTACGATAATAATATTTTGTTTTACTATTATTTGGTTATTTACACATTTAGCCTAATGGCAGGGTGGACTGAAAGTCAGTTTAGAAAGTACAACATTAAACTGGAAAAAATACCTATTTTACAATATGATGATATAAAATTGGATTCTTTTCTCAGTAGTAATGTAAGTAGTCACATCACTATAATTTGTTCAACAACTTTTTGCCTTTTGTTAACTACATAGTAGTATAAATAATATATAGCAATTAAGTACATAATTTCATTCCATTGTGTTATGCTACTATTTTTAAACTAATTTTTCATAATATTTCAGATATAATTTTTTCGTTCTAATATTAACCACTTTTTATCAATTTCAACTGATTGTAGACAATATTCTAAAAACTGTTGAATCAAATTTGTTTAATTTAAACGAGTTGAACTATTAAAAATAATAATGATTTTTTTTTAAATTTTGAATGTATTGTGTTACAAAAAATAAGATTTATTTTTTCTATTGTAAATTATTTAGAAGCCAGTACTTATTAGAGGGTCCAAATTAGTTTCTCGTGTGGTGAACTGGGATTTAGATTATTTGAAGCAGCATATGAGTTCAGTGTGCTGCAATGTTATGATATCCAAAAATCATGAATTCAAATATTATGATCAAAAGAAAATTACTCCAAATATGACATTCAAACCAATTAGTCGACCTAGTCCCATGACGTTTTCAGAGTTTGCCGAAAAAATAACGAATTGGAAAAAGGGAGATTCCAGGTAATAATATTATCATTTCAATGACAACTTGTATTTTTAAAAGTAGCTTAAATATAATAGAAAGTATATTAGTAATTGTAAAATATCAATCAATTTATAAATCTTATCATTTTTAAGACGTGGAGTTATTTAAACTAAAAGAAAATTTATGTTTACTACTAACAAAATAATTAACACTTTCTTGATATTATTAAAATGCTTATTAATTGTATAGGGAATAATAAAATAATAACAAATATATTACAAACATACACACGTATAATGATACTTTGTAAATCATAACAGGTGTTTGTTGAGGCTGTTAGCTACTTTTGGGTTTTTATACGATGGTGAAGAAACACATGGATTGTACATATTTTGGTTGTAAATATATTCTGCCTAAAATTTAATTTGAAGAAGTAAGTATAAATGAAAAAAATAACACAATTTTGTTATTTTATTTTTAAACGTTAATGGTAAATCAAAAAATTAATAGGTTCTTCAGGCATATTTTTTATGATTTTCAATTATTCATTTTATTAAAATCGGATTTGTACATTAATAATTTTGAATTAAAATTCAATTGCTTTATTGACTTTATTCATCATATTTTTTCCAAACGTAACCACATCAATAATAATTGATAAATTTATATACAACATATTTATTTATGTAAAAATAATTTGTGTAACAAATACTTGTATAAATTTAATTTTTAAAAACATTATGTTTTGATTTTTTGATACAAATTCCACTAATTTAAAAAAAACTTTGTGGTTGTTTGATATTTTCTAAATTATTCTTTGGTAATACAAATTTATCAGACATTTGACCTTCATCATCAAATTATTTTCTTTGTTTTTTAAAATAATTTCCTATTGTAAAGTTGTTTTTTGATTTAGGCATGATTTGGGATTTTGAGATTTATATTAGACTACATCGTGTGCGTTTGATTAATTAAACTGTTATTAATAAAATATTTTTTATCCAAATATGTAAATTAATCAATATTATAAAAACTGTTTCCCTAAAATTAATTATACTGTATCAATTCATTCAAATTAAATGTACATATTTCTTTTGTTTTAATATACCTCCAATATTTATTTAAAATTCTAGACATAAAAATAGAATTACAAATTAAAATTAAAAAAAATAAATAAATTTAAGTTATAATTAACTTCATAAACCCTGTTAAACAGTAATAAACAGCTATACAATTTTTAAATGCAAGGATATTTTAGGTCTTGAGTCTGAATTATTAATATAAGATATTAACAAATTAATAATTAGAATATAATGTAATATTTTACTAATAAATTAAAAAATTCTTCGCTAATTGTATCTAAATTTTTAGCAAATTGTCTTCATTTGGTCCATTAATAATAATATTACTCATCTACAATTAAATATAAATTCATAATTATTCAATAAATTTAGAAATTAGCCCAAAGTTCTTTTTGTTGTCAGTCACAAATTTTAGTATCATACAGCTGGTCAGTGATTTATATATTTTATATTAAGTATTTGAATTATAAAGTATAAGGTTGGTAAAAAAAGAAATATTTAATAATAACTACCCCAATGGTACTCATTTTTATATATTTATTTATTTGTATACCTATTATGTATATACAAAAAGAGAATTCTAAAATAACAATAATTAAAATAATTATTTAATAGCGAGGCATTAGAGAGAAGTGTTTTGTGAAATGGAAGTCTGATAGGTTTGAAAGGTAAAGATTGTTTTCAATAAATTGTTAGTAGAAGGGAAAATGTCAGACAAGTGGCACAATAGTTTTGTAATATCTATATTTAAGGGAAAGGGAGATATACAAGACTGGAGAAATTATAGAATACAATTTATGAGTCATAGTATGAAAATTTGGGAAAGAATTATAGAAAAGAGAATTAAATTGAAAAATCAATATCCAAGAACTAATTTGGTTTTATGCCAGGAAAATTAACTATGCAACTGTTGTTTTATGTGAGACCTATTGTAGAAAAGTACAGAGAGAAGAAAAATATATGTCTAGGTATTATTATAGATTTTGAGAAGGCTTATGGCAGAGTGCCGAGAGAGATTCTGATGTGGGCGCATTAATGAGATAGGCTTGAGGAATAAAAAGTGGCACTTGAAGAAAAAGGACTAAGTATAAGTAGAAGTATATAATGTATACATTTGGAAGATCAGGATAAGGGAACTAATAACAATAAGTGGTGATGTAATAGTGAGATTGAGGGTTTTAAATATCTAGGACTTTTTGTACTAAACAACAGTGACTTAAACAAGGATTTGAATTATAAGATTAAATGTGGTTGGAGAAAGTAAAGATAAATGTGAGGTGTTTTATGTGACAAGAGAATTTCAACGAGAATTAAAGTTAAGTTCTACAGAAGTGTGATGAGACTGAATATACTGTGCATTGTTGGAGTGTTGGGGGACACATTGAAAAATAGAATAGAGAATGAGTGTGAGAGATTACTTAGGTGGATGTGTGGATAAGATAAGCAATGAGTACATAAATAGCTTAGATGTGACTTCAACAGTAGACAAAATGAGAGGAAATAGACTGATATGATTTGGGTATTTTAAGAGGAGAAAGGAATTAGAAGCATTAGGAATTGTAATTAAAATAAATGTAGGGGGAAATGAAAACTAAAAAATAGGTAATTGGATACAATTAAGAATAATATGAGAACAATGGGTGTATGCTAGGACGATGTGAGTGATTGGTTTAAGTAGAGGTTTAGGACAAGGGTAGCTAACTCTTAAATAGCTGGGATGAAGGCGAAGGAGAAGAAAATTAAAATTAAGTAATACTATTTATTAAAAATATGATTTTAACCTAATCATTTATAATAAACCCATTGGAAATTTATAATAATATAATATTTAATTAGGCATATTATTTAAAAACATTTTAAATATTTCTTGACTACATTATCATGTTTGTAAATAATAATTATACTATTTTTCAAATGAGAATGCCCCCCTTTGCTCATTGCTATCAGCAGCGGAACAACATGCCACTTTCACAGAATGAGTATTTGTTTTATAATCGGTTAGTTATTATCGTCACTGCTGCTGTGCATACAGAGATTTAATTCATTTATTGACAACTTATTATCTACTATATCATACTGGTCACACTACAAAACATTTTTTTTCTATACATTAATATGTAATCATTGACGCGTACGAACAACCGTTAAATGTTGTGTTAATACAGCTCACTCCGTATAATTGGTGTTACAATCAACGGCGGCTGAAACTGCGGGAAATGGGACACACATGTGCGAGTTTTGACCTTTTTTTGTCTGCCGCCTAGTGCATTCTCATTTGAAAAATTGTATGGTTACATATTATACACCTAATCTTATGTATGTACATATTTTATAAGAACATGGATTGACAAATTATAATTACAAAATGAATTAATATAAATATCTACTAATATTTTAAAATTAAAAATTCAAGTTAGATTTATGTTATTATTTCATTGTTATATTATTATATTATTTATTGTACCTATTACAATTTTATTTAATTTAATTAAGTACTTTATATTTTATTCCTTTTGTATAATTTGTTGTTAAATAATCAAGCATCCTAAAGTATATTTTTAATAATATTTTGTATATATTTACTTATTGATTTCAAATATTTAGATATTAATGTAACGGGTTTCAGTAAAAATCCAGGGTATAGACAAGCTATCCAAGCTTAAAAATGTGTTACATAACTATTTATAACTGGAACCAATTCAATGGACATAGTAACCATGCCATAGATAGTTTGCTGTAATAATTGAAAATTGTACCAATTAATATTAATATATTACATATTAATATAGTACATATCTTTTTGCTTTTAAGTGAAATTCTATATTTGCGTATACCTACCATCATGCAACATGGTCAATCTTAATTTTGATGTTTTATTTAAAATTAATCTATATTATATACTTCTCATTAACATTAAAATATTATTAAAAATAAAAACTACCAGTGACCATTAAGTTTAGAAATAAATAGTTGTAATCACAGTACATACAATTATTTTATGAACTTTTTACTTTTAATAGTGTTTGTTATAATTTAAAAACAATATCAATTTGTTTTAATGCCAATTATGCACAGTTTTGTTATTTTAGCACAGTACATTACCAAATTCTTAATAATTCTAAAATATATAAATAAATTTAAACCATCTAAATATTTGTTAAAAATCTATTATTTTAACTTTACTAAATTGTGTATGTCTATGATAAGTAAACTATAGTTATATTGGTACCAATAACTGTTCTGTATCATTACTGCTGTTATATATGTACGTATTCTAATATGTGTTCACCACATAGCAGCCATAATATAAACCTGGGACTAAAACTATTCTATGAAAATACCCATAGTGCTGTAATATACATCAGAATATACTGTTGCATATTATATGTAATGCAATTTAAAGACTATGCATAGTTTATTATTTAGTAATTAATTTTCCAATAATGTTCATCAAATTCAACGTTTGTAATCAGTTTGATTCATTATTGTTTAAATACTTAGTTGTTGACCATATTTCTGTATACTATTATTAGTTTGAAGAATTAATACTTAACTTATTATATAGTTAAACCCCATATTAATATACTTACACAACTACCGCATATTTTTTTATTTCACTCATAAATAACTTCTTGTTATTTGAAATAATTAATTTTTTCAAGTATTTATACTAAAATTATGCAATTTGTTTTACTGTCAAAAAATATGTGCCTATGATGAAATGTATTGTATTCGTACTTTTTCATTATAAATATGCATATATAATATCATTTTCATGAATATCTTTTATATATATCCCATCAAAGATTTTCTTTTCTTCAACGTAATTATCTATAAGAGTTTTTTTAATATAATTTTTTTATTTACTTAAGATTTTAAGACTTTTATTTATGTAGATTTACTTAATGTCACATTTTGATCTTGATATAGTTATAAGTCTTTAATTTTCTTGTTTGATATATTATTTTGTTATTATCATCTTTCTCTACATTGTTAAATAATGGTATTTTACTTAATTTCTATAGTTAGATATGTAGTTATTTTTCTTACGTTATTATTAAATCTATAAAATGACCTTAAGTAAAATTATAATAAATAATAGGTACATTGTACTTCTTTGTTATTGTATACTTATTATATTATAATAATTTAGTTTAATTTTCAATGTAAAAAGACTAACATACTTCAACTGATGGGTGAACCACTATTGTTGGTGAAAAGTTGGGAAGGTAGGATAAAGAGGGTAATTTAATTTATATATGTACGCAGCGCTAAACCATTGCTAATAAAAATCAATTCGGAGCAAAATTTCTTTTATATGTATACATATATTTTTTCCATATTATAAGAAAAACCTCAGAAAATCAAAAAATGGCCTTTTTAAAGTACCGCTTAGAAAAAATTTCCTTTCAGAAAAGGTACTACATTTGAATATCAGAGAGATTTATGGTAGAAAATTTATTCACAAATAATAAAAAAAAAAAAAAAACAATACATTCCTCTCTCCCCTCCAATTCTAAAATTGTCAAAAGAAATTTAAAGATCATTATTTTATTTGTTTTCTATTTAATCATTTGTTTATGTATTATACATTTACTTGTATAATATATTTTCTGTGATAAGGATTTGCCATTGTTTACCAATACTCTGTACACAGAATATTTTATTTTAGCTTTCATATTATTTTCTTGAAGAATGAAAACTATTCATTTAGAAGCTTCAAAAATAAAAAAATAAATTAAATGATTGTATTATTAACAATTTTGTGTGTGTTTATATAAGAAGTCAACAAATATACACTAGTTCAAATTCATAATTATTAATATAAAATTATTCTTTTAGTCAGTGAAAATGCAGTATTAAAAGAATATTATATTTTTCAGATTGTACTTGCAACAAGTATTGAACAATTCAATTGGGCAACGTATTGTTAGAGATTTTGTCATGTTTGATTGGGATTGGATTATGTCGAAACAAAAATTATGCAAATGGGGTACCCTGACATCTAATCTTCTTTTAATAGCACAAGAAGGTATATTTTAAATAAAAAATTATAGGAGTATATACTTTAAAGTTTAAACATAAAACAATTAGTATATGTATACTAATATTTAAAAAAAAAAAAATACCTTTTTTAGTTTAAGTAAAGTTCTCAAAAACTGACAGATTTAGAGTTGTATCTATTGATTCATCAAGATTTGTCCATTTCATTTTTTTTTCCTACACTTAATTTATGATGTATAGACATGAATTCAATTTTGGTTCAATTGGTTACAAGGAAAAAAATTAATTAAATTATAGACTATAGTTATATCAGTGTGTAATTTTCAACAACAAATATATTATTTGCTTTTTTCTGTTTTACCTGTAAAACTAAAATTAATAAAAAAAATATTTCAATTTGTATAGTCGAAAGTCCAAAACTGTGAGCATTGAACTCACATGTACAGATTGGAATTTAAAAATCATGTTTCAAGATAAATCTTTAATCAAATTATAATAATGTAAAAAAAAAAAACTTAATGATTAAATTTAAATAGGTACTACAGTATACAATTTAAACGTTTTAATTATTTAGATTACTGTTTTGGTATGTTATAGGTAACGTTACTCCATGTCATTATGATGAACAACAAAATATGTTTGCTTGCATTCGAGGTTATAAAAGATTCATTTTATTTCCACCCAGTCAGTTTGAATGTTTGTATCCACACCCGGTTCATCATCCTTATGATAGACAAAGTCAAGTAACATAAAATTTCATTGAAAAATAATATAAATAACTACTGACTTAGTTATAATTTTTAGGTGGATTTTGATAATCCAGATTATACAAAATTTCCAAAATTTAAAGATGCGTGTGGCTATGAAGTCGTTGTCGAGCCTGAAGATGTATTGTATATACCTATGTATTGGTTCCACCATGTTGAATCACTAATGGAAGGAAGTTATACAGTTTCTATTAACTTTTGGTTCAAAGTAAATCACATAATCTGAGTTATATTGTGCAGAACCAACACTAATAATTTTAAATTTGTTTAGGCGGGTTCTGTTGAAAAAATCGAATACCCTCTGCAAGATTATCAAAAAATGGTTATCATGAGAAATGTGGAAAAAATGTTGGCTGAAGCATTGCATGATCCAAGTGAAGTTGGACATATGCTTAAAACAATTGTATTAGGCCGTTATACATCCGACTTCAACTAATTGTAATTATAATATTACTTATAGAAAATAGAAACTATTAATTTAAAGCCAATTATTTAAAAAAAAAAAAGAAAGAAAGATGGATTACCTTTAGTTGTTATTTTGGCTTATATAATACTTAATACCAGTAGCATTCATATTTTTTTGTAAAATCTAAACTGGTATAAATATCATTACAAATGCAAATTAAAGATGTAGCTTAAAGAACATTTTAGATCTTAACATTTCATTATAATTTCCACAAAAATGTTCATACTGCAAAATTTATTTCATCTTTAAACTATTGTTGTACTTTAATTTTATAGTAGTTTATGTTGTTGAATACACCTTACCTTTGTTATTTATTTGTCATGCTACTGTTTAACTAACAGCTCAATCAGTGGCATAGCTGTGAGGGGACGTTGAGTGGATCACCCCCTTGGCATTTTTTAGTGGCTATGTTTTAACCATAGCTATTGTTTATCAGTAATAAAATATAAGTTTTAAACTGCCCCCCCTCCTTAACTGAGCTCCAGCTTCACCATTTATATCAATCACTTTAAGTTGTGAAACTGTTGGTTGTTTATCTATTCATCAGTTCCTTAAAAACGTTTTTAAAGTTTAATTAAACTAAAATGTGTGCATTTATTTATTGAGCCTGTCAAAATCATTTCATTTATTTAGTTAATATTCTGTTTAAAATCTTTAAACAATGATTTCATTCGAACCCTTTCTATTACTGTACAGAATTATTCATAAATATTTTAAAGGTACTACTTACTTTGCATTGATTTAATGTTTTTCAATTCTTTTAGTAATATTAGTATTATTATTTTTAATTTATCTATTTATATTTTAAATTGCCCAATTGTAACATATACAAATATATAAATCTAAAAGTTTTGTTTATCATTATTTTAATAAAATGTTTAAGCTATTATATTTAGTTCCTAATGTATTTAAACATGACTTCATGTATATTTAATGTTTATAATTATAATGCATAAATTGTAAATAATTGAAATTGGAATATTTATTTTATTTTATTTGTGATTTTAATGTTATTTAATTTGTATTTATTTTACTACTTACTACTTCATTTTATTTTGTCAAGCAAGTTAATATTTTTACTTTTGAGTACTTATTTACATAGACTGTATTGAACACAATTATTAAAATATTAGATTACTCACATTTGAATAATTGTAATATTTGGAGCTAAGAAATGTGTATTAAGATGAACAATTACCGGCATATAAAAATACAATTTTTAAAATACATATATTGAGTCTTCATTTTTGTTAAGAGATTAAATTATATAATAAACTATTATTCTAAAAAATACTCTGGAGTACTGTTAATTTGTAAACTGTAAATATAGGTAAGTACAAAAATAATTGAGTAATCTGTTAAAATTACACAATCGAACATGTTAATATATTAAAAATAATATAATTTTTATACACATTGTTTAAACACTATAGGTTCAAATCACAATGATTAGATTTTAAAAACTAAATAATATATAGGAAGAAAATTGAAATTGGTATAATAATATTGGAAGTAAATTTAACGAGTAAGACACTATAGAAAAATATAATATTATGGAAAATACCATCTAAACATTTAGCAAAAAATATTATCATATCATAACAAATTATTACGTCCATTTTCTCTTGAACGGAGAAGCAGCATTAGTCCGTTTGACTTCAAATGACCGTACGTAATCCGGCATATCGCCGACATCCACCAGAATCCTGGTATAAAGTTTTTCCGTGTCAATCCGGAACACTTCATATTTAAGTGTGTTTAGCCCATCAGATCGGAAGCGTTTTTGACTGGTGTACACAAGCTTTAATCGTACAGCATGGGCAAGCGGTTTCCGCTTAACATGCTTGACCATTGTGTATCGCCCGAGATGTTCCGGTGGCCGTGTTATTGGCAACCCAACCTGTTCCAATCTGTGCCGAATAATGTTAAATAATAATTATAATAATTTATTCAATTTTTAAAGGGCCAGCCATTGCAAACCTATATCCCATGTCGTCATCCTCGCCACCCCAGCCCCAGAATAGATTAGAATATCCGTTGACCAGAAAAAAATGTTCAGGTCTTATGCTGAATACACCGCCTACCAATTGGTGGTAAGGTAATCTGTAAGAAAATAATATCGAATTTAATATACATAGTCCGAAACCACGATATCTTGTAGGTATTATGTAAACATTACCAGTCATCACCAAGTGATAAGTTATTCATTACTAAATTCATTACCAATATGTATATAGATCAACTCGAAAAATGGAAATATGTAATTACTGTTTTGCGATGTACTTACTGGTATTTAAACTCATTCACAGCCACAGACAAATGCCTTGGATACTCAGGACAACTGTACATATTCCTGTCATCTTCAGGCAACATATCTACGTCATGGAAGACGTAGCATCCATACAGTCCCCTATCCCAGTCATTATCACCGCGTAAGCCGTAACTACGATACACCGTCAAAAAAGCGGCGTTCATAATTGCCCCTTTGTTGAATGTTACATTACTGACCTTGTAAAATATTTAAAATCAATTTGGTTAATTTTTTTACTCCTTTAATATTATGTTATCATTTGTGTATTTTAGGAGAGATGTACTAGAAAGGGTTAAAAATAAAAACTACAAAATTATAGGGTACACCAAATATATTATTGTTGTATACTTGTAATTTCGGGATGAAAAAAAAAATACGTATATGTATAGTTTTAAAATAATACCTGTTCAACGACAAATATTTTAAAATCCAACTGTTGTCGTTTTAAAACCGGTATGAGCCTGTAAAGGAGCGTCCACAGATGATCCTTTCTGTCCCTGTACGGTATAATGATGCATACAGAGTGTCTGGCCTTGCAATCTTCAGGTGCCCAAGAACCACCGAAACCCATTGTGCCAACTGCGTCCACGATCTCCTCTTCAGACATATTAATGGCAGCGCTATCTAATTGCTCAATGCCGTCTGCAAACAAAATATCACAATAATCTATTGGGTAGATAAAAATGAAATTTTTAATATAGCCCAAAATTAGGATATTAAAAATACACGTCTTATGTAAATTGTCATTAATACAATTTAGTAATGGAACACTGAAATATCTAATAATATTAATAGTGTTAATACATGGCCCCAAATTCAAAATTTAATTGTCAATACTTAATGCCTATACATTTTACATAGTAAAATTTTAAATTTTTTTAGTGGTTGTGAGCTCTATAAGCTACAAATAATAAATAATATACCTAATATCTTCTTAAAAATATCATTGGACTCGTAAAGGTGAGTTATTATAATATAATCGTGTGTACACTCGATATAATAATATGTACACCGATCAATATATTTTTATTCATTACATTTATGAACTACATACCCCAATAAAATCAATAAAAAAGTGAAATCATACAATAATAATTATTATGTAACTGTATCTCATTGTACGAGAAACCTGTGAAATACTGTCTACCTATTAGAACTTCAGACAATACGAACTTTGATTCAATTATTCAAATGTTAATAAACGATTATAATTCATAAGGAAATCTAATGAATGTGTATATATCAATATAAATTATTTATAATTGTTTAAGTAAATATTTAAATCTGAAAAAAATACGCATAGATACCTAAATTGTCTATTCGTGTTACACGCAGAGAAATATTTATTAAATATAATACCTAACTTACAAATTATAGGTATTAGACACCTGGTTTTTGTCAATAGAAAAGTATAAATTACTTTTCATAAGTTAACTAGGTACTTGTATAAAAAAAAAAATAGTCTACGCTTATTTTAGAAATATATACCTATTTAAATACTAGAAAAATCTCTCAATATTTTTAGAAATACTAAGTGTCTTTGTCATAGTACGTGCACACGTCCTAGAGCTTTTATGGAATTCTTTACAAATTTTAACATCATATTTCAATTTTAAGCATGGTATAACGATTATTTAAAGTATTTTTTATTTTAGTAGTATTAGGAAACATAACAGCGTACCACCGTCTCAATGCAAAACTCGCTCTGTAGCTAAGAATTTATAATTACGTGCGTTACACTTACACAAAACTGGTGGTATTTTCGGACACCACAGTTTCGGTTGACAGGGTTCTAAACCTTCGGAAATTACTCTTGCTTTTTCCAGGTTCCTATGAAATTCTGATAGTTTATCTACACAATATCCAGTAGCTTCATTCTTCAACTCGGCGACAAACGAATTAACACTCGGCGGTTTTGAATTTAACAAACGTTCAAACTGGAAATCATTGTTCGGTACACTGCTACCTGGCTAAATGTCATAATATTGTATTTATAATTTATATAACAGAAGTTATAATTCATTTCATTGATACATTATTGTACATATGGATAAGTATTAACTTAATAATACGTACTCTATGTATATATCTATATTAGTTTCCAATAAATTACCATGCATAATATACTTACATTCGGTTTTAATTTTGCTGCGTGTATATTGTTGGACTTTGAGTTTCGTTTTTGTAAAGCAGGAGCCTATTGACATAAATAACACATTGCTTTCAGAAATAATACATACTATTTTAAAAATATTAAACGTGGAAACAATAATAGTTATTGATGTTTGTCTTTTCCATCACTAATAATTACAAATTTACAACCTATTATGAACCTTGTGTTAAATTTTCAAACATTTCTGTTTAGTCGAATAATTTTATCCATATAGTATCTTCTGGGAGAAAAATCCCAGAGAAAATTAAAAATTACCTCTAAATGCACTAACTAGATAAAATTTCCATTTAGAAAAGACGCTACGCTTAAAAATCTGAGCAAAATTTCTTGTAAAAGAGTTGTTCGCAGAAAAAAATAAACACCATTGTAAAACCAATACATTTCTCGCTTCGCCCACAATATAAAATGACTAGAGACCTCTTTTGGTTGCATTTTGAATCTAATTGGAGGGGTCAATTTTTTTTATTTTCCAAAGGGTTTTTAAAATAACTAGAACAAAAAGGAAAGAAAATTATAGGAAAAACAGCAAAAATGTACGTAGAGCCGCAGCGTTACCTACCAATTTCATAATGTTTTCTACCAGAAATAATTGCTTTATTTAAAAAATACCTAAAAACCTGTTTTGTTGCATTTGGGATGTAATTGTCCAGTAAGTAACTCGTTTTTTAATTTTTCAAACAGTTTTTTAAATAATTGAACAAAACTTGGAAGAAACTTACAAAGAACAGTGAAGTTTAAAACAATGATAGTTTCAATCTTTTCAATGTTGTTTTTTTGTCCTACCTTATTCAGTTAAAAGTATTTGAAGACTTGAAACTTTAACAGAACACTTATATTGGCCTTTTCTACGTGTCGTAATATGTTTAAATATTTTAGCTAATTTTGAGCAATTTAAAGTCATTTTATATTTGCGAGTTTTTTACGTAGTTTTTATTTGATAGGTAGATAGATACTATATGTATATAGGCATTTGTTCGAACTAAGGTAAATGTTTGAAAATCTAACAGAAAATTTATTGTAAATTATACTTGGTGGTAAAAAAAAAATTTAAGAATCTAATGTAGTCAATTTTCTATTCCGAGACGAGCGAGGAATGTATTGGTAGTTATTTTTTTTTTTTCTCCGGAAACGACTTCTACTAGATATTTCGCTCCAATTTTCGGGTGTAAGCACTCGATTTTCCCAGGAATTTTCCTACTAAATGGGAAAAACGGGAAAATGCACGAAACGTATTATTTTCAAATCGTAAATATTGTACGGCCTTTCAAAACTTGTGTAACCGAACTCAGCCCAGAATCGTTTTTCGTTTAGCAATAATGATTAATCTTTGCGTATTGATAGACATTAAATTCCCCTCTACGTTCCCAACTTCGCACGCACAAGAGTGGCCCGCCAATTGCGCGAAATATATCCGTTTGTTTTTTTCATAACAACGGTTTTAAGACAGAATTTTAATGAACACCATACGATGTCGACAAATGGCGAATCGTAATATAGGTATGCATGAAAATCGGTTAGAATCGTTTATTATCATTGTTTACAGATTAAATTAATTAATGTATCGTACCGCCGCACCCGCAACAGTGGAGAGCCCATCGGCAGTATCGGCTATTTTTATTACTTAATTTATCTGTGTCAAGTATTTAAAAAAAAAACGACGATGAAGCCGCGATAAACAATCGGTACCGGGCGATCCATTTCAGCGGGTACACTCGTTATCCCGGAGAATATTAACATTTCCCGGGATTATTTTTTGTCCGGGACATTTGAGATACACGCGCCGTTATACAATTTTTTTTCATTTATTTTCAAAGGTGCATTGTTCACACGCCGCGCAAACGATACTCCGCCACTGTCCTCCGAACAACCAAACTTCGAAACGGCTTTACAGAAATCGAAAACGCCAACGCCGCAATTTATTTCAACCAACACCCGGTCTATTCGCGGACTTTTCAACATAGAGGCGGTCGTTCGGAAATCAAAAGTAGGCGGTTGTTTTGCGTTCGAAAATAAATATAAAATCGTTGCAAAGCGGGTCGCGTCTCAAAACGTTCTTGCGCAAAAAATCGAAAAACCGTTCGGCGCAAAAGTCGACGCTTTCCGAGGCGACGAGCGTACCCGCCGGAGCGGGCGCGCTCGCGACCCGAACCGGTCTCGCGGGCGTTGCGCGCGCCGCGAGAACGTTCGGGCCCGTTGTATAAATAGCGCAAACGCACGACTCCTCCGCGGGACGTGTACGGCGGCGCCCGCGATAGCGGGAAAACCGAACGGACAACAATTGTCGCCGGACGGCGGGCGGCCCGCACACACACACCGCAATTGCCGACGCGGCAAACCTACCGCAATGACGTTTTGCGTTTGAAATACTCACGCGAGTTATGGCTATGACGCACATGGCGACCACCACGAGCAACACCAATAGGAACGGAAGCACCTTGACGGACCAGGCCCAGACTTTCGCGGCAGGCGTGTGACGCGACACCCGGGGCCTCTGTACTCTCACTACCACCATGATATGAAAGCCTCATGGCTCGCCAGACATACGGACGCGCGGACCCGTGATAGGTACGCGATGCTACGGTGTCGGGTACGGCGGCTGTTGTCGCAACATCGGGGCTCCGTTGGTCGCGCGCGGCGGACACGGCGGTTCGGGCGAGCAGCACGCGGACCGGCAAGACCGAAACGGACACACAGGCCGAACGCAGCGACGGCACGCACGAACGCGGCCGCCCGCAGCGGGTGTATCGTTTTGCGAAAACCGAGGACGGCGCGGCGTCACGCGCGCGTTCGTACCCAGTGTGCGGCGAATGTCGTTGGCCCGTACGCCGCGGGTCCGCGGGTCCTACGCGCGGTCGGGCGTGCGGCACTGACGTCCACGCGCGACGCGGCGGCATGCGCCCATCGATTTTTCCCGGGACACACACGACCGGGCGCCCCGCAGGCCCTTCCCCCGAAACGCGCGCGCCCGCTACGCCGTACGCGGGCGCGCGCCGTAAAGGCGGCCGTCGCAGTACGGTTGCGACCGCGCACGTACCGCGGTCCGGTCGTCGCACGAGCGCCGAGCGGATTCGTACGAACGCGCTGGACGGTTACAATCGTTTTTACATCGTTACGATTTTTTCCTGGACTTTCCATCGTCGCACTCGCCAATTATTATAATACAAATTTAGTCCGTTTCGAAGGAATACCTATACCGAGTTAACGATTATAAATTAATAATTAATACAAATATATCGCTTTCTGTTTAAACAGAATAAACTCATAAAGGCCCCTCCACCCGAGATATCCCATACGCTCAAGCCAAGCTCAGAACGAGATTATAATATGCGGAAGCCGTTACAAACAAGAATCCAACATTGCGTATCGTCTCATCAATGTTTTCAAAACGTATTACCAATTTAAATTCTTTAATCGAATCACCAACATCCCTCCTTACCGAGATACTACAAAAACGTTGTACTCCGTGGTCCATAGCATCTATTATCGTTTATCTCCAATTATTATATTTTCTGTTGCATCTATTGTACCTAATCATGTTTCAATTTCGTTCTGTTCGTTTTAAAAACATTACCATATACGTTAACTGTGCGTATTAATATTCTAATTGTTGAACTTCCATAGTTTAAATTAAGAGTTTTAAAATAAGAAAATAAACATTTATCACTTCCTATGCATACCTATATTACTGCCATTTACTGTAGATACTTAGGTATCAGACTCAAAAGTCACAGATAGGCTTAGGGACTTCTAGCTCTAAATATCATACAAATATGCTTTAAAAAAAAACAACCAAATATGCACTAAATAATATTTAAAAATTGTATAAATGGCCTGGTATAGCACTGAATAGCTGCACTCTGCTAATATATGCTCCAATGAGAAAAACATTTAAACATGCACAATCAAATTTTAGTTTTAGATTCTATGTGACATGAACGGGATTTCTATTTGACTCTGCTACTTTTTATACGATTAGGAAAAAAAAAATTCAAATGCTAGAAGTCCCTAAGCCTATTCATAAGTGTTATATGTATTATCATTCATTGCTTACACCTGTCCTGTGAGCTGCTGTTTTAGCTCTTATTGAATAAAAAAAATCAAAAACAAACAAGTGAAGAATGAAGATAAACAAAAGTCTAATAAATTTAAATGTTAAGAATTCACAATTAGAAATAATTAACAAGTCATAGAGTAATATTACTCTATGCAATATGTTTAGATTATACCTATATCTAAGGTAATACGTGTATTCTGTAAAACATCATTATGTATGTTGTCATACTGGCGTTGGGTGCTCAGTGTCAGTCTGCAATATATTTCATACGCGTGCATTTTGGCCTGTGTAATCAAATCAGTTAGTTTGTATTTGAATACTCCTTACATTATGAATTGAAATATTAAGTATCAAACCATATTATGACAATATTGAAAATATGTTTCTCTACTCAATGCTAAAACTTACCTAGAAACTATGGGTTTATTGGCAGGAATTTAAATGTTAATAATATAGTGAGGTATGCATACAAGTATATAACAGACAGCAATTGATATGAGGTATGAAATATATTATATATTTTGGTAACAATTACAATATTATTTAATAAAAAAATTGACATATATAAATCTAGAACTTTTGATTTAGAGCCGTATTATTACCTGGATTTTTCAAAAACTTTATAACATATAATTCTTAAGATAAAATAGCTAATAATAGGTACAACATTTAATAAATATAAATTATGAATAATATATAAACAGTATAATTATTAAGGGTATTGGATAATACATGTGATGTTAAAATATTATATTATCAAAATTAGGTACAGACAAGTAAAATGTTTAATATGTATACATAATATACTTATACAATATAAATAGATTAAAAGATTTGTAAAACGTAAGTAGTTGAATTAAATTATTCAAATCTATAAATTTTGTTTTTAATTATAAGTAATATTTTTATCACTTGAAAACAATTTTAGTGGGTACTTAATATTAAGAGTTATTAACCCTATTAACTATTTGAAAAAATACATGATAATACACAATTAAACATAGTTTTAATAAAATATATTAATAGAAACATAATCCATTAGGCATTATTCGATTTTATATTATTTGAAATTAGTTTTATCTGAACTCAAATATAGGTACTATGACACAATTATTTTTTATAACATAAATAAATGCGTAAAATACATGTATTATATTTTAATCGTACACAGTAATCAGCCGTGGTGTAAAACCTCTATATCTATGAATAGGTGGTTCACATGTTAATACAAACTTAATTAATGAGTTCAAATTTAAATTGAATAGTAGTATTTTCAGTTTGACACCATGGGTAAAAAACATAAAATTACACAAGAATACATAATATAATTAATAATAGATATTTAACTTAAGACAATTATTATAAGAAGGTATAAATAAAAGAAATGTATTCGAATAAATTATATAAAACAAATACATAAAATGGAATTAAAATGAATAATACCAACAATATTAATTTCCAAATTTTTAAATTGCAATAAAATATATAAAATAATATCTTTATGAACTATCAAAACATTATAGCGGGTACCAAAATATTAAATGTTTCGAATGCTTCGATTCCACCATGTAAACTACATACTTTTGGGAATTTTTTTTTCACTAAAAATCTACAAAACTTTCTTACTTTATTTAATTCAAATACATTATCAATGATAATTAATACACTACCTCTATTGTTCACCAATGCACTTAGTTCAGGACTAGGTGGTAAATCAAAATTTTCATCTAAAAAGTCTTCCTCTTTAATAGGAATATTTAAACTACCGGGTAAACTTTTTTCTATATAATATCCTTGTGCTCTGGTGTCTAAAACCAAAAATTTTTTACTATTTCTTTTTAATTCTTGCAAATCGTAAATGCTGATTCTAGGACTAAATTCATTTTGTAATACTTCATAGATTAAACATGGATCGTGTTCTCTCGTTTCAGTTCTCAACTCGTGTTTTCTGAATGTAATGGACCTAGGTGTAGCATCATAAAATTTTGATGATTCTAAAACACATTTCTCAATGTCCACTTCTGGCAGATCAGAAAACAATAATATACACTCATTAAATCCTGAGTTTAATAAGGTACTACGTAATTGTGTAAGGATGGATAATCCAACAAATAATGGATATGATGAATCACCTAACAAAAGTTTATCCCAAAGGTGAAAAATTTTATGCAAAGGAAACACATGAGAAAACATTGTTAAAAACCATGGTATAGCAAATAAATCTGGTATGAATCCTTTGTCGTCTAAGTGATTTGCAAGTTCTGGATCATGAAAAGCTATTAAATGAGACAACTTAATTAAATATTCTCGTATTACTTCAGAGTTATCTCTTAAAAATACATCGTTCAAATATTTTTTCACAAATTCCGTTAAACAAGCATAAGCTATGTGTTCTTTACAAAAGTTTAAATATACAAATGGGGCACACAACGAATCCAGACCTTGCCAATAAACATATTTTGGATGACTAACTAACCATGCTTTTAAGACTCTTTTTAACTTTGTATGAGCTACAGAAGATGATAATAAATCGTTATATTGATGGCATCTTGGTATGTCAACTTCAATTTGTCTATCTGTGACACCAGCAGTTTCTTTATCTATAGACAAATAAGTATGTTCAGTGTTGTTGCAAATATTTAATAAGCAGGCCCAAATCTCTCCTCTAAAATAGGGTGGAATATCTTTTGATGCTTCGATAAGTAAGTTATTTCGTTTGAAAGGATAAGTTGATAACAAACGATCGAACAAGACAATTCGATGAAATTGATATTCAGTGTCTTTTTCACGTATAACTAATGGTAGTTTTTCAGTAGTATCGTTACGTTCTTTTACTTCATCGATTAAAGGATCGTAATCTGTGATTTTAAGATGTTGAAGACGACTTATTAACAAGTCTAAAGACAGTTCAACTATCTGTAAGTCTAATAAACAACTTTGATTACGTGTAGTACCATAAAGTGTACCTTCAAGTATAATCAATCGAGGCAAAAGTAAAATAGAGGATTCATTTCTTAATAGCCCTTTTTTTTTTAAAGCCCATTCGACATCTCCTCCAGCTAACTTCCATAAATAATAAACTTGGTCAAGCTTCATTTGCAGCAATGGGTGTTTACATGAATAATATTTGTTTGTCAATATTGTTGAGTACTCGTAGAGAGAAAATATTTTATGATCACATAATTCTTTTGGGCGCATTCTTTTTGAAATATCTAAACAGATACACTTACTTAAAAAGTCTTTTAATTCATTCGGCAATGATTGATACAATGTTAAACGGCCCATTTCACGGGCAAGTCGCATCACAACGTCTGTACAATGTGTTAATGACAATATTTTTCTAATAATCTGGCTGAGTTTAAGTGTTGGCCATAGTTGTACTCCTAGTAATAATTCTAAAACAATAATACCCAATGACCAAGAATCGGTTTTAGGACCAGATTTGTATGAAGTTTTATCAAGAACTAAAACTTCAGGTGCAGTATATTTAAGTTTGCCAATTGGGAAAGAAATATTTTTTCCACTGTTTGTCATATAGTAAAGACCATAGTTAAAGAGTTTAACATTATCTTCATCATCCAATAGTATGTATTGTGGAGTTAAAAATCTATGAACTAATCCATTATCATTTAAATAAGTCAATGCATTTAAAACCCTATACGCCCAACTTAGTACTTTTTCTATTGGTAATAATATTGAACAGTTGAGTGATTCGGTCCATAGATTACGGTTAAAATATTGAGAGACTAAAATTATGCGACCATGTTGTTTCCGAATGAAGTCTAAATGTGAGACTAAATTTGGATGACTTAAAGTCTTAAGTTTTTGTGCACGTCCTAAAATTGTAATCGAATTAGGAGTTAAAGGTAAGCCATTAGCACCACACGATTCAGAAGTATGTTGAGCAGCAAATATTGTTTGTACACCAAACAATGGAGGAACATGAGCATCCACACAGTTGCAAGTCATCATAAATGTCTGATCAAAATTATCAAAAACCTATTTAAAAAAATTAATTAAATAAAATAAAATAAGTACAGACAATAAAATATTAAAAACTGAATGTTTATTCAATTTTTAATTAATAGGTAATAATAATAAAAACGTATTTACTAATAAAACGGGGGCCCCATAATAATTTTGCTTAAATATTGAAAGTAAAAAATAAACTATTGCATTTGACAAATACTTTTAAATAGAATTAAAATAAAAATGTATCTAAATAAGTCGAATTAAAGAAAACCACGGTCATAGAAAAAAAGTCTCATTGTAATTTAGTACTTAAGTAAACAATTTGAAAGTAACAATGAATCTCATAAAAAAAAAATTTTTTAGGTACAATCATTTATTTATCTATATATACGTACATATTATAGTTATCCTACTTCTCTGGTTTATTTCTTTGAATTTCTAATCATTGTATGATACACTTATTTTTTATAGTTTAGAGATAGAAGACAGAATTTCATCAACAGATAGATGCATTATTAATTTTTAGAAATTTTAAATACATTTTTTTTTCAATTACCATATTAATAGTCATTAAGTAAACAGCAATAAATTTATTTGGCACATTCAATTTAAAAAGACCTTTTATAGTTAACACGTCCACTAATAATATTATAATAAAGATAAAACTATTTATAAATTAAAATGTTACTTATCCAATCATTACACTTACGGGTTACAACAGCATTGATAGAGTATTTTTTACTAATATTATTATGAAACGTAACTTGTATAGATACCTACTGATTTATTAAAATTAATGAAAAAGGAAAATCACCAAAAAATCAATATACACTAGTGAATTCGACTACTTAATACTTCCATATCGAATTTTTTGAAATATTTTAATGTTTGTTACTATTGTTATCATTTTAATTTTTAAGATATCTCAAATCGTTTTTAAGATACATGGTTATCAATTTAGTTACCAGTTAAAAGACTACAATAGGTTATGTTTGACCATGGTTGTAGAGAGACCAAGCTTATCAGTATAAACAAAATTATGTTGTGTTCAAACATGTAATAAATCTTTATTTATATCTTATTATTTTGAAAGTATTCCATTCAATCCTTTGAATAGTTAATCGAATTGTATGATTGTTTACTAATTTATTAATAATTTTAATATTATCAAATAACATTAGTACCTTACCTCCATTGTTCATAATGCCCCGATTGAAGAAAAGGTCATTGGAAACCAAAGCTAGGATATCTAGGATGAAACGAGCTGAAAAACGAAGAGAACAAATTTTGTATTTAAAGACACAAGCCGAAGAAATGGAAATTCTATGGTATGTACTAGCATGAGTTTGTTTTAAATGTTATTTTACGCTGTAATCAAATACCTATTACTTTAAGAATATGTTCTTAATAACACCCATTCAAGTTCTTTTAGAGTAGAATTGGTACGTACTATTTAAAATATGCACCTACAACTTAGTGTTTAAATAAAGTTTTATACACTTAACTTTTCATATTGAAATTATGATAATGTGTTAATTAAATTAAATTAATTTAATAAAGAGTTTTTATATATATATTACAGTGTATCAAAGTGTTTTAATAGCGACATCAACATTTGTTAATATAAAACATAATTTATAATAAAAAAGTAGTTTTTGACAATGTTTTTTAGTACAGTTTTACAAAATTATGCATTTTATTTTTGTAAATTTTCAAACAGAACGAGGAATGTATTGGTTTTCCATGATTTTTTTTTTCTGTCCATAAACAACTATTTTACCAAAAATCTTGCTGCAATCAAAACATAAAGAGTTATTTTTGTTACATTTTGATTCTATTTGGTGTATTACGAAGGTCATTTTTTTGATTTTTCAAGTATTTTATTTGCATTACCTATAATGTTATAATTGTTATTCTTATAAGAAAAACTTTAGGACAAATGAGCAAATTTCATTATTTAAAATTTTTTTTCCTTGAACTTGAGAGCAAGATCTCAAGTTCAAATAAAATAAAAGTTAAGTATTTTCTTTGAAATAAATTTTATCTAGTTTATGCATAATAAGGTTCTTTTTAACAGTTTTCTTAATAACTGAAAAGTAAAAAAGTTTATGGAAATAATGGTTTCATTTTTTTTATTGTAATTTGGTTAAAAATAATTATAGAGAGCTGAAATTTTCACATAATACTTATATTCCCTTTTGCCTTTTCTCAAAGTGGCTTAGATGTTCACACATTCTGGCAATTTTTGAGTAATTTATTAAATTTATTTTCAAGTTTTAATTTGGTTTAATGGGGATATAATTATTATGAATAAGTAGAAATACTTTAATTTTACATGAGGTTTATCATATGTTGTTGTAAATGATCCAAAAAATAATAATATGGTTAAACATAATGTAGTAATTCATTTTATACCTAATCATTATAAGTCAAAATGATGGCATTTCATGTGAAATGTTTTTCTAGTTATTGTTAATTTATTTTATTTTTCATTAATTCCTTATTTATAATTTTACTATAGATTTAGTATTTCTTGATACCTATATAATTAAAAGTTGTAAATTAGGAATGTAAATCTTGTTGCAATAGTGAAGTTGCAATAGTGCAATACATAGTGTCAAGTAATCTCATTTAATTTAAAAACAATTGTCTGTTAAATAATTGAAATTGTAATGCATATTAGGTACTAATAGATATAGGTATAAAAAATTAAGTAGTTTATTTTTTCCTGTATATTATCTAAATAATTTAATTGATTAAAACTAAATGTTAAATAATATTTAATCATTATGAAATATGAGAAAACTATCAGCTGCTAAAAAAACAACTACTGTAATCAAATCCTGTTGTTTTTTTTTACCACAAAATAATTTAAATGTTATTGTTTGGTAAGATTTTACATTATATTAAATTATTGATTTTATATCTAGCCGTGGCATAAGAAGTGAAGGTGCTCTGGTTCCACCAATTAGACAAACAGCATCAATATTCAAACAGCCGGTTACTGTTCATAAGAACCAGGAGGGTAAAGTTAAAACAGATTTCAAACATGGACGACAAGAAAAACCAAGACAAGTAAATTTATATAGAATTATTTAACCATCGAAATTATTGGTTAAATATTTATTTTAGGTATTCTGGGAGAAAAGACTTGAAGGTATTAGAGCATCAGAAAAAGATGGTTACGAATTAGGAACGAGATGGACCGGTCTATTGCGACCAGCTGGCCCCCATGTCCGTGATGAAACTCTATTGCAAAGTGTTGCTACTGCTTTACATGTATGCGCTATGCCAGTGACTGGACAACCTCCTATGCGATCTCATTATGACAAAGAAATTGTGTATCGGATTCCAGACCAACCACTCGTACAGGTATAATAATATAATATAAGAGTAAATATTAGTTTTAAAAATAGATATTTTTATTTATTAATTAAAATCTTTTACAATTACTTATAGGAGGTGAGTGTGACAGTAGAAGATATTAAAAGTCAAGAAGAACGTGTTATAGCGGCCAGAAAACGACTTCAAGAAATAATGGGGAAAATCAAATAAAACATTTGTATAAATTGAACATTATTCATATTAGCAAACTTTGTCACATTTTTTTTAAACAAATTTATCTAATATGAATTCATTATTATTATGCAAATATATTTTAATTTCACACTATATTTTCATTCACATACATATTACATATATTTATTATATATATGTGTGAAAAACAAATGTAAAACCCATGTTATTATATATGTGTTTTTTTATTAAAAATAATTTTTTCCCATAAAACAGAAGTTACATTTCTTCACTATAAGAGTCATAAATTTTTAAATTTTTAAAAAAAATTGTGTTGATTAAAGTTGCTTGAAAAAAATAGGACTTCCAATCTAGTGTCAAAAATACGTGTTGTTAGCTATTTAAAGAAAGTGATTTGTATTATTCCTGCACATAGTAAATGAGCTTAACATTTTAAATTTATTCCTAATTGTGTATTTTAATATCCTGAAAATGGAATTCAAATCCAAAGTTGTTCAACCAAAATGGGTTGTTACTTTTTTGTAACATTTTTAGTAAAATCTAACACTGTACATAATATACCTATTAATGATTATCTGTGATTTTTATAGTACACACATAATAATTGAAAAGTGAGCAAATTCGTGAAAATAATGAATTTGATAAAGTCAAGTTAAATAAAAACAAAAGCCTTCTGTTAAAAAATAAATTTAACTAGTAAGAAGTTAAAAGTTAAAATTCTAAATATGTTATGTCTCATTTAATAAGTTACTTTTAAAAATATTCAAAATTATAAGTAATATGTTTTTTTTATTCACATACAAATTACGTGTAAATCAAACTTCTTTAGTTATTTCAGACCCATCGCTACAATATATTGCCTCTATTTTTAGTAATTTTATATTCTTCATATGTGTAAAGACCCACATAGGATTGAACTTTATTAAGTATTATTTTTGTCTTTTTTGATTTGAATAGTAACATCAATTCAAAATAGTACCAGTTTACTGTAATACATTTGTAAATCAAACTAAGACAATACATTTTAATACTGATATTATAATATTGTATTGAGAACATGGCCAATTAAAATTTTATTTTGAATTTAAAGAATAAAACTTTAGTCTTTAAATTGTTTAATAGATATTTATAAAAAGTTAAGTTAAGAAAATTTAAATTATCTATGTAATATTAAAAATAATTAACAAGTAAAAATTTTTAAAAATAAAAACCTATGTCCACCATTAAACAATAATAATAATATTATATATTAGTCTAATACTGATGTCTAGAGCCCGGATTTATATGCAAATGCATTTTCTATTATAATAATTCACCTAGAATAATTTTGATTAAAATGTCGATGTTCCATAATGTGTAAACCTATGGTTATTATTATTATCGTATGGTATTCTTAACAAGCATTACAACTCAATAAAATTACAAATAAATAAACTTAAGTAGAATATATAGTGGTTAAAATAAATAACAATAATAAAGATATTACGTAATTAGTCTAGTTTATGGTAACTTCTGTGTTGTGGAATGACCTTTTATAGGAGAACATCGAGTGATCTCAACCAGGCCAGAGCCGTTTCCGTGGATATCGTTAATTGTGCCGTTGAAAGCTCGAATGGGGCAGTGTCCTATTAATATGCTCCATTGTTTGAAACGGGTGACCGCAATCACACGCAGGGGAATCCTTCATACCCCATTTGAATAGCATTTCTCCACATCTTCCATGTCCGGTTCGGATTCTGTTCAATCTGACCCATTCTCGTCGTTTTAGTGAGAAGCCAGGTATTTGGGAGCATGGGTCCTTGATTAGGTGATGGTTATCAGGGTTTGATAGGCTCCAATTTGTTTTCCAGTCGTTCTCTCCATTGAATTGGTTTTCAATGAGGTTTTTTTGCTGTTAGACAGACAGGCTTTCTCGACTTTAGTCTCAAAGTGCAGTTCATAGGTATATCCTTATGTATCGGGAGTGTATCATTCTGTGTATATTTGGTCCACTCNATGGTAGAATTAAGCTGTATGTCAATTTTAGAACAGTGTGCACTATTTAGCCATACAGGGGCAGCGTATTCTGCAGCTGAGTAGACTAAAGCTAATGCGGATGTTCTAAGGGTGTCAGTTGAGGTTCCCCAAGTTTAGCCAGCGAGCTTCTGGATGATGTTGTTCCTTGTTCTTATTTTTGCAGCGGTATTTTGTAGGTGATTTTTGTACGTCAGTGTCCTGTCGAGAGTTACTCCGAGATACTTAGGGGTAGGGTTATATGGTAGTATTTGGTTTCCGAATGTAATAGTTGGTTGATATTTTGCTTGTTTGTTATTCAGGTGGAAAGTCGTAGTCTCCGTTTTTTTGTATGTTCGGCTTAAGGCGCCACTGTTGGAAGTATTTGTGGAATTTTTCTAGGTCTTGATTGAGTGTAGCTTCATTATTTTCAAATTGTTCATGTTGTGTAGATATCGCAATGTCGTCTGCGTATGTAAATTGTCGAGAGGTTGTAGCCGGTAAATCACTGATGTATAGATTGAAAAGAGTCGGTGCCAGTACTGAGCCCTGGGGAAGTCCATTATTTAGTTGTTTTGTCGAACTTCTGGACGCTCCTATATTCACTGTAAAACTACGATTCGTTAACATCTCATTTAATAGTTTGTAAAAAGTCAGACATTTGATAGTTTTAAGAAGTTTGAACAGTAGACCTTCTCTCCATACAGTGTCGTATGCAGCTGTTAAATCTATGAGCACAGCGGTTGTCTTTTTCTTATTTTGGAACCCTTTTTCGATGTAAGTGGTGAGAGCTGCGATTTGATCCGTACAATTTCTGCCAGGTCGAAAACCGGCTTGTTCCATTGGTGTGATGACGTCGATGATTGATCCAATTCGATTCAGTACAAGGCGTTCCAATAATTTATAACATACACTAAGGAGAGCAATGGGACGATAGCTATTTGCTGCGTTTGGGGGCTTTCCAGGTTTGCATATTGCTACGATTTTAGATTTTTTAAAAAATCGTCGGGATTTTTGTGCTTGAAAGTATATTATTAAAGAACTTCACGAGCCACGCTCTTGCTCTTAATCCTAAAACCTATGGTTAATTATTTTGTTTGGATATTTTAATAAAAATTAATTTATAAATTTATATTTCATATTTTTAGACATTAAACGATAGGTAAATTTAAATTTAAAAAATAGATTAAAAATTATCAGAATGCATTTTCACTAAAAGCTAACATTGTTAGGTACCTAATCATTTTTGATAGTGATGTCTAGACTCAAGATACCTATATCTACATTGTATAATTTCCGGAATATTTTGAGTTAACTATTATTATATACCTAATGTCTATATTATTTAAAATGTTTGGTTTTTTTTTTAAAAAATGTATAGTTACTTTGGATCCGTGTCGGCAATGCATTTCCTTTTCCTATATACAACATATGGCGTACCTACCTATGTCGGATTGTCGGCGTTTTATGGACGTCTAAAGAGTATAAATTCGGTTTTTTTTTATGTATAGAATAGGTATCGTTTTGTCGCCATTAAATAATCACTTTTCAATAACGCATTATTCGTCAGTAATCTTTAACGCACAGGACGCACCAGACCAATGACACAAAAAAATAACGGAAAACCCAATAAATCAAAGACTTTGGTATTTTTTTTTTTTTTTGATCTTAAACTTAAATTCGAATGTCATATTAACAACATTGTAAACAAATCAAACAAAATCCTTGATTTTATTTGTCGAGATTCTGCTGATTTTAATGACGTTTTAAAGTTTATTTAATGCTATTTGGTACGTTCTATTCGCTAATACGCCTCAACAATATTGTCTCCGTCTCCAACCAACCGGATCATAAATTAAACATTGACAAAATTCAGCAAAAGTTCTTACGGTTCCTCTCATTTAAATGTCGTACAGCCAGAGAACCGCATTCTTCGTTCACCCCACTTTTGTCGTTTCTGTCCCTCGAAACACTTAAACGACGTTGTTTGCGATTAGATTTATACTTTGCGTATAAGCTGGTCACAGGAAACATTGACTGTCCTGAGTTCTCCTTCCATACACCTACTCGTAACACCCAGTCTATACATATATTTTATCTTATCTGAAATAACCAATAATTATGCTAGCAATACCCCCCTCAATTATGAAACCTATGAATAAAAATCGATCTGTTCATATCATCAAATTATAACTCATTTACAATATATTGTAATTGTATACTTGTTAATTCTTAGCTGTAAGTATTATATTGATTGTATTGTATTTTATTGTTAACGAACGATTGATATTATTGTAATATCTATGTAATAGGGCCTGGCCCTTTAAAAATTTAAATAAATAAACAACACAGATGGATCAATAAATACGGATCGACTGCCGTTTCTAAAATAAATTCAAATGTGAATATTATACAATAATGTAGAAAATGTTTTACAATGTAAGCAGATACACAATAGGGATGCATGCATTTTTCCTTCATTGCGGTAGATAATCACCCACCGTACCGTCAGTAAGTATGACACGTGTCCACACACAGGTGCGTCCCTGAGGGAAGGGGGCGATGGAGGCGTTCGCCCCATAATAGATATAATCAAGAAAATTATTTCACATTATTTTTCAGATCTTGAGTGTAGCGAAAAATGCAGTGTTGGTTTCAAAAAGATGATTATTTTATTTGTTTTTAGATTCCGAGCGTAGCAAGGGAGCTGTTGGTTTTACAATGCTGTTTATGTCTTTTTTTTCTTCTTTTTCTTTGTTCTAGTCTGTGAACACGTTTTTTCCTAGTAAACTTACTCCGATGTATAAGTGTAGCACCTTTTAAAGATTAGGTTGTCTAGATTGTACTTTAAACGGGTAATTTTTTCATTTTCGACGCCATTTTTTTTTAATAAAAGCACTTAAGTGGGAAAACTTACAATTTCACGATCTCATTATTTTATAAAAATACGGACGACGTTTTCTACCAGAAGAAATGATTTGATTGAAACATCACAAGACATCTTTTTTGTTGCCTTTTCGATTTACTTTCTTACAGTATCATCGACAAAACCTTTGATCTTTTAAGGAATTTTAATTTTTGGGAGTTTTTTTGCTGTAATTCGGTTACAAATACACGTAGAGACTTGAAACTTGGTGATAATACTTATATTGGACTTACATAGACATGGTCAAATTTCCAAAATCATCGGACGCCTTTTTTTCTTTTCTTTTTAATAAGCATTTTGAAATCAAATTTAAACGAAAATCGCAAAAAAAAATACGGCACTTCAAATTATGTATTACCGTACTGCGCTCGGGATCGTCTTTCGTCAAGCAATAGTTTATCGTTGCTTACGTATGTAAATGAAATAACCTTAAATATCCTACCTTCTCAACTTCTCACCTACAACAGTGACCACTCCCATCCCCAGTGTCAGCTCTTTTTATATATATACTGTGACAAAAATGTCTACCAGATATCTTGCCTCGATATTTACGTGTGGCACCATGATCCACTTTAGAACTGGATATATTAATAAAATGGTTGTTCTAAAACGAAATAAGTGCTCAATAATTTTATTTTTTAAATTTCTTATCAAATGCCTAGAGGCTTTATTATTTAAACGACTTGAAGGTCTTTATAAATATGTAAATATGTTTGGAATTGGATTCCATTGGATGGAATAAGTGGATTGACACGGTGATCCAATCTTGTCTCGTGTTTGTAAACAAACTTTCGGATTTTGTCAACTATTGTAGGCAGCATCATATCGCGGTAAATGGCACTGTTTCTTTCAAAAACCGGTAGGCTGCAACGATGGTCCAAAGAGCGATGTTTTGGCAGTGTTGCATTATATCAATATTAGACTTACTGGTACAACTCTACAGTTGAATGCCATAGGTCCGAATCGGTTTTATAATTGCTACATATACAAGTAGTAGACGTTTGTTTTCTACAGTTAACTCGGAGTAAGAGTCCAACTAACCAATAGATCTTTCGCATTTTTTCTCTAATCTGTATTTTTTTCTGGTAAATACGGTGTTTCTAGTTTAAACGGAGTCTAGGTGCATTCCAAGGTACTTTGCTGAATCTTTTTGTGGGATTAATGTTTGATTCAACATAATTTGGATTTCTTCTATTTTACATAACGTATAGTTGACTGATTTATCACCATTTATCTTAGATTTCCAACGTCTCATCCAGGCAAAGACATTTTCAATTGTTTCTTGTAAGTTACCAATTGCAATTAGCTGATTCTTACTTGTCGACAAAATTGCCGTATCATCAGTAATCGTAGCTATTGTTGTGTTGTCATTTTAGATATATCAGCTGTATAGGTAGTAGGTACAGGATAGGCACTACCTTGTGGTACTCCAGCTGATATATCTTTTCATTCGGTTACCTCTTCTTTATGTATGACTCAGATTTGACGGCCAGTTAAATATGATTCAAAAAGTGCACACCAGGTATGTGGCAGTTGATCACGCAATTTGATGACGTCATGTTCCAGACTTTTTCAAAAGCGTGAGCTACGTCAAGGAGTACTCCACAGCAGTAATCATTTTCTTCAAAAGTTTTACTTAAAACGTTAGTGACGCGATGGACTTGATCGATTGTCGAATGTTTGTTGCGGAATCCAAACTGATGGTCCGGTATAAGACGTTTTTCTTCTATGATTGGCTTTAGATGTTTAAGTAAAAGTTTCTCTAAGAGTTTAGACAAACTTGAAAGTAGTGATATCGGTCAGTATGGTATGACATATTCTGGTGGTTTCCCCGGTTTGAGCAACATAATCACTTACGCCCATTTTCATTGTTCTGGAATGTATTCCAAGCGCAAAATAACATCGTATATGTGCGTAAGATGAATGATAGCCTTCTTTGAAAGCTCTTTACGAATTTTTGGACTTATTTCATCATAGTCTGGTGCTTTTTTAGAGTTTAAGTTGTCATCTATTACTTTAGCAACTTTTAATGGAGTGAAATGATTAATCTTATGTGTTGTACTAAACTGTTGACATTGCACAATATTCAATGAAAGACTTAAAGACTCAACAAGCTTAGAATCTGTGCCATGTGGTAGAAATATTTGTTCAAGGTGTCGAGCATATATTTCTGATTTTTCTTGTTCACTGCTAGCTCAGGTGCCATCTTTCTTGCGGATGGTTGATACCTGAACACGAGGTCTCTTCATATGTCCTGTGGCTTTCCATAATGAATAATCGGTATTACCCGTTGCAGAGAGACTATTTGAGTATGATCTGAAAATTTCATTTTTCATTTCGTTAATTTTGTTATTAAGTATTTTGCTTATACAGTTCCATTCGATTTTATCTGTTGGATGCCGTTTATTATGCCATATTCTTCTCGCTCGGCGTTTTTGTTGTACTAGATTTCTTATATCCAGTGGGTATGTAGGCTGGCGTTTACCATTAGTAGATGCCGAAGTTCCTGATTTTGCCGCATTAATAATGTCGTCCGTCATTTTTTTAACTGCATTTTTAATGTCAGCTATTGTTCTTGTTCTAGTCGAAAGAGTTATGTTTTTTTCGAGAGCATTTCTGAGCAAGTCCCAGTTCATTTTTTTGTTTGTTGTGGGAGTTTTCTTTTGTTTCACTATTATTTTGGAATTTAATGAGAGAAGCACGGGAATGTGATCCGACGTTAGCTCAATTAGACCTTCAACTTCTACATAATTTGTTGAAATTCCTTTCAATACATAGAAGAAGTTAATAAAATCAGGTAGTTTATTTGGGTTAGTTGGCTAGTAGGTTGGCTTTCTAGTTAAGATGAATTGTGCTTTAATTTTATTTGTAGATTTAAATAAATCACCTCCTTTGGTGGTGATCAATCTCGATCCCCAGAAAATATTTGGTATTATAATCACCTCCGGCAATGAATCTACTACCCAGAGTCTGGAAGAATTTAGTAAACTTGTTGTCATCTACTTTATATCGTGGTGACCAATATATAGTAAGCAGATATAGTAAGGTCATTGCCGCCGTCATTTACACGAACATTTGTTGCTTGTAAATATTTTTGAGGATGTTTTTCAAGTTTGTGATGTTTGATTGATTCTTTTATTATTACTACAATCCCTCTATGAGCGCGGTTGCTTGGATGTTCTGTTGTATATATTTGATATCAACGTATCTTTAGATTGGTCCACGTTGTAAAATGTGTTTCTGAAATAAGAGCTATGTCTATTTTTTCATTTTGCATAAGATGTTCAAGTTCATGTTTTCGCTGTAGAAGCCCGTTAGCGTTCCATGTTACAATTCGAAATGTCCTACTCATTTTCTATTTTTTTATACTTTGCTTTTTGATTGGTTATTTTCGGGCTTGTCCAATCTCTGGTTTATTTTCGTTATCACGCCATCACATCAGAAAGTGATGGAATATTTTTTTCTTGTTGTGTATGAGTTTGAGTTTGTGGACCCTTATGTTTGTCATTTAAAGATTTTGTCATCTGTGCAAAAGAAACATTTTGAGTAACTGGTTTCGCAGAATTTTGTTGTATTCTTTCTAATGCTGATATTTTTTTGGATGAACTTTCTTTACTGCTTTTTTATAAGCGAAGTATCCTTTCCAATTTGAAGTGTGACCTTTTCCACAATTTGCGTATTTAACCTTTGATTTCTTAGACTTTACGGTTGGCGGTGTATTTCATTCAAACAGTTTCATACGTCCAACTTCCACGGGCTGGTAGAATTAAACACTATGATATTATGGTATACCAATATAATATTATACCAACAAATTATCAGAAACTCAATCAGGAGAGTTTTTGAGCCTTGACTATGGGGGGGGGGGGGCGAAATAATTTAATTTAATATTAATGATTAATAAGAAAAAAATACGGATATACTTCGCATGATGTGATCACTGTTGTAGAACCAGTATTCAGTAACTAGACTTGTTCCTCATAATTCTTTATTAAAACAATTTTCGTTGAAATCTTATAAAAAAAATATGCTATATTGAATTAAATTTTTTTTGATTTGACCGTCGCAAATTACGACTTATAATTAACCTCCTATTCGATTTTCAAACATGTCTGTTTTTTCCAACAAATTTATTCACAGCTAGAGTACCTATCAAATACAAATTACTCACAAAATTAAAGTGTCTATAAATAGTTTAAGTATGGTTTAAATGTTTTACAGTTTTACCATGTAAAATAGTCAAACATAAGTTTGTTGTCCAAATTTCAAGTATCTACGAATATTTTTAACTGAATTACAACAAAGAACCCAATTGAGAATAATGAAAAGATACGAAAAAATAAAAAATAAAAATTATACGGTTCCAATGACCTATTTTCCGATTAATTATTTTTCCAAAAAAAAAAAGTTCCACTAAAATACCAGGTTATTCATTTAAGTGGGCACACTCATTATATCGGAAGTATTAAATTTTTCCGGAATTTGTTTTTTAGAACATTTAAGAAACAAGCTGCTCCACAATTTTATATTTGTTTTATTTTTTGTTAGAAGGGTCATAGATAGGCAATTTATTATCCTTTCCTATTCCTGCCATCTAAACTTTAAACTCTTATAACTCATAAACGATAAATTTGATATTAGTGTTATGCGTGTCAAAATTTCTAGAAAAATATTCTTTATTCGAGTTTGTTTTCAATAGGGGGGGGGTTACTATTTGAAAATCAAAAGTATACGTTTATAACTTCGTTATTATGATAAGGCAATTTTTTTTTGTTTTTTTAAAATCCTATAATAAAACAAAATAATAATTATTTAGAGTTCTGCTGTACTAAAATACGACACGTACTTTTATAAAAAGAAAAATACCTTTGTTTGCAGGGTCATCTCCAGGAACCGCTAAATTCGTATGCGTTTTTTTTTAAATCTTAAAATATTTTGTCGGACATTTTATCGGAAATGTAAAGATATAGTCATATAAACATCCTATTATATTGTTTTGATATTTTTAGTGTTTTCGAAATTCGTATACTATTAACAATAAATCGTACATTTATTTATTTACAGAGCATTGTTATGTTACGTGGAACCGGAAACAGGCATAGCTGTTCTTAACACGTCCAAAGTAGCGTCTGCCACCCTGACTAAAACTTTATATCCGAACCCGACCGACAGTACTACGCAATGCATCGTACCGCCAGTCAAACCAAAATCTTCTATTCGCACCGATTTGCCAAGTGAGTATAGTAATTTTAGTTAATTATTTTTTATAATAACTTCAAACCAATTATAATTTTTCGAAAATTCGAAAGTATACATCGAATATAATATTAAGGGGAGTGATAAAAACCGTTCTTATTTTTTCAATTTTATTAAATTCGATATTTATTTTAACGACAATTTTATTTCATGCTGTCTGAACACGATCGTTTTTATACGAACTTTAAATTAAAATTAATATACCATAATATTTGGTCAAAATATCCACAAGAATATATAATTTATGAATAAAAGAAATACCCTTTGCATACCCTAAACTTTATTTGTATTAGTTGTGAACGCGCTGAAATCTGAAAAAACAGAAAATATTAAACCGGTAGGTTAGGTATAGGAACTGTAACAGGTGATTCATTTAAATGGGTAAAAACTCATTATCTCGAAAAGTATTAACTTTTTCTGGAATTTTGTTTTCTAGAGCAATTAAGAAACCAGCTGCTCCACAATTCTATGTTTGTGTTATTTTTGTCACCCTCATGCATGGGAGTAAAATCACTATCTAATTTTGATTTTCAAATGGCAATCTACATTGAAAATTCCATAAATAGATTGAATATTAGTTAAAATAAATGTTAGTGTTGACATTTTTGATTTCCGTCTATCCGTTAACGAGATATTCAAATTTTAAGTTTGGCTTGAAGGACAATAGTGGAGTATTATTAGTAGAGCACGGATATTGTAGTAGTAAAAAATATTGAAATTGATTGCGCTAAAAAATACTGAAAATTTCACTAAAAATATTAAAAATTGTACTAAAAACAAACATTTTTTTTACAAAAATGGAAATAATTGGCTTAATTTTCGGCATATTTACAAAACAATAACAGAACACGTTCACTCAAAATTCACGGAGTTACTGAAGAATAGATTTATAACAGTCAAACAGTCACATTTCAAAAATTATTTTTCTATTCTATTGAATATCTACCAACTTGGAATTATCAAAATAAAAATATGATACCATTATTAGATTTTATAGCTGGCAATATTATAGTATAATCTTATCTATACGATTGTCGAGTGCCGACTATAGCTAAAATAGTTGTGTAAATGAGTAAATTCAACAAAATTGAAAAAATTGCACTTAAAACTTCTAGATTTGATTTCGTACTTACATGAATCGAATTTGAAACTTACTTAGCAATAAATTGAAAAGGTAGAAAAAAAGTTGCAAATGCAACAACATCCGTGCTCCAATCATTAGTGTAGCGGTACGGCGCGCGGCAGGTTAATAATTAGAGTAGTCACTGGAGAGTCAAATGGTCTCGTCAACGGTTTGACAGGAATCAAAAATATCATAAAATTTATTTTAACTAATACTCAATCTATTTATGGACTTTTTAATATAGGTTACAATTTGAAAATTTTTTTTTTTATTAGATATGATAAGATGTTCCTAGCCTTGGCTATTTACATATATTGATATTTACAATGGTACATTTTTCAACTGTTTGAAGATGATTATTAATTAAGAAAGAAATTTAAATAGTAAAATAGAATTACTTAATATAGGGTATAACATAGAAAGGCGCTGACATGCCTGTTGAAGTTTGGATGAGATATAGGGCTGCCATGTTAGCCGTTTATCCAAAGTCAAGCCAAGGTACTTTACTGACGAGTTCCAAGGTATATTTACATTGTTGAATCTTAATTGTGCAGGAGGACGGTAACCACGAAGACTGAAAATAACACCTACGCTTTTTGACGCATTTATTTGGATACGCCATTTTTTGCACCGGTAAGATATTGTATCAAAATGGACTTGCAAATTTGTGGTTATTGCTTCAATGTTACGTGATTCGGTGAAAATTGTAATGTCGTCTGCAAAAAGGACGATATTTGTACGAGGTGACTGGGGGATATCATATACGTAGATGCTAAATAGTATGGGACCAAATTTAGAGCTCTGGTGTACACCAGCAGACCTTAGGAATAAGGTCAGAGGTGTTGTTATTTGTTTTAACAGCGAACTGCCTATTAAGTAGAAATTAACTAATAATATTGAACAAGTAAGAGTGGAGTATTTTGGATTTTAGTTTAAACAGTAGGCCCTCGTGCTAAACTTTATCAAATGTCTTTGATATGTCTAAAAATACAGTTCCAATATGACAATGTTTTTCAAAATTAGTATTAATATGTTCAGTTATCCTAAGTAATTGTTGAACCGTAGAGTGAATTGATCTAAACCCAAATTGGAATTCAGGTATAATATCTATGGCATTCAAGTAGAAAAGTAGTCTAGTGTGGATGATTTTTTCAAACAATTTGGAAATTGAAGATAAGAGGCTGATTGACCTATAGCTGTCAGGATTAGATTTGTCCTTTTCTGGTTTGTTTATTAGTATTATGGTTGCAACTATTCATTTGAATGGAAAGTAACCAAAACGCAATAATGAGTTGAATAATGTGGCAATAAACACTAGTCCTTTTGGTGGTATTTTTTTTAGCATAAGGTTTGTAATTTTGTCATGACCAGGTGATTTTTTGTTTCAGAAGATTTTTAATAATTTGTTTGATTTCGTTAGACTTTACATAATTTATAGAGTTTTGGACTGCATAATTCGGCAGTTCTAAGGTATGTCTTACTCTTAGGATGTTGCTTGGATTACAGATATGGTTGGGAGAAATGATATGACAAGTTTTGCGTCAGTGCGGAAAGGGGGAATGGTGTTGATATTTTGGTTTAATAGCCTTTTGGTTGCTTTCCACAAATTTAAATCTCCCGGTCGCATGTTTAACAAAAAACTTTAGTAAAAGCATACACGGTAACTCTGTAAAGCTACTTGGACTTCTTTGGTGAGCAGGTTTAGCATTTTTTTATCTGTAGAGCTTTGCCAAGTGCGCCTGGCTAAATGTTTACGAATAATAAGTGAAGATATGGAATGTAATAAGTTGCCAGAATTGTGCATATTTTGTGGTACGGAATTTGAACAGGACTGCGCGGCTTCTGTTATGACGTTAATAAAACCCGGAAGGAAACGTAAAAAAAAAAAGGGAAATTTATGAAAATAATGCTTTTTATTATTTTCAATTGCGTTATTTCTATAATTCAGTTGAAAATATTCGTAGAAACTTGAAACTTGGACAACAAACTCATGTTTGACTATTTTACTTTTAAATCTTACTTATATACATTAAAATATCTTAGAGGGGGCTTAACATTGCTCATGCAGGGCTAAGCTTTCCTAAGCCCCCTCCCCCTATTTACGCCCATGGTGTCTTATGATGGATACATAGAATGCATGTATATTTTCAAAATTAAAATTTTTCTCTGTGTAGAATGAGCCTAATATTTGTATTATTTTGATATATTTTTGTACATTTTAAGGAGAAGGAGAAGGATAATTAAGATTCTTTGTATAGATACTCATAGGTAATTTTCAATAAAAGAAACCTAACAAATACAATATATACTAAAAATATGTTTAGCTATATGTTTCAAAAAAATTAAACAAGATACTTAAAGAGATTCACACTTTACCTGTTGAATACATTACTATTGTACAATAGGAATATAGCATTTGAACAGTAAATAAATAAACATTTTGTTTTATATATATATATATTTATATATATAATTATAATATATTTTTATACTGAAAAACAATTATTTAGGATTCGTTTAATAATAATACAAATTACAAATCATTTTTTTTTACTTTTTTTATAATAATGTTATAAATAGAAACACAAAAACATAATTATATAATTTTTAAACGCTAAATACAACTTACTTTCATTAAATTATAAGGATGATGAGCAGTTTTCAATACATAAATTACACTTCGAACAATATAAAGGGAATGTAATAATATAATTTTGATGTTTGATTATTATTATTTTTTTTATTATTTATTATCGTATGATAATAATAAAAATAAAAATAAATATTTTACTTTATTTATATTATTATACTTTCATTATTGCTTTATAATCAGTCCTTGTTGTTTGCAAGTATAATAATGCAAGGTAAAAATATTGAGATCGAAAAAAAAAATTGGAGGATACAATATATTATTACATAAAAAAATTAACTAGATGTTCATCGGACAATATAAATATTACAAGACATGTATAACATTATATCGTAAAAAAAAAAAAAAACAAGTCACGTGTACAATTAAGATACCGTATAATACTGATTTGGATTTAGGCCGAAATAAAATAATGAAAACTGCATCTCTTGACGTACTCGCAAAAAAAAAAAGAACAATTTCTCATCAATCCCGTCTCTAATGATATAAGCTTGACAACCATATAATTTTTGATTAGTCTAAAATATTAATTCTTAATGCAAATTTTTTCTTTTAGTAGAAATACCTTAAACAACAGTATTAGGCCAATCACACTTCAATTGTGCCGTTACCGTATTTTAATTTATAATACAATATTTCTATATTATTATTAGTTTATATAATATATTTATGCTAAATTTTGCTAATAACAAGAAATTTATGAAATTCTCACAAAAAAGTTTAAAAAACAATTAAAGCCGAGTATAAATTTAAGTATAAAATTTATCATATATATAATTTTTTTAAATTTGTATATAATATGCATATATAAATTGAATTATGTTTATGATTATCAATCTGGTCTGTTTTTTTTTTAAAATTTATAAAACAGTTCTCAAACGTATAAAATTATTTTTTAAATAAATAATTCTTAATTTTTTTAAATTTTTCAGTAATAAAAGTATTAAATGCAATTTATGAAGACTCAAGCCAATTTCTTTCTGTTTCATTTTAAAAATGCAGAAAAATATTCTTTGGACCTAACAACACAATATCTAGATATTAAATACATAATTATAATATATTTATACAACCAAAAATGTAATAATAATAATAATAATAATAATAATAATAAAAATAATAAAACAAACACAAAATACAAAAAGCAATAAGGTTTTTTTTTATTTTATATAAATAAAAAAGTATGAATAAAAAAAATGTGCACTAAGAAATATTCCTGAACAATGTTTATATCAATATGTAAACAAAATAGATCCTAATAAATAATACTAGTTCGGTATATTTTTTAAGTATCAATATTATTAACATCAAATACTATTAAAAAATAAAACATCACAACTAAATAATAAAAATATGTAATAATTAAAATGTAAATAACTATTTAGTTTTTCTTTTCAAATAAATATATGAAATAAAAAAGTATAAAAATAATAAAAGAAAAAGTTAACTAATAGCCTACATACTTAACAATGTTGCGGAGGATGGGGCAATAATGTTTATGGGGAGGGTTTACGCGGGCGGGGATGTTTAATAAATAACAAAAATATACAATTTGTTTAAGTATAATAACTCTAGAAAACAAAAACTTTTTCTTTTTTAAATTTTATTTAATAAATGTTTAATCTTAAGAGTATAATATAGTAAATTGTTAAAACGATATTAACGTTTCTTTCAATCAATCTAAAAACCAAAATTACTACACAACATTAATTTAATAAATAAATATATATATATATATATATATATATATATAAGAATAAATATTTAGATATTAAATCAAGGTTTGTTTAATTATATTTATATATAAATATATTTAATATTATTTTAATGATACTACATATCAAAATGTAAACAATTTATTTTGGAAAAAATATCTTTTTTTTTTTTTTTTTTATATATTTTTTTAAACACGAAATGGCACATTTTAATGTTCGAGGTTTTCAAATTTGGCAATATTAGGACTTACAATAATAAAATATTTGTTTTTAATATAAAAATTATAAATTATATATAAGTAGATATAAAATGTAGGTACATATTTTCAATTGCCTTCAAAATGCTTGTGTATTTTGTACAATTAAAAATGACCCGTTTTTCATTCCCTACCAAATTGGTCGGGCGTAGGCACTAATTATACCTACTTATTTATTTCATTTTTATCTACTTCATCGAATGATTGTATTGTAGTGTCAAATTGAGCTTTAATTAGCTAGTAAAAAAATTCTAAATTGAGTGTTTATAATAACGGTGGGGTGTCGAGGTAAAGGAGAAAATTGGCAGTTTAAAATCACAGCCTGATCACCGCACCTGTACTCTATTAAAATGTGCCGCTTCGGAATGGAACAATATTTTTAAAATAATTTATAAAATATAATATATAATATAGAAATCTTTCAATTGTTTATTTGCGTTAAAAAAAAAAAAAAACGAAAGAAAATAATAAAAATGACCATTGCTCAAACGGATGTAAATTAAACTTCGAGTAATACATATATATATATATATATATATGTTATGCACACCTTTAATAATATATAATAAAATTATTTTACATATATTTCTAACTCTTTGTAAACTGTGAAGAAAAAAAAAATTATATTTAGCACCAAGTTCCAAGGGTATTGGAGGTAGGTGCTGTTAATTTTCTTTAAAATTGTTTCTGTATAAAAACTTAACAAGGGATATGTCAGTATACATTATTATAATTTTACGCAGTCGTGAGAAAAACTGAAACAAATCGTTAACGTTTGTTCACAGTAATTGTATTTAAAATAAATCTAACACCTAGTAAAAAATTAAAAAAAAACTCAAAGAGAAAACATTTGTTGATAATAAATTATTAATCACTAACACTGGCAAAATCGATATTAAATGCCACATTTTTCTGGCGAGAAATTCTAGTTACGACTTCTCATGGAGATCGTCGGGTCAATTTTTGAGAAAAAAAAAAAACTAAACAAATAACATATTTTATCAACAAAATACACAATAACCAAATGGATAATAATAAAAATTCTTTAAAAAGAATAATAATTTAATAATAATAATTAAATAAAAAAAATATGACTCGTTTTGTAATGTTTGTCAATTAAAATCAATCAGCCTTTGATTGAATCCCTTTTTTTCATTCCAATGAATAGAGTGATATTATTATGTATTGTTTACTACCTACTATAATCTAATTTTAATACTAAAATGTTTGGATTGGTTTTTAGGAATCATTTAGGTACTAAATAAAAGGGTTTTATTATGGTACTTTTTGTTTGTTAGTCCTTTCCTTAAGAGATGATGCGAATGGCTTGGCGCGCTGGTATCTTGCACACTGGGCAATGTGATAGTCCGTTTGAATCGCAAGCGCCCGATGCGCAGTCCAAGCAAAACAAGTTGTGACCGCAAGGAACTAGAGCAGCGTCAATGTCTCTCATGTGGCATACCATACAAGTCTTTTTGTTCGGCGGCGGAGATGTTGAACTCGCTGGCGACGGTCTGGAAGACCCTATAAATCCACCCCAGAGGCCGACGTTTTCAAAAGAAGGCGAATCACCGCCGATGCCTTCGTCCGACCATATGTTTCCCAAATCACCCAGTGCCGAGACGCCGGATCCGCATGAGCTCACTGAACCGGAGCTGCATCCCGAACTGCCGGACAGTATAGCAGGACCCATGGAGTCTGTAAGATCGAAAAGACCGGCCAACGGATTGGATTTACAAAGAGCAGCCAGAGCAACGCTGTTTTCTTCGTCTGTCATGCCGTTGCCAGTGCGCAGGGCAATGTGGCCTTCAATTTCGCGCTTGGCAGTCTCGACGCTGTCGGGCAGGCCAGTGACGTCGAACACGGGCTCCTTGTCACGGCTAGGAGTTACGATATACGTGCCAGTTTGGTGTTGAATACGCTTGATTGTCGCTCCTTTTGGGCCCACCACAAGACCGACCACTCTGTACGGTACTCTAACCTGAACGCGCGGGGAAATAAATGTTATTAGTTTAGGTTTGTACGAGCCGTTTTGTTGCGCGTGAAACGCGAACGATACATACTTGGATTGTTACGTGTCCGGGAACGCTGGGGGGTCCTGGCGGAGACAGGGTCCCGGCCATGTTCTTGCGCGAAGCTCTGATTTGCGAGAAATGTTCGGCGGCCGACAGTATTTCCTTCTTGGCCTTGGTCACGTCTTCCTTGCGTCCGGTCACAACAAACACGGGTTCCTCGCCGCGGACAGGCGTCTTGATGTAAGTGTTGGTCTTGGCGCGCAATGCCTTGATCTTGCAACCTGACGGACGGACACACCGAGTTATCATTAAAAAATTTACGTCTGCGGCACGGGCGCGCGGCCGGCCGGCACGGACAAGGGTCCCCTTCGCCCCCGACCCGCCGGGGTTACGCGCTGTAACTCGGTAGGCACCAGACGCGTAGGGGGTGGTATCGATTTCGTCGCCCGCCGCGTCGTTATAAAATTAACGAGGTGCGTTATTATCGGGAGGCGTCGGCGAGCGGGTCCGGCGCGGGAGAGAGGGGCGGGGAGGAAGCGTTTAACAGTCCGCCGGGAACCCGTGGAAAGCGGACGCCGCTCACCTTGGTAGAGGCAGTTCAACCGGCGCTTTGTCTCCAACCTCGCCAAACGACGAGGCGGCCCCGCAGCCGGTCCACCGCGCGCGCATTATTTAATAATAATAATAATACACACTGTATAACTATAACGTAATAATATACAATTATTATTTGAACCGCCGCCGACACTACCGTCGGCATTGTGTTACCCGACCCGCCCGCACCGCGGCCGCTTCCCGTCCGACACGCCGCCGCGGCGATCGTTTCCCCGGGACGAAAATCGTAAGGAAAAATAATAACAACAACCAGATCCGTATTGTCTAATAATGATACAACGACGCTTACGGAACTCGATACGCGATTGAAATATTTCGTCGGACGTTTATCCGGGGGGGGGGGAAACAACAACAACAACAACAACGAAATCTCTCGCCGCGCCGCGACGGAGCGAATTAATAGTTCACGAGCCCCGTAAACACTTCCCATCACCGCGGCGAAACAATACCGGTGAGCGGACGAGGGAAGGGACGGTCGGACGGCGGTAGGCGCGTCTGAGCGCGAGCCAGGGTGAACGGCCTACACAAATCAATTCGCCCGCCACGGCAGAGGGATACGCGGCGGACGCGTGTTTGTGTGGGAGGGGGTGGGTAGGGGGGTAGGGCGGTATTCGTGCGCGTTACCGTCGTCGCGCGAAACGCACTGGCCGGCGCACACGTGAGCTTCGGTTTCGCCGGCGAACGGCCGCCGCCGAGGGGAGCGACTATACACCGGTATCCAAGGCGACAACATCCGTTGCCATGGGAAAGTGGCGCGCGCGCCCGCTCGTGTGTGCGCGCGGCGCGCGAACAGGGGGAGTGTGGGCGGCGGTGTGCTTTTCCAGGGAGAAACGGCAGCGTAATCTCTCGCGCCACCCGCCCGGACGGTAGAGCGGCGGACGGACGGCCGTACCAAACACTACGCACGCCGACGCGCGAAACACGATCGCGGGTAATACTACTAACGCGTCAAGGAATTACGGTTCGCACGCGAAAACAGCCACGCGGCGCCCCGAGTGCTTTGCCCCGGGGGTGTCGCGGATACGATTTCAAGAGTAACGCGCCCCCGCCCCACCCCACCCAGACTTTTTACTCGAAATCCGATACATAACGAATAATACGCGAACGAAACGGGAAAATCGACCGCGGTTTTCTAACCGACCGGCGGGCTATCCGCCAAAGATCGACGCGAGCGCACAGGTGTAACTATTTTCGGCGGTCCCCGCGACGCGGCAAACGGTCGTGCGGGCGACACACCCCGACGCGCGAGTAACGTACCGAGCACCGGGCGGGCGGATGCGGGGAAGAGGGGGGGGGGCTGGCGTGTAGGGGCGAGCGGTCGGCCCAGACTGCAATATCGATTTCGTCTTGCACGCGCCGCGGTAACGCGCGATGGGTGCGCGACCCCTTTACACCGAATTACACGTGCCCGTTTTCGCCGTACGATCTCCTATCCCGTACGTGCACCGGCTGCGGCGCTACAATAGTTAATTTCTGTCCGTTTAATTGTCTTACCGAAATTTACCGAGCGCGTTCGGGGCGCCGGGCGAAACGAGAAATATATAAGAAAAAAAAAAAAAAAAAACGATTAATCAGCTCTGCGGCCGCCGTTCGGTCCTTTCCCGCCCGCCCCTTCACCGTCTTGCGCGCCTACAAAATAATTTTTTTTTTTTTTTTTCTATACTGAACGTTTTCGTTTCGTTAATCTCAAAAGCGGTATCTGACGGAAAAATAACGACGAGATCCGTCCGCCGCGATTGTGCGGTGCGTTTCTCCTCTTTTTGTTGTATTATTAATAAAAATTCCTTTAAACGGGAAGACGCGCGCACAAAAAAAAAATAAAAACTACGTATTGTTGTGTATAGGTAACACGCACACACCACTCGGTCGGTCGGTCGGTCGGTCCTCCCTCCACCTTCTCGCCGACGAGTCGATCGCGGACCACGACGGCGGTGTGGATGTTGCGCGGGAGGAGTAGGAGGAGGGGAAGGAGGAGGTTATGATATTATTATTATTATTATTATTATTGTTGTTGGAGGTTCGCAGTTCAAAACGCCGTCCGGGTCGCACGGTTTTAACACAGGTACCCAGAGAGCAGTGAACAGGTACCACACGAACGCGCGCACAGACGTACACGAGGAAAAAAAATATAAAAGCATTGTGAACCCGAGCGAATGCGGTCCACCGACCAACCAACCCCACGTTGGGCAGCTGGCGCATTCTCATGGTATATACCCGTCGGGGAAACGGTCTAATTTTTTTTTTTCATCTCGTTTCACGACCACCTGACTTCCCGAGCAACGCGGCTGCGGCGACCCGGCCCGCACACCCCACCCGCCCGCCGTCGAGAAATAATATAAAAATCGACGATTTCTCGATTTATTGTCGTGAGGGAAGACATGCGGTACCAACACGCACAAACGGCCGATGTACGAAACAACCACGTGGTTTACGCATACACACACACACACGGCGGCGACGACGACTAGCGTGTATAATAATACGAACCGACAACAACAACCTTGGGACTGGGACGGCGGCGGCGAATGCGAGATTGTTGTCCGTTTGGCGGGAACTCGGACTCGCCGCCGCATTGTCCGTGTTTTATTAGACAATGTTTTTTTTTTTTTTTTTTTTTTTTTTCTGTTATTATTATTCCGTAGTTTTTACCGTGCGCGCACACACACACAAAACGAATAAAAATGCACAAGTATTCTACGAGCCGAATGTTTTGCCTGTGGCCTTGGTAACCACACACCGGTGCGTCATTAGGTCAACGGTCCGGGGGCCCCCTAATTGGCGGCGACGTTAACGATTACAGTATTTGTTTTTTTTTTTTTTTTTTTTTTTGACGCGGGGGTGGCTAGGGGTTACGTTATTTCTCTCGGGGAGGGATGGAGGAGGGGGGGGGAGTATGGCGGAAAAACGCGACCGCTAAATCACGGAAAATTCGGTTTTTACAGGGCATCTTTTTCCCGACGTTACGATGTTCTACCGGTTTCAAGGTTGTACGAGAAGTCGTAACCGTCGTCGTCGAGGTTAAAAACGAATAATAATAATAATAATAAAAAAAAAAAAAAAACTCGAACGCCATCTGACACACACATACACGCACACGCACACACACACACACACACCCGCACGGATCGGATAGGCGGGCGGGCGGCGCGCAAACCCGGGCATAACCGATACCGACGATATTGTTTTCGTGTGCGTGCGTGTTCGGAGACCACGAGGTCTTTACCCGGCGGAGAACAGGAGGCGCCCCGGCCGTTTCCTGCCAGCTGTCTCGCCGTGTGGAACGCGCGGCGCGAACACACACAACGTGCTCTCTCCCGTACGTACACGCGACGCACGACGCTTTTGTTCAATGAAACTTGACGACCGGTTTCGTTGTTAATAATATTGTCGTTATACATAATAATACTACGGGCGTACCGGCCGGCATCTTTATAGGTGTTTTTTTTTAAATTTTTTTTTTTATTTTCGTTTCTCATAGGGGCTGTCGGAGGATCGGATTGCTCAACCGGCGGGGTGTATTGAAACCGCGCGAAAATCCCGACCGGCGAGAGAAACGCGACGATGAGACCCCCTCCCCCTCCTCCCACAACCCGGGGGGAGGGGGGGGAAATAGAACGCGATAATCAATATAACGAAAACCGAATATATTTCATCGCGAAACGAACACCGACAGCTTTGCGACGATAAAACGGTCGGAAATAATAATAATAATAATACGATCGGTATAATAATAAACGGCCGTCGGGCGGCACCGGACAAACCGGGATCAACAAGTAGTCGGGCTAAATCCGTAACCGAAATACAGCCGAAAGTCCCCCGGACGCAGCGTGTTATTGTAATATAATTACAATTGTGTGACCTAATGTCCGATTACGCGACAGATAAGCCCCGTTCGGAATCCCCGGCCGCCCGAAATAACACGCGCCGGGCAACACAATACCGATACCAATGCGGAATTATTCGGTAACGGACCGAACGATTACCGAACACTGACGCGTCGGGTAAATAAAAGAATAATAAACGATAATGTACAACGAAGCGCCCCCCGGGGTGGAGGGGGGGGGAGAAAATACGATGTAAAAAAATAAGCATATTACCTTGTCTGCCTACGATCTCGGCCACGTGTTCGGAACTGGGCACCGGCACGCATTCCGTCATGTTCTGGCTCTTCTTGTTCCTCGGCTCGTCCGGGTATCCGTTCGGAATGTAACTCTGAACCAGAGACGACGAGTCCATGTTGTTGCTAGACATCGAGTTGTCCACCTTGTTTTGTTGCCGCTGATCGCCGTTAATGTACAACATGCTCAATTCCAGGGCCACTTGCAGGGCTCGCGTGTCCTCGATCACCTTGTGCTGCTGTTGTTGCTGCTGCTGCTGCTGCTGATGATGGTTGGCGGAGAATTCCAAGTCTGAGAATAACGTGGCCGGCATTGTGATAACGGATTTTTTTTTTTTTTTATACTTTTTCACGAAACGGTCGGATAAAAATTTGATAGAGGGTGGTTTTTAGAAAAATAAATTTCTACGTTAACTTTGATAAAAGCGTTTTATATTCAATAAACAGTATATAATCCGGTCGGTTAAATTCGTAAACGAAACTCGTGAGTTTGCGTGGCGTGACGACCCGCGGTTGTCTGTGTCCAGTGCGTGAAAAAAATGCGCGTACTGAAGACGACGGCGAGATTGTGTCACATGTGCGTATTTCCCAAAACGGAAATAATATTATATTATTATTGTTTTATAAAAATGTATAAAAAAAAAAAAAATCAAAAGGATCAAAACCGCGTTTGTTTATCGTACAATTGCGTGGTTCGTTCGGCGTTTGAGACGACGTCCGGGGGCTGCAGCGACCCGGGTAAAAAAAAAAAAAAAAACAACGGACAAATAATAATAATAAATCGAATATTATTTATTGTGCTACGATAATAATAACGTCTATGTTTGGTGTTTGTATGTGTCTCTCTAAACGGCGAGCGCGTGATGAGCGTGTGCGTGAACTCGGTGGACTGACTGAACGAACGATTTTCTAACGACTGCCGGTATGAGACGGGGTGGCTGTGCGAGTCGTGCCGCTCTTTTTTTTTTTTTTTTACCCGCGCGCCACCGAACTGTACGCGCTCGTGGTGGGGTTGCTACGCGTCGGCCGCAGGGTAGGGATGACGTGCTGCGGCGGCGGCGGCGGCCGCTGCCGGCCGGCGTCTTTGCTCCCGTCCCCGCCACCCGCCCTCGAACCGACGACGGCCGTCCGCCGCTACCCGCCCGCCGGCCCCGGGGCCGCGGCATACCAAACCCCGCCGTCGCGCACACCGGCCCCCCCGCACCTCCCCCCGCCGCCCGTAGCACGGCTCGGCAAACGCCGGTCCGTGTGCCCGGGCTGTCTGTGTCTCGCTCGCCAGCGCTAGCTCGCTCTCGCTCCCTCTCCCTCTCGGTCGTTTCTCACGTCGTCGTCGGTGCCGGCGACGGCGACGACGCCGAAAGACGGTCGGTCGGCCACGTGATTTTTTCCATTTCTTTCCCTCGGAAACGACAAAATTCGTTAACGCGTCGTAATAATACTGTAACGTAAAACGCACACGCGCCAACGGGACAATGAGAACATTAATAATAATAATTAAAAAAAAACCGTTTCTTTTTTTTTTTTTCTGCATTTTCCCCCGTATACAGATAAAATTATTACCGAAAAGAAAATCAATACCTACGATATTACGCTGTCGCGTTATCGTGTATCTCCGGCCGCGTCGGCGGGCACGTTGAAAACAAACGTAAATAATATCGTTCGTTATTATTTTTTTTTTCTCTAGCGCAATACACCGGTGTGTGAGCGCAGGATTCTCGCGTCGTCGTTACGATTAATAATCATACGATATAATATTGCAGTCGACTATCCAACCCATCTTCTTACTAGCGCGCGCGCGCGTGCGCGAGTAGAAAATTTCGAAAGTAAAAAAACCGCCGGGCCCGAGTACATCGGGGGAAGGGGGCGTAGAAATAATGAAAATAACGCAGTTCGAACACATAATAACGCGTGTCGGACGGCCGTTAATTCGACGCGGACAAACCGTTTCGGGATTAAACGGACGAAAAAAACCAATCGCGGTGTTATCGTCTCGGCGCAAAACCGATAATAAACAACACTTTATACTTTTTGCTCTCTCTCTTTTCGGCACACTATTTCGCGCACTTCGATATAATTAGTGGGACGTTACACGTGCATTTCGTTGATTCTGTGTAATACACACAATACACAGTGAGAATACGCTCAAGCAGACTACACAGAACAGACATTGCGTTTGTTTGTTTTTTTTTTTTTAAAAAGTTTTAGCGAATTAAAAAAAAAAAAATGTTGAAAAAGTCGTTATTTATAAACGGTATATTTACTATTATATTCGGAGAAAATGGAAAAAACGCAATGTCTCGCCCTCCGGAACATTTTATTTTATTTTCAATACGGGCCGCGGCCCAAAGTACAGTAACAATTGAATACAATTTAATATAAAAGATAACAAAAAACATGACTAAAATGAGAAGACAAAGTCATGAACGCAAAACAATGATAATACGAGTGAGAAAAAATGCATTAGGAAAACGTATGAATTAAAACGCGGATCCTCGTTAGCAGGACGCATCCATCCTATAGAGTGGGCGGTTACGGGAAAAATTAGTCGTACATAGAGGTTAACAGAAAGGATTGGAGCTGGTCTGCATGTGAGGTATTTTAAAGTTAACCACGGAAAGTCACTCAGTACAATCAATGTTTTTCAAAAAATAATTTAAACAATAAAGTAAATGCGATTAAAATAATTAAATATATGTGTTGACACATCGGTTTTATTTCGTTCCTTTGTTGATTTTCCGGTTACCTTGGCTACGAGGGGAAAAAACATGACCGATAAACTACCGGTGCGCTCACCAGTTTACCGAGCTCCGAACAGAATAGGTTTTTGATCGCGTTGATTCATCGTTGCTATCAAACTAAATTCGTAACTATACCATTAATTTAAACGAGAAGTATGTCCGGATTTGTTCTCGTTATCATTGCTACAACAACATTATAAACGCACCGACGACAGCGTATTAGCGAAGTTCCGAATCCAAATATACAAGTATTGTTCACTCGAAAAGTTTTTTTTTTTAATTTAATAGGTATTTGTATCATCTATGAACCAAGGACATATGTACCTGCAAGTTCGAAGTGGCCATTCGTAACATTATGTATGTTGCGAAATTGTGTTTGCCGACCAAATGTGTGAAATTTAATACTATACACCGACATGAATGCGACAAATAATTTCAAATTCGCGCGTTTTTATTGTTTGTTTTGAACCGTAACGATCATATTTTATTTGGTTCGAACGATATATTAAGCCGTCACTTGAATTTATGTATTCATTTGCAATCGTTTTATTATTGTCGTTAACCAATTAACCCGCTCACGTCAAATCTATGATCCCTCGGAAGAACGGCTTTTTTTTTGTTAACACAATTTTGCCTTAGGTTATTTTTTCCTTTTTGTTTTTTTATTTAAATGACATAACCGTAAATATATTATTTTAACACAAACGTCATGTTACAATGAAAATGAAAATATTTTAAGTTATCATGATGTAATTTTTCGTTTGACAAAAAAGGCGTAAGTCATATAACTATAAGTATACGCCTGAAGTCATTTGGAAAGCCTGCATTTAAATTAAGCCATTTGGTAATTTAGCCATTTAGCAATGCCATTTATTTATTATGCCAATTTTCAACATTTAATTCGTTTGTATTGAAAACTATAAGAAAAATCGTCTTAAGTCCTTCTTCCCCGAAACCAAAGATATTGAAAAATTAAAATTACAGTAATTCGCGAATTTTGATTCACGGCTGCATAAACTACACCTAAAAATTATCTATAAAAGCATACGTATCTGGAGGTCATGCTTTGTCCTGACCGGCAGTGGCGTAAAATATTCAGCATTTTTGGCGATGCAGGTTTATTTAATTGTCCACTAATACACCAACTTTCTTGATAAATCTGCCTAATAAACAATTCATTTCACGAGTAACTTTTTTTCGCCAAATTCAAAAACTAGTATATTGTGTCATTTGAACAGTAAACAAATTAATAATTTTAAATTTTATATTTAATATGTGAGGTGAACATATACAGTGAACAAACAACGCTGGTGAATATAATTCACGTGATAAATCACGTGCTAAAACTAAAGCTTGATGTACTTTCTCCTTTTGTATGTGTCCCACTGCAGTTACTAAACGATGGCAGCTGTCCAATCATAAAATTATGCCATAAGGAAAATTATAATTTTTTTAGTGGTTTTAATATTTAGGTACTTTTGAAAAGAGATATTAAAAATGTACAAAATACAGAATTTTAAAATAAAATATTCTAGTACTGCGAAAAGTTAAGTTTGCACGACCACAATCGAAATTTGCACAGGACAATTTACGTAATTGCTGACCGGCTTGGTGTTTTATATCGAGTGAAAAAATCAATGTACAAAAAAAACGGACGAAAAATGAACAAAACTTCTAAAACATACGTATATTTGTATATCGTAATTAATAATAATTGTTATTATTATGTCGATTTGTTTGTTTTACCGATTATTTTTTAACGTTATAATAAAACGTATTATTATAGAAATTTACGGTTTACAATTGAATATATTATAATTAATTGAACGATCAGGAGAACCGTAGAAAAAAAAAAAAATATAAATGTTTTTATAACACGAGCACAATAATATTATGTGTGCAAGGTGGTTCTCTGGCTGAAACGCGTCAATTATTGTTTTTAGAGATTGGAAGTATAAATTGAATACGTTGTATTTGTGTTCGGTTAATATTATGACGTTTTGACGTCATCATCGTAGTTTTGTCGAGTAGTTTTCAAACATTGTTAGGTGTCTCTTCCGTCGGTACCTTCAAAGTGTCCGCACTGATACCTACTAATTACTTTTCGAAAATTATGTTAGGGTAATTAATAATTTCTAATTATATTAATGTGTAATAACTATTAACAAATAATAATCCCGTTCACAATTAATGTTGTCAAGAGCTTTTACAGTTCTACTTAACGTTCAAATGTCATAACAGTTTTAAAAAATCACCAACTGAACGATATCGTTCGATTTATATCACCTAGTTCCACAGTTTTGATAATTTTTATTGGAAATACTCGTATTATTTTCTGAGTTTTCGATAGCTTTCTAGAGTAGGTACCTACAGATTTTTGTTTCGGAAACACGAAATAAATTTCTCAATCCTATCGTTCCCCTATCTCCTGTCGTTTGCGTATTTGATAACTACACGACGTCTATAGGTACTCTTTTCACTTCCGGACGCTTTCGTATAACAGTTTTTTTTTTTTTTACGTTTACGATATATACGTAACACAGTAACAAAATATTTTTGGAGAAAAATAAAAAAAATTATCGGTACACAAATTAATTATCACCATAGATATCAATAGTTTCGAGAGTGACGGTGAGACGTTGAGACGCGGCCCGACGAAAAGCTGTTGCCCGAGAGGCATAACATAATGAAATAGTGAATAAGGTTGAAAAATTTGTCGGTTTTGGATTTAATACGCCGTTTATTTATGTCAAACGCCGGGCAATATTACAATTTTATTATTATTAATTGTACACGACATTATGCGCGTTTGACGTCTGTTTTTAAATATCCTGAGTCATGAGTAATTCCGCAGGAAATAAAAGCAATAAACATTATTTTTACATTCAAAACTGCTCGGTATTATTGTTTCCCGCGAAACTCTTATAATTACCTATTTTTACTATCTAGGTTACAAAAATACGGAACCGCGGAATACTACAAAATCGTATAGACTGTAGGGACTCATTCTATATAGGCGTGTTGTGCGAAGACTCCGTCCAGTGGCGGTTATAAGGGAAGGGCACAGGGAAACGTTGCCCCCCCCTCCGGTCAATGGACTACAGTTGTAATTATATATTTTATATTAATTTAATATATAATTTAAAGTTAATTCACTGAAAATATAAATAA